TAATTAAAATGATCATATCAGAATCAAAACACCTGTCGTTACGAATCAGAAATACTTCATTTGTACGAGCTTCATGCCATGAAAATTCTGAAAGATACATGGAAAATTAAAACATGTCGGCTCCCAAAACAGAGTAACCAATTATTTCAATAGTTAAAAATTAAACAGAACGAGTTTTGCCCAACAACCGTAAATTACTCAAAATAGACTCGCGAGATCAACATGGCCGTCGTGATCGTCAAGGTGCACGGAATTCTTGAAACATGGACCGCCTTGTTACTATATTTTCACTTGGTAATTAAAATGATCATATCAGACATCAAAACACCTCTCATTACAAACCAGAAACACTTCATTTGTGCGAGCTTCATGCTATGGAAATTCTGAAAGATAGATGAAAAATTAAACACGTCGATCCAAAACGAATAATCAATTATTTTGATAGTTAAAAAACAGCCCAACATTCTCACAAAATAAACAAAGAGACCAAGGGGAAACAGAGAGAATGATGGATCGATTATTTTGACGAAATGCCCAAGAGAAGTAATCCAAAATACCGACCCTAGTTAGCCAAGCCAACTAATGCGACCCATGGAAAATGCGAATTAGAGCATAAACCCAGACAATTAAACGAGCGTAATGATAACCCATGAAAATAATAAATTATTGTACGCTCGCTCGCACTAATCAAGTTGGGCTGGCTGGGACGATGGTGGGTATGGCGAGAAGAGGGACGTCTCGGCGGGCTGTAAGACCAACGCATTCAGTCATCTCCAATCTCATTCCACCGGGCAGCCTCCAATCAAAGTCCCTCACTAGGTTCGCCAGCGCCACCTCCACCACGGCCAGGCCGAAAGAAATCCCCGGACAGCGTCGCCTTCCAGCTCCAAAAGGTATCAACTCGAAATCTTGGCCTATGAAGTCCACTTTGGTTTGGAGAAATCGCTCGGGCAGGAATTCTTCCGGCGATTCCCCCCAATCTGCCGGGTCCCTTCCGATCCCCCACGCATTGGTTAGGATCATGGTTCCAGCCGATACATCGTAACCCATTATGGTCGCGTCTTGCATCAGTTGCCTTGGAGGTAGCAACGGGACTGGCGGGTGCAATCGTGTCGTCTCTTTGATTACTAACTTCAGGTACTCCAGCTTGTGCAAATTTTCTTCACAAATAATGACACCAGCTTCTCTCCTGACCTCTTCTTGCAGCTTCTTCATCACCCTCGGGTGTTTCATCAGCTCTGACATCGTCCATTCCAAAAGCGTTGACGTCGTGTCTGTTCCTCCGATGAACATGTCCTGATCCACCATATGACAATTCATAGCCAGTTAAGTAATTAATGACACGAATATTTACGTTACACCTTGGATTTTTCTTTAATAAACAAATACCATGATGACTGCCTTGATCCCATCTCCATCGAGGTGGCACTCCTCTGGGCTGTCCCTTTGGAGCTGCAGCAAGACATCTATCAAGGGTACTGCTTGGCCTTCTTCTTCTTCTCTTTCTATCATGTTGCTCCGTTTCTCCAGACGAGCCTCGCTCTCGAGGACAGCTTCATCGAGAAACTCATCAAATCGTCGAGCCACCCTATCGACTCGAGCATCGAACCCAGTGAGTCGACTCACCCAAGAAAGTTGAGGAATGAACTCGCCAACACTAAATGCAATAAACAGCTCCATGATCTCTGCCAAAAGATCCCTAAAGACGGTATTGCCATCGTACTTCCTCCCGAGCGCTATCCTGCAGATGACGTCGTTGGTGAAGCAGGGAAGTAGTGCGCTCAAGTTCACCTCCTGCATGCATTAATTCCACCCGGCCATTTTTTATCCAAAAAAAAAAAAATTCCACCCGGCCATTTAATTGTTCATACATATAAAATAAAATAAAAAAAACTATGCTGGACTGGATGAATAAATTAATTACTATATATCCACCTGGCCTGCTTGAGCACTTGTCCGAATCCGATTGACCAGCAGCCCGATTTCCTCCTCTCTCAAAGGACGACATGACCGGATTTTCTTGTTGCTGAGGAGATGAAGCACGCACAGTCGTCTGGACAGCCTCCAGTGCTCGCCGTAGCGAGCGTTGACGATGTCTTTGTTACCGTAGAGAAGCTTCTTAGCGGTTTTCCGTTCTGGCCGGTCGGAGGAGATGAGGTCGTGGGTCTTCATCACCTCACGCGCCGCCTTGGAGGTGGAGACCACTAGTACCGGCCTGCTGCCGAAGTGGAGCAGCATGAGGTCAGGGGCGCCGCAGCGCTTCGCCAAGGCGGGGAAAGTTCGGTGAGGATACTTGCCCACTTGGTGGAGGTTCCCAAGGATCGGCAGCTTCGGCGGGGATGGCGGCTCTCGGGCTTTGTTTCCGGCCGGCTGCCGGCGTTTCATGCTGCTGATGATAATATTACTGATGATGATGAGTGCTGCAGCGAACCCGCTGGCGGCCATCACAAGTAATAGTACTACTGCCATGGCTTATCTATCAAACAGGCTTTCTTTCTTTCTTTCTTTCTGTGATTCCATCTAATCTATGTATATAACTTTCCCTTACTTACAGATTAGTTGGCTGTCGATGAATGCTAGCTAGCTGGCCGATTTGGAGCATTCATGCATGTGACCTCTAGCGTCCTGTCGTTATACAGTTAATTAATAGTCATTATATTATATTCTACGTATATACCAAGTATTTTAGGCGTGGTTTGATTAATATATTGGTCCTTGTTTTCAAATTAACTAAGGATGTTTCATGAATGCGGTTTGGCTCAGGTTCACAAATATAGAGATTGGAAACTCTACGATGTATGTACGTCTTTATATTCCGAGAAATTAAACAATTTGAATTCTTTTATATTCTCAAAGCACAGGCTATCTTACTAGCATTGTTGGTTTATGTCATCAATCTTGAAATTGTGAAAAGAAACTTCGAAAAAGAATGGGGTCTGGGAGCTAGCCAACATGTCCAATTCTGCCTTCCTCAAGAAAGTAGCTATATGGGGATTGGAAAATCCCGAAATGGTTCTGTACGGTCAGTTCTTAGCTCAACTAGAGTAATTGTACATTTATCTAGGTTAATCATGCAGGCCTCTAATAAGCAATTACGTAGTGATATATCCCGATAATCACAAAAACGAGCTGTCAACCCTCAGGAGGTAGGAAAAACGTGATCAGGCATGACACCATACTCGATCAAACGAGTGATTTTCTCACATACAACCGTGGCCGCCACGCACCCATTTCGTCAAGGTAGATGAGACGTATTTTATTATAACCTGTTCCCACTTAGAAAAAAGTGTGTAATAATTTTTATTGACAATCCACAAAATACTTATATTTGTAATAAGAGCTCCTGATCGAAGGAGAGAACATGTATATTCCATATGACCCAATATATCTGACAAGCCGCACTATACGGTTCCAATCAACCAACATTTAATTTTAAAACATCAGCCGTCAGAAAAATAGTATAAACAATTAATTATAATAGTCCATCATTAGTCTTGAATTTGAAAATTCCATATTCGAATCTCTCGAGTAACACATTATAGTGAATATCGCCATTATAAAAAAACACATTACGATGAAATAAAGCATTTATCACCTTTAAACATTAATTATAATATTGAAGCATAAAATTAAAAAACAAAACAGGAAGGAGTCGTTTGCGGTACAGCACATTCTCACTCATGATTTCAAAACAGTGGAAGTGGTTACTGATGAAACTGATCAGCTATAATAATATAACTAATTAAGTATTTAACTATTAATGTGTATGTATATGACAAAGGACAAGTTGCATGGCAACTATCCATTTTTCTTAACTTCTTTTCTTCTTCTAGTGGAAACTTTATCCCTTTACTAACTTCTTATTTTGGCCTTTACTTTGGGAACAAAATATTAGAACTAATCCACTGAAAAAAATACTAAAAAAAAACTATTTGATTTTGTAATATTATAACTTCCAGTTACTAAGGGAGTTGAATTTGGAAAAGTTTTCTAACCTGGTTTGAGTTTTGAACGAATGATAATTGGGTTATGCATAACTAAGTAATTAGGACATTCATACTAATACAAGAATTTCATTTTGAATTTTCATATTGACATGACACTAGCTCTCAGCCAATTTCATTAATATAGATGACAATTACATGTAAATTTGCATATAATACAACTATGAGTTGCAAATCACATCATATTTTTTATTATTTAATATTTAAGATTTTAAAATTCTAGAATAGTATTAAAAAATTTAATTAACTCATCTCTAAAAACTACTAGTGCTTCCATCCATTTCCACACAAAAAAATTTAAATAAAAAAAATCGATTGCTAATATTTCAACGGTCAGAAGAATTGCTTCTCTACTCCTTTTATTCTGATTTTTAAGGCAGCACTATAAAAAAAAAATCTTTAGCGACAGTGTTTCAGGTTTTATGGACTGTCTATGGCCACCGGCCCACCGTAACATACTCCACAATCCTTAAATAGTTAGCATTGATTTTGATCTACCGTCTACCAAACCTCTGTAACTTTTAGCGACGGTGAGGTTTGACCGTCGTAATTCGTAAAGCAAAGTTCAGATACAAAGGTGACATCGTTTTCACTTTTCAACGGCCGGAACGTCGCTAAAATGCCCAGCCTACATTTCCAACTTACAACCATCCTAGTCTAATACCATTCACCTCCGACACGGTTTTGCCCTACACTATTTTTTTTTTCCACCAGACTGATAGGGATAGAATTAGAGAGAATAAGGTTGATCCTTACTATAATGGGAAAATTTCTAGTTGCACCATGTCACGAAAGCAATTGAAACTAGGATGTTTGGGTTCTAAACTAGCTAGATAGGATCTGCATTGGCCAATATCAAGGTACGTAGGTGCGTGAATATATTACAAGTGAGCTTCATCCCATGGAAATTTTGGAAGATAGAATTGAAAATGGGAAGAGCCTAAACCAGAAGAAGGAGCGTAATGATAATCTTGTACGTGTGCACTAATTAATTAATTAAGTTGGGCGGCGGGCAGAGACAATGGTGAGAAGAGGGAGGTCTCGGCGGGCTGTAAGACCAACACACTCAGACATGTCCAAATCCTCCCCTCTCATTCCACCGGGAAGCTTCCAGTCAAAGTCCCTCACCAGATTTGCCAGCGCCACCTCGACGACGGCGAGGCCGAAAGAAATCCCCGGAAAGCATCGCCTTCCAGCTCCAAAAGGTATCAGCTGGAAATCTTGGCCTTTGAAATCCAGTTTGGCTTGGAGAAATCGCTCCGGCTGAAATTCGTCAGGCGATACCCCCCAATCGGCCGGGTCCCTTCCGATCCCCCAGGCATTGGTGAGGATCATGGTTCCTGCAGATACATCGTACCCCATTATGGTCGCATCTTGCATCAATTGCCTTGGAGGTAGCAGCGGGACTGGCTGGTGCAATCGAATCGTCTCTTTGATTACTAGCTTTAGGTACTCCAGCTTGTGCAAATTGGCTTCAAAAATAATGACACCTTCACCGGCCGGTCGACCAACTTCTCTTCTGACCTCCTCCGGCAGCTTCTTCATCACCCTCGGGTGTTTCATCAGCTCCGACATTGCCCATTCCAAAAGCGTTGAGGTTGTATCTGTTCCTCCGATGAACATGTCCTGATCCATCACGGCACGGCAGTCATAGTTAATTAATTAAGTAACAGGAAAATGTACCTACCTTTTATTTTTATAATATAATAAATAAATACCAAGATGACTGCTTTGATCCCGTCTCCATCCAGGTGGAAGTCGTCTGGGCTGTCCCTTTGGAGCTGCAGTAAGACATCTACAAAGGCTAGTGATTCGCCTTCTTCTTCTTCTTCTCCCCGTTCTATCATGTTCTCCAAACGAGCCGCGCTCTCCAAGACCGCTCCATCAAGAAACTCATCAAATCGTCTAGCCACCCTATCGACTCGAGCGTCGAACCCAGTGAGTCGACTCACCCACGAGAGCTGAGGAATGAACTCGCCCACACTTAATGTAACAACCAACTCCATGAGCTCTGCCAAAAGATCATTTATAAATGCAGAAAGGCGGTTTGAAGTCGGTTTAGCCGTTATTTGCCAGTTGTACGCTCTTTTGCCAGTTGGACGCGTTGCACTTCATTAGCTAAAATTATGCGTTGCCAGCTGGACGTAATTGACCCTTTTTGCTTTTTTCTCGCCAGCTGGACGCGTCAAAAAAAGCGTGCGGTTGGACCGAGTAAACATTAATGGTGCCAGTTGGATTTTACCTTAACCCCACAAAAATGTGTAGTTGGACCTAGTCAAACATTTGGAAAAAGCCCAATTTTCACTGCCATAGACAGCCCAAAATAGCCCACCCTAAATGATACCAACCGGAAATATTTTATTGGGCTCGTACAACCCAAAAAGTCCAAATCCAGCTCCCAATAACCCAACGAACAACCCAGAAGACAAGTCCAGTTAGATTTGAGTTTTTTTTTTTTTTTTGACAACTTAGATTTGAGTATTTGACGCTCACATCTTTAAATGATTTATTATTACACATGATTTCCATTTAATTCTATGGCATCTCCACACGGAGCCAAGTGCAAAAATCAAATTCTAGCACAACACTAGGTGATAATAATACGAGGGTCTTCCTTGCCACCAAGTGGGCAACTCTGTTGTTTTGTCTACCGGCGAACCGAACTAGATAACCAGGATATATGTATCGGAAAAGTCCCGATATCTCGGAGAAGCGCCCCACCCTTGGCATCCAACACACACCGCGCATTAACCTTGTCAATGATAATCTTGGCATCCCTGCACTTTCACCGAATCCCAACCCTTCTCAATGCACCAATAGAGAGCCTCCTGAAGGACAACCAATTTTACCACGATCGATTCAAACTCCCCTTCCAATCGTTCTCCTTTAGCCATCACAACAGCCTCTGTTGTATCTTGAATAACAATCCTTATTGCCGCATAGGAATCACCACTTAGTGCGCCATCAAAGGAGCAAATCAACGCCTAGGGAAACACTATATCCATGACCACAGTCTATCCAGTCAGGCCACTCCTCGCACTCGTCACCTCCCTCGCCATTACTCGAAGCCATTCCTGGACCTGATAGGCGAGGCTGCTGCATGTCAGCCACATTTTTGCCACGTCACAAAAAGTCACCATTGCTTTGACTACCTTATTAACATTGTGTCATGCAAAGTGTCAAATAATTAAGCATTAAGTAAATCTAGGACGCTAATTAATTAATTGATTAGCGCATGGTACTATTAACTATATTGAATAGCTATTAATTAACTAATAATTCATTATAAATCTAGGACGCTAATTAACTAGTCAACAATTCATATCTACCGACCACAGGCATCTTCAACCTTAATTGACGCAGCCTGTGTCATCGTTGGCCGGTCAAACTTGCTAAATATTCTTAACTACATAAGTTAGCAAGAACATTTGGCGATAATTATTCTTAATTATGGATTACTATATTGAGCAAGCTTATTGGCCACCCATGAATAGGGTGTAAGTTTGACCTTAAAATCCACTTACCCGCCTCGACTCTGAGGGTCGGGCTGGTTCAGCTTGTCTACAGGGTCAGGTCAGATATTTTTTTTTTGACCCTATGACCTTTAGCATCATACAAACATAAACATGTTGGACCAATTTGTAATTTTTAGAAAAGCAATGTATTTATTAGGGTTGACCCACTGACTCGGCCCTTCTTGACCCGCCATGACCCTAAAGGGTCAGACAGGTTTAGGGTCAGACAGGGTCATGAAAGAAACAAAGGTGAGATGGGTCAGACAGGGTCAGGGGCGGATCGTGACAATTTTCATCCCTACCGATAATCATACTATACATTTTTTAATAATGATGAATTGTTATTAATGATAAAAGGAAATTGAAAGGAAGAAAACAAGAGTCTTACAACTGCAGAACAAAAGAGAACCAAACCAGCAAAGCATCACGAAATGACCAGATACACGGAAGTGACGAGGAAAGAACAAGAGAAAAACATTAACAAATGAAACCACAAAAACAAAACCGCACTCACGACAAGAAACAAAAGCCGCCCTTAACTGTCAAATCCACATGCAGTAACAGAAACAGCCGACAATGGTATATAGAAATAAGCAATTTGCTGGATGTGCTTAATTTGGAGGGTTAAAAGCCAAAACGATCTCTAAATTATCGGCGAGACAAAAGAATATAACACTAGTGATGGTAAGCTAAGGCCTAAGCTTATTATAATTTATTGTGGTTTGGTGTTGATTAGATATTAATGGGAGGGAAATATTTGTCACATTAGAGGTTTGGATCTTGGATCAACTGCCGCTCTATAAGAGAGAAAACACAAATCTATTCATAAGAACAAACCTTGTTTTGTAATTAGACATATACCGATTTGTGCATTAATTAATCATCCTCAATGAAAGCAATCAGGGTCCTCTTTTCCATGATAGTAAATTAGCCACAAATATTACAACTAAAACTATGGGGGATGTAATTATAAGCCATCGTCAAATTAATTCGAGGCGAGAAATCATCCAACTCAATTTCAATTTGTTTAGTGTTTACCACGTTGGGAGTGAAATGTATGGTTGATATTATCAAAATAAACTGATTAGCGGTTAAAGTTAGGGTGTTAACACCTAATTTTTTAGTAAGATGCTTCAGTCAATAGAAACAATATTATTGTGGTGACTTTTTATATTGAAAGAGTTCACCACAAATTTATATTGAAAACTCATAAAACATACAAGAAACTCAACTCATCATAAAACTCATAAATTATATAAAAAACTCAAAGCTGGCTGCAAATTTTCAAAAGAGGACCATAAAATTCATACTATTGACCACAAACATCATGAAGCATATTAGTAAACTTAGAGGAGATCATAAATATGAGAAACCACTCCATACAACTTATAAAGCAGATAAGAAAATTCAAAGTCGACCACAAATTTTATGAAGCAGACAAAAAGTATCATAAAGGTTAATACAATTATCATGAAGTACAAAAAAAAAAACATAACAAAACACATTGCAAAAATAGTAAAGTATCATAAAAGTTATCACAATTACCATGAAGTAGACAAAGAAAAACAGAACAAAACACGTTACAAAACTAATAAACTACACCATAAATTTCATAAAGCAGACAAAAAAACTCACTCTAACTTGGTTAGTACATAAATCCAGGACATAGTTAGTAAATACTCCGTTTAATACACGTATATGTACCCGTACATACTTTATCCGTTTAAAACTTCCGTATCTGTATTATTGTCAAGCCGTTTCATTTCCCCCGTTCATTTCATGGTTCCCGTACTAAACACGTATAAAACCCGTATAACACATTTATTATCCGTATTTTACGAATTAAATTGTTAACTTTACTATTATTTATATATTTATTTATTTTTAAAATGATTAATTTTATATATTTATGACTATTAACGTACTATTAAACGTAATTTTAGCTTAAAGATGAAGTATAATGCCCGTACGTATCTTTTACGTAACTTTCCCGTACCGTATTTTACTAACTATGATCCAGGACGCTAACTGTAACAACTAGCTAATAATTCATACCTGCGATGATGCTGATCGATTAGTTGAAGTAATATATGACTCAAATTATTTAGGGGAATTAATAATCCTCGACAACCCGGCGGCCCGCACCCTACTTGTTCCTTTGTTTTAGCATGTTAGACATTTATATATGTCGCCTTTTAAAGTCCAAGAATCTTTAACCAAATTGCTAATTAAACACAATGATACCCTTGTGTTTGTGTAGATATAATGAGTTTTGAAAATCAGGGGTAAATTTCAATTTCATGCCTGCCAATGGCAAACTACCCCTAAAGCAAATTGTAAAATTTAATGTTTTTTTAAATACCATAATGACTTAATAAATAACAACACACATACATAAACACTATTGTTGCGTGAATAACCATTATTATTTGCGTGAATAATCATCATTGTTTAATGAACAAGCAACAAATTACATAAATAAATCAGCAAACTAAATGACGTGAATAAACATCAAAATATCAATGCATGAATTAGGTAGCGGCGGCTTTCTCTTTGCAGTTTCCACCATATATATATATCCTATGCACGCAAGCTTGTAGTATCATAGTTAGTTGTTTCCCTCCTCGATCGGTGCATGCCTTTGTAGTCTATCATAAACAACAAATCAAACTCCACCGCAACCACCCCGGCGCCTGAGAAAATGGATCTCTACTTGTTCCTTAGTTGCTCACTCTGCCTCATTTTCACCGCCACCTTCCTCCATTTACTAGGGAGATCAAAAACCAGCGACCGAGCCCCGGCGGGCAAACTCCCGCCGGGTCCCACCCGGGTGCCAATCATCGGCAACCTCCACAATCTGGGCCCCAACCCTCACAAATCACTGGCCGATCTGGCCAAGGTCCATGGGCCGTTGATGAGCCTGAAGCTGGGCCGAGTCACCACGATCGTGGCTTCTTCCCCTGGCATGGCCAAGGAAATCCTCCAAAAGCACGACAAAGTCCTCTCCAACCGCCACGTCAACCTCGCCATGGAAGCCCTCGACCACCACAAATTCTCCCTGCCGCTTCTCCCCGTGGAGTCCAAGTACTGGAGGAACCTCAGGAAAGTGTGCAACTCCTACATCTTCACCGCCCAGAGGCTGGACTCCAACGAGGAGCTCCGGAGGGTGAAGGTTGCGGAGCTCGTGGAAGGTGTTCGACGAAATGCCTCCGGGGAGGCGATTGACGTTGCGAGGGTGGCCTTCAGGGCCACTCTCAACGCCATGTCGTCCACCATTCTTTCGATGGATCTTGCGGACGAGGAGAGGTCGGAGGCCGCCAGGGAGTTCAAGGAGCTTGCGAGGGGGATCATGGAAGACTGTGCGACGCCCAATTTGGGAGACTTTTTCCCTCTCCTGGCGAGGATGGATTTGCAGGGGATCAAGAGCCGGGTGAAGGGTCATTTGAGGAAAGCTTTGGATCTGTTTCAAACTGTCATCGACAACCGGTTGCGGAATCGGCAGTCGGAGAGCTATGTCTCGGCGAACGACATGCTCGACACGCTTCTTGCCATCGGGGATGAGGAGGAGGACAAGGCGGCTGCCATGGATCCACTTCGCATCCAACGCTTGTGCGTGGTGAGTATACTATACTCTTTCAGTACCAACCAATAATTAATTAATTACTATGCTCACTCTACAGTCTACACACTACTAACCTTTTGGTTTGACGTATCAGGATCTCTTCGTAGCAGGCACCGATACAACTTCAACCACACTAGAATGGGCAATGGCAGAGCTTCTCCGCAATCCCAATACACTTGCTAAAGCTAGGGAAGAACTGGATGCAACGATTGGAAAAGGCAATAATTTTCAGGAATCGGACATCTCTCGATTACCGTATTTACAAGCAATATTAAAAGAGACATTCAGGCTACACCCAGCAGCTCCCCTGCTACTTCCGCGCAAGGGAGGAGAAGATGTGGAGATTTGTGGTTTTATCATGCCCAAAGGTGTGCAAATTCTAGTCAATGTGTGGGCCATCGGTCGAGATCCGATGATATGGGATGATCCCAACGCATTCGTGCCGGAAAGGTTCTTGGGTTCCGAGGTTAGTGCTAAGGGGAACAGTTTTGAACTGCTTCCATTTGGCGCGGGGAGAAGGATCTGCCCAGGATTGCCTTTGGCACTGCGTATATTACATATGATGTTGGGTTCCTTGATCCATTGGTTTGATTGGAAGTTGCCAGATGGGGTCGAGCCGGAGAAGTTGGATATGGACGAAAAGTTTGGGATGGCTTTGCAAAAGGCCAAACCTTTGCTTGCCATCCCTACTCCCAGGTAATCAGAAAATCTGTAATTGAAAGCAACTGCTATCTATTGTGATCGATGTGGCGTTTGGCATTCTAAATGTAAGTGATTTGTGGCATTTTCTTTGAATTGGTAATATGTAAGAGACATTTTGATTTGGCAAGCATGTGGGAATGGTGATTGTAATAATACAAATATTGCGTGATATATATTATGAGCACTTATTAATATTTTGCAACTTATTATCGATTATCATTTAGAGTATCTCAAACATATAATCCTGATTTGGATAATACTGTATAATGTCATATATTACTATCATAATATAAAATCTTACCATCACAACGATCTGTACGTAGTCTAGTCGTAATTGGCTAATTGCTGGAATTGTTGACCACCCAACTTCAGTAGTGCTGACTTGACGCTAGCTAGCTTGACTACGCTTTTGTTGAAATTGACATATATGCATTGTTGAAGTTGAACCAAACGGGCGATATGCAAATCAATATAAACAAGAATCTCACACAGCACAAAAACAGACAAGCAACATAGCAGAGCTGCCATTCATCAATCTTTCATTTGCTTTGGCTAAGGCCACCACATGGAGCTCTCTAGAAAGCGTATAACAATAATAATCTGTGTGTCTGTTCGTTTGTTATGTTTGTTGTTTGTGTACACATTCATGATTCATCTCATTAACTTCCCGTCAAAAACGTTTCCCCGCCCCCTCCCAAACGTACGGTTTATACAACAAGATTCCCTCTCTCACCCCTTCCGCCAAAAACGATTTCAAAATTCCCAAATTTACAGCCTCTCCCATACAACTACTCCCTCACCGTGACACAAGGAACTGGGGAAGAAGACTTTAGACTTGCTGTGATGGTGTCGGTGCCAGTCTTGCTGATGGCTGAAAGAATCCCACCTTCTCGACCAAACCCTCCTCTATTTTGCTGCTACATTAACAGATACAGAGTATACAAACACACCTCCCTCATTCTCCCTCCGCCCATTGAGATACTGCACAAAGTACGCCATCCATCAGCTCTTTAGCGATCAGCACAAGTAAAAGGCAAAACTTTTGGATGGATTCAGGCAGATTAAAGATGTAAAACTTAGAAATTACCTATACCAGTCGAAGCAGGACAATTAGCATCATTTCTCTTGGCTTAATGATTGGAGTCGTTTGACTAGATTCCCTCTCAGTGTTGTAGGGATCTTGGCAATGAACATCCGCTTAGCATCCGTGATCAACATGCCCCTGCATTCAAAAGAATTTTGCGTTATGAATATGTTATGCTGACTCACACACTTGTGCTTTTGTAACTGGGATGAAGGGGAACCTATTTTTCACATGTTCTGAACAACCATCTTTTATAAATAAACAAATAAAACGAATTGGTTGACATTAGTCACCATTCTAAGGGTTTCCAGGCCAAGTATTTGCCCTATCCTCAGCTCAAAATATAGTAGGTGAAATATAATGTTTGACTTAAATGGCACGGGGGGTTTTATCGATTTAAGGGTTGCTCGCCTACTCGTTTATAGACTAACTGCACAAGTGATCAAGCCATGCATAACATGTCGAACTGGAGTTAAGTTTACTTACTTCAAGTCGTGTGAACTAGAGGTGGTTCCTGCATCTTGTGCACATAACCTCTTCTTTGAAGACATGTGACTGTATACCTCATTGGACCAATCAGATGATCGTAAAAATGCAGATGCTTCTTGCTTCAGTCTGCAACATCAACAAATAAGCACATGTGAAATCAAACAGGTTGATCTACCAACCCAAGATTGCTGACCAGCTTGAAATTAAAGCAGTTACACAACAGTTGCTTATGAAAATGACTTCTGACACCTTAAGAAAAACACTTTCGTCAAAAGAAGAGAAAAAAACAGTTGCTTATGAAAGTTATCCTAGTGAAAACTGGGATTAAAATGTCGAACTCGCCTTAGAATCAAATCGGGAAGTTAACAAAACCTATAAAAGAAACGCATCTCAGCAAATATAACTCTCTGCATAGTATGGGTCTGATGAAGAAAATATATCTAGCCTTAGAATCCTACAATTTGAGTACCACCGGTGTAAATTTAACTACTACAATTAGGCCAAAAGAAGTAGCCTAACCAATAAAGAAAAGATATAGTGTCCACTTGCAGCATCTATTTGCGACATTTTGGACAATTTGCTGAAGGTACCATCAACTACGTAGATTCCTGAACCATAGACCAACTCACTTCAGAGTAGAAGTTCCCAAGTCATTCTACAGTCCTTTTTTCCTTCAATAACAACATTGGCCACTTAACGTGACTGAAACGGAAAACTAGTGGTGGAAACAAATCCAAAACTGGAGATATAATTCCATCAATGCACAATTATCGGCACAGCTGAGACTAAATGAAGCAGACAGGAAAGAGAGTAACTTACAGTTCCTTCAGGTCATCAACCTTGGCTCTTGATTGAGCATCTAGAGCAAACAAAATACATGACTCATTCAGTTTTCTCTTGGACCTGGAAACAACCTGGGCTGCTGAGGCACCATTTGCTGTGTCATGGTGAGCAGGTCTTGACTCCACTGTTTCCTTGTGTATTGAGCCATTGCTCTTGCAGGGAAGCGGCTTCACAGAACTCACAGCACCATTTTCAGAGCTTTTATTTGCACTTGGAATTGTATGTGGATGGTACGGCTCACCATTGGCAGCATTATCTTTTGCAACATGTCCGGAACCATTCTCTAACACTGATGTCTTTGGTTCTTTGCTATGTCTCCCCAATTGAAGCTTGCCTTCTGAAGTACCATTAGCTGTCCCATTTGCTTTAACATGAACCTCAACCCTCCCATTAGTAATTTGAGGAACCATCTTAGAGACAGAGCTGCCTGTAATATTGAACTTTATTGGTGTACCAGAAGTGACTTTGTCAACCTTAGATCTAGCTGAAACATCCTTGCCAGAAACAAGAGGAGGCTTTGAATACACTGGTTTAGGGGGAAGAGTCGCCTTAAAACCTTTAGAGGTTTCACTGCCATTCTGGTGACATGAATGGACACCATTAGGAGCAAAAGGAGGCTTTTTAATAGATACTGGCTTTGGATTAGTTCGAGAGAAGAAAAGAACATATACTTTCTCTGACAAGACCTCCTCTAAGTTTGACGAAGTGACAAAAGAGTCATTGCAGCAATACCACCGGCCCATCGCATCCTGTGGACAAAATGCCACAATTTAAGTAAGTGGATCATCATCTTGCTTTCATTAACAGTATCAGTAGGCACTATTTGAAAATATACCTTGATATAAGCATAGTAGTGTCCAGACTCGGGAGAGAATCCTGAATGCACTATTGTACCAAAGAGGCTATATTCTGGATGGGGATCCTGAGGGATTGCAAGTACGAAATAAAGCACAATCAAATAGGCAACTCAGTAACATCAATAGTCAGAACAAACGAAAAAAACAAAGTCGCAACAGACTAGAAATGCAGCCAGCAATCAAGTCCATCCTTCGTAAATGTTATTCAAGCACCAGAGGACTAGACACATATTTGGACAAGCCTAAAGCAAAGTAGGGTGGTGCACTAGAGGAGCTAAAATAACCAAGCCCACTGTATAGAAACATCCACTCATGTCAAACTAGAGTTTGTTTCATAATAAAAAATAGAAACTTTGTTTCCACAGTTAGTTCTAGAGCACTAGGCACAGTTAGTTCTAGAAAGCCCAAAAATTTGTTGTACTTGTGGCCGTCAAGGACTTGTGATATTAGGACAATACACCTCGTGCCTGCTAAGTGCTAAGTAACATCAAGGTGTAACGATACCAATCATATGTTTCTCCATTCCATGCTTGGTCATCAGAAACACCATATATCCATGCAAACAACACAACCCAACTCCTCAACAGTTACCCAGCTCAAGAATAGGCTTGATCTAATTATCTCTATGGTAGTCTCGAGTAACTTAATTTGCCAATAGAACATAATAATTTAGTGTTTCTAAAGCTGAACAATATTTCAAAACTACATGATGGTAAATGCTATGTTCAACTTCCTAAACACTATCAAGCATACATCTAGCCCATGACAAAGTCATGACCAGAGAAGTTTATAATTAGATATTATGAAAAGTTCCAAGGAACAGAGTCTGGTTTTGCAGACATTTAAATAGAGATAAAAATTGGCATTCCTAGTACCAGTGGTGCAGCACAACCAAAGGGGGCTCTCCCATGGGAACTTAAATCTGACGGAGGAAAAATGCAAGAGATATAGTTTCCCGCCCACCGCTTAATTCATCAAGCATTCGCCAATACAATTTATGTTGTGCATTATGCTGCTCCTATCCACTAGCTTCAATAAAACTATTAACCACCGCATCGGCACAGTATCTCCTCAGTGAAGGCTTAAACACTCAGTCAATACAGACTGTGTGCTCCTGTGTTTCCATCAAAGAGATTATGTGCTGGTTTTTCATTCAAAGCATTCAGATGTAATTATATGCACATAAAATCTGACGTTCACATTCACTCCACCGGATAGTGACAGTCCACAAATGGTTCTAAATAAAGGAGAAAGATGAACTCTAGAGTGCAGCTAACCATACCTGGCTTGATTTGCACATGAAGCTAGAAAGTACCAAAACTTCTTCAAATGCTATTGTCCTATCGATCTTCCCGCCAAATATGCCCTCAAATCTCTGGAAACCCACCATCAAACTATGAGTCTCTCTCCTCCAAAAATAATAGCAAAGCATCACCAGAGTTACTGGTGAAATCAAGACCAAAACATAAACACATACCTTGAGTTGGATAACAAGGACATTTGGTGCTTGACTTATTGACATTTGCTTCCTTGCCGCCACCAATTTCTTACAACTAAACAAGCATTAGTCCCCAATACGAATAAAACCACAAGGATAAACTAGAAAACATCAACTATAACAATTAGGTAGTTACCTCTCACATCTGTACTTGTTGTTGCCATCCAGAATCTCTGACTGGAAAAACTTTTGCATGGCCTCTAAAAGCGAACCACTGTGCAAAATGTCGAGACTAATGTCCATAATCTCATCAACCTTATTCGATTCAGAATGACAAGACAAGCACTTCACTTGGCTCTGCAGGGCACCCCCGAATATATCCTTGACAACAGTACTGCCGCCAGCAGGGTCGATGCCCTTTCGCGTCAGTTTCTTAAGACGCAAACAAGTGTTGTGGCATGCATCGATGACATATCGCAAGAATTCGTGGGCATCCTCCTGTCGACCACGTCGAAAATGCTCCGCGTAAATCCGGAGGCAGCTCAGTATCTTGAGCGGGGCATCAAGGTTGACGCCCGAGCTTAGAGACTGGGCTATCCTTTTCTCAAGTATACAAAAGGGGCATTCCCGCTTAAGCAACCCGTTGGAACCTGAATCACCTGAAGGAAGAATTGCCAAAAAACGAACAGGATTCATAAATACCAAACAATTAAAAAAAATTTATGAATACCGAACCATGAATTCTCTGACCTAAGCAAACAAGTTTCTAGAATGTTGCTCCGAACTCCAACAAAAAGCATAGGGCAAAATAATAAATTGGAGGCAATATTGCTCTCTAGGAGTCGTATTGCTATTTCGGACGAGAACCAGAGCTTATTGAAGGAAGAGGGAGCTCACAGTGAGAGGAGTGCTGTAACCGGAGGCAGAAATTGGCGAGAGGTGGAGTATAAGTGAGGCACTGGAGGACACTGTTGAGGTAGCAAGTGTTCCCGAGGTTCCTCAGCCCTAATGGCGGTCCATTCTTCCGTTCCTGACTCAACAAACTCTGCTGCCAACTCATCTGCAGTCGCAGGCCGCCCATTCATCTAATCGACACGCCTATATGTTGCCGACGATCCCCTTGCTTCCTCTTCATTGGGCGGGCAACTACACAGGCAAGCAAGCAAACCGCGCCGCCGCGCCCTTTGTTCAGCGTCGGTTGTTATTCGGCCACCCACCGCCGCAATCAGACAGCCGTCGCCGTTGGTCGCCTCGGCGATTCCCCCAATCGCATCGTCCGCGTTGTTTGTCGATCTCTCCTCTCTCTGTCTCTCTCTCCTCTTCTGTGTCTTACGGGCTTCTAGCTCTCTCCCTCTCTTTCTCTCTCTTCGAGTTAACTAACTAATTGATAATCCAACACGGAAATACGGGATAGAAATTGTAAATTTAGGGATTTTATTTTTTTAATCAAAATGGCGGACGCTACTGCAGGAGACCGGGTGTAAAAGTAAAACCAACCAGTCTATTTGTTCGTTGGCTTCTATAAAATATATGAAGCATATTCATGACTCCAAATTGCAGGGATTCAAAAAAGCTGGCTTCTGAGAGCTTCACGGAATGGCATTTTAGTCTTTTCCTGCCCCTGCATATTTAATGAAGTGTTGCGTTTTGTATCTTTCAAGTTGAGGGCTCCTTCCATTTGAGACCAACGGGGCATGGAGTAACTAAATTGGGCCTAAAATGGGCCACTATGACAGCAGGTGAAGAATTCGTCCTTGGATCCAAGTGTGAAAGCCTGCCTGCCAGCAAATCTTAGTTTATAATTTACGAGGTTGCGAGAAAGGAGGTATAGTAATTATTACGTTACTAAACTTTGTTAAACAATAATAACAATTTAATCAAAATTCAGCTCCTCCCATAGTTCACTTCCCAAACTTGAAAAAAAAAATATTCAAGAAGATACTTAAACAATACTAAATACACCGTTTTATACCAAACAAAACAAAAAAACTGAACTCGCCCACTGAGTTCACCTTTCTCGACTCAGTGAGCCAACGAGTTAGCACCCTAACTAATCTGACCACAACAATTCCTCCGACGATCTCAACCACGGAGCAAAGGCCTCGAGTCTCCGACGAACTCCACGCTGTTGCTGTTCCTCCGAACAACACAGGAGTGAGCGCACCACTGAATCTCCTCCAGATGCAAAAACCTCCTGATCGAATCGGATCTCGACACCAATTTCAAAATCTCCTCGAACTCCATCTCCTCGCAGGGGATCCGCAGCGGGCCGGCGTTGGCGAAACCGAACTCCTCCTCGGCATGCGCCAGGACGCGCTTGAAGATCGGATGGTTGATGTGAGTCGCCCGGACGGCGAATCTCCGGCAGCTCGCCCCGACGCAGACGGCCAGGTGCCCGGCAGGGACGTCGCCGCGGCGGCTCTCGACGGCGACGAGTTCGAGGAGGAGGAAGCCGAGGAGGCGTTGGCTCGGGCCTTCCTCCGCCATTGCTTGAGCATCTGCTGGATTCTGACGATGTGGCGGATTTTGTTGGATTTCGGCATTGGAATTCGGAGGGAGACGAGAGAGAGAAGAAGGTAAATTTAATCATTTATGTATTGCTTTTGGTATGGGGTTACAGCTTGAATTTTAGCCCGTGGTACCAAAGAATCAATGACTCCTTACATTTTGCATGGCCTTGAACTTGAATGTTGGAAATTTAATCCAAAAGAGTTAGAATGGATCAATAGCTGAGGCTCAAAGCCCAGATGACAGAGTGTATATATAGATGAATCTTTTCATCTTCTACCCTGTGGTCGGTTCAACTGGCATTCTCTCAATTCTCATTTAGCTTCCGGCTCCTCATTCCTGATAACTTCAAGCTTCCCAACAACTTATGATGACAACGCTGAATATTTGTCAGGTTTGATGTCTCAACCATACTCACTTTTTTTTTTCTTTCCAAGAAATGTCAAGAGAGAACCTATACAAGCTACCAAGACCCTGCCCAACCCAATACATTAGTGAAGCCATCCTACAAAGTCAAAGGTACACAACTCTAAAGGGGAGAGTAACAGTGCTTTCTGCGCCACTCTATGGGCAGCACTGTTAGCAGTCCGAGGAACCGCCCTAAACTCTAAGACACCAGAGACGGAAGACCGGAGAAGGAAGCAATCCCGAAGCACCGAACCTCCAATGGATTCTGAGAGAACACCTTGACAAAGCTGACGAATCACGACCTCTGAATCTCCTTCAACGATGACCCGAGAAAGAGATTTGGACACCAAGAGGAGAATGGCATCTCTAGCAGCAAGGAGTTCCGCGAGGTAGGGATCAACAACACCGGGGTGAAGGAACCCTACTGCCAGAGCCACATGCCCGTCTGAGCTTCGCACCACTAGACCAGACGAACACCCAGAAGGCCGAACAGCAGCGTCAAAGTTGATCTTCAAAAATCCATCTGGAGGCGGCGACCAAAACGAGCAACGAGAGGAGGAAGGCTGGGGCGGAGGAGCAGGGACCAAAGGTAGGGAGGAAGACAATTCACGGACTTGGAAAAAACACTGACGAGCGAGAGACTGGGCATGAGGTTGGAAATGCTCAAAAACCACCTTATTTCTAGACTTCCAGATCCTCCATAATACACAAACGTATAGGAGAATGTGGGTTTGGGGGTGCTCAGAAAGCATAACATGTCGCCACCAGAGACTGAAATTCACAGTCGGGGCCGAGGAAATGAAATCATTTATACTCACTTCTTATTGGTTAGATTTAGCTATCCATCCAGAACTGATGGTTCACTGTCATTTTCTTTTCTTTTACACGACCACACAAAGTGTGTACGTCAATGTCTACCACCACAAATTGTTGAAAATGCTATTACCACAGAGTAGAACTATTACTCCTAAAAATGATCTCCCTCAATTATCAATGTCATCTTATTTCCTTTGCATAAGACCACAGTATGCATACTGATATGTAATTATGTACCAATCAGTGAGCATGTTATATATATATTACCAAAGAGTAGAATTGTTATGTCTATTATTGATGCTCCCCAATTTTAATTTTTAACCGGTCATTTCGTATCACAGATTTGGTGGCTGAAATTTACCATTCTCAACCCGTATCCAAACTTGAACAAGGTGTTTTCTAAATAAGGACGTAGAATGTGCTTCCAAAATTACTTAAGTAAATACTCTAAATCTCTAATTGACACTTTCATTTTAATTTCAATTATTTTATATTTTAACTACGACTTAAAAATTACTACTTCCAAATTTACAGGGGATCTTTCATCAAAGTTGCATTGAAGGACTCCTTGGTTGATCAATTTGAAACGGTAATTCCAAATCAACCACAACCAGATATGGTTTATGCGATCACTTTAGTACACGGAAAAATTACATGGTAATTGCATTTTTGCCAACTTATTACTCATTCAACTAGGTTACCATGCATCATATATTTTAGAAAACATATCTAACATAAAATCATACATTCTCATTATAGATCTAACAGGTCGTTCGTTGCATGCCAAGCATCAAACTTATACTTGAACTTAAATTTCTCCCAATTGCATGCACCCATTACTAAACCGGGTTGTTGATGTTGTTTTAATGTATGTTACTCAAAAAAAAATTGCTTATATGAACAATACCACCTCACATCGATATCTTTTTCTCAGATTCAGAGTAATCAAACACAAGATAAAAGATGAATACTTCTATGAAGATGCCAAACGACTTGCCCAATTTCACTCACTTGAGGAATTACATTCATGTCAATTATCCGTATCGAATCAAGTAACAATATCCATAGAACTAACTTAGAGGAAAACTTAATAGGAGATGGTTTTTTTCTACTCTTGCCTTTCCCTTCTCTATGGTTGGGTTTCCTCTTTAATTTGTGTGACCTAGAGGACAGTGAAACTTGCTCAATAAGCCACTTTTGGTTTTGAGTTTAGGGTGAGGTGAGCTGAGCTGAGAGAGAGAAGCAGAGGGTGTTTGAATGTGTCTATATGTGTCAGTTTGTCTATGGACTCATACTTTGATCAGCCTCCACCAATTATTTTTCATTATCAGATAATATAAATTCTATATTGAGTTATGATGCCCAAACATGATAGACTTGAGTAGAGCAGGATTTACACTTGCACCAAAAGTTTCCACCCACTTTTGCTGATTGTAGGGTGGAGTTCGGTCGGTTCGGTTATAATCGATAACCGCATGGTCGGTTATCTGTTAAACCGAACCATCTCCCACACCTACCGACCGAAAGAGACCTTAAGGCTTCAGTTATCTCGATTTTCGGTTAATCGAACTGCCCTCAAAACCAAAATCATCTCCGCCATCCCTTTGAATATTGATCGATTTTCGGTTAGCAGATAACCGGCCGATTTCAATTGTAACTGGTCAGTTAACTACTAACTGCTAACCGATTGTCCAGCCCTATCTGATTGAGTAACAATTTACTTACTTACTAGATGTGACTGGTTATTATGTGGTTATCTGCAGGGAAACAATTATGTGGTTGTTGCACATATCTAGAGCTACTCTCATTTGAACGCCAACGGAAACTCACTAAATTGTCCAACTTATTATTTCTATCCAATTCCGTACCTATAATTCGCTGTGTGATCAACAAGAAACATGACTAATAAGGAAAATGTTTGATTAACTCTTTAACTTCCATCAAATTGAGGATAAGTATTTTCAAATGAAAGACAATTACTTATATTCATTCCTTTATTTCCACTGAAAAATTAAAATTATTTCTTAGATTATATTTTTTATTTTTTTTATATATTGTAAGCGAATTATATATAATTCAACCATTTGCATATCTAAATACAAAAACACACATTCTCCGCCTAAATTCTCAGGCTAAATTTTCCCGACCAACGGGTCGGGCCCTGCGCTAGTTGATATAAGGCCGGACTCATTATTCCGGCCCAACCATCTAGTGGGCTAAAGGTGTGAGGGGTTGATGGTCTGATGCGTCTTGACCTGCGCTGTAAGGGCCCAGTTAGAGCCGAAAAGCCCGAGTGAACCAGCATACTCGAAAGAAACTGTGAGATCACTCATGACAAGAAGAACAGCAGTCAGTCTCAGTCATAGTTGATAGTCCTATTCCCCTTTGGTAAGTTGTCTTCGATTCCAGGATATTGGTTTTTTGTTCGCATCCTTGGGATTGGGAAGGGCTTAGAGTTAGAGATAATATAGCAGAAAAAGCTGTGAAACACAAATTTCTATGTGGACGAGAGCCAACCAAAGTCCAGTTGATAGGATTTCAGATGCTCATTCATCCACCCTGCAAACACAACAAGCTTCACACTCTCACCTCACTGTGAACCATCCCCATCATTTTCCCCTTCCCCCCACACACATCAATGTATAAATTAAGCCCATAGAAACAGCTAACGGTTCGGTTCAAACCGAACAAAGGTAGGGTATTTGGATGTAATTATATATAATTCAAAAGGAACTTTTTTTTAATCCCGACTCAGATGCACTTAAGTAAATCAGGCAAACCAAAAAACTATATCAGACAGAATTAGTCCAGTTTTGATTATAATATCATACTAGAATGACATAAACAATCATTTATCCTTAGATCTATTGAAACTCAAATAATTGGAATGAATTAACTCATCATACTAGAATCAGTTCAGTTATTGATCGAGAAATCTTTTCTTCAATTCTTAAGTAATCCCAATGTTAATTGTCGATTTATACGCAACCTATGAAAAGACTATGCAAAACTTCATCCTCATACATTGGCGGTGTAAAATACATAAGATTCATCATGCATGTCCCTTATCAACAACCTGAATGAATTATCTAAATAAAATTATTCTCGGTAATTTTTTTTCTTTACTTTTTCTTCACAATTTTTATCAACTCAATCCGATTCTAGACCGAAGCAGGTATAGACATATAAATAATATTTTCCCTATCTAGCAATGGGTTTTTTTTTTTTTTTTTCTGTTTCTTCTCGTGATTCCAGTTCCAGGCCCACCGATTATTTGTCCCCAAGCAAACCTTCACTTATATGGCCGTCCGAGTGGCTAGGCTACTACACCCTTATCTTTCTTTCTTGTTCCTCCCCCCACCCCACCCAACCCCTCAGCTAAAATAATCTTCTGTAACTGTAACTACTCCTACCCTGCACGCCACCAAGCCGTTGGTATTAGGCTCTGAAAAAGCATGCAAATCCCCTTTCGGTCTTCTTCTTCCTCTGGCTGAATTTGCTTCTCTTAACTCTTTTGCTCTCTTTTGCCTCCACCATCACAGATTGGCTTGTCTGAATTTGGAGTGGGGGGCAGAAAGGGAAGATGGCAACCATAACAAATGTGACCGAGTATCAGGCGATTGCAAAGCAAAAGCTGCCTAAAATGGTGTACGATTACTACGCATCTGGTGCTGAAGATGAATGGAGTCTTTCAGAGAACAGAAATGCCTTCACCCGAATCCTGTGAGTGGCTCGCGCGCGCGTGCGTCGTTGGGGTTAACGTGATATTAGAGTAGATCGAGTAGTCTTTTGATGAATGGATTCTTTCTTTTCTTGCTTTGCTTTGCTTTGCTTTGCTTGGGATTTGGGTACAGGTTTCGACCGAGGATTCTGATTGATGTGAGCAAGATCGATATGACGACCACTGTGCTGGGATTCAAGATATCTATGCCTATCATGATTGCCCCTACTGCCATGCAGAAAATGGCTCACCCTGAAGGTCTTGACTCTTGATCAATTTGCTATATATGCGCTGGAATATTTGCTTTGCTTGCTGATCACTTCCATGGACACGGTCTTGATCAATTTGTGTGTGCAGGGGAGTACGCAACTGCTAGAGCTGCATCAGCTGCTGGAACTATCATGGTTTGTTGTTGTATTCACTTCTCAGCCACCACTTTTCTATCCAAAAACTCTGCTTTTTTTTATCGAGATAGATGGCTGACACCATGAGTTCACGCATGTGAAATTATGACGCATATATATCCTGCTTGGTAAAACATCCATTGAAGATGTTTGTGAAATTTTGATGTTTTCGTGGTCAATCTTTTAAATGAATGGATATTGAGTGCCTGCATAGTACTAATAGGGAATTAAGCAGCAAAACGAGATCTGAAGAGCCAGCCCATGAGTCATGACTCATAAACCAGTTTTGATCGCCAAACTCGTAGTCGAGATATAAGTAATCCAACATAAATTAAAGTGATGTCCAAAGTAAAAGTAAATCATTTCAATGGATAGTTCAAGTTTCAAGATATCAAACTTCATGCCCTAAATTTTTAGGTTTAAAATAAATTCTTTTTTTTTTTTTGGTAAGATAAAATAAATTCTTTAATAACTACCATTTAAATTAGAAACACGAATCATGTCACATCAATTTATCGCATATCCATAATATCGGTAACCTCGAATGTACTTCCTACAAAAATATGCGAAAAATTAGTTTATTGTAAGTCAGTAAGTGTAAATAAAAACAAAATTCTAATTTTAAATATAAATATAAAAAAAAAACCCTCGATGGGCCTGCAGACGCTGTCGTCATGGGCTACTTCAAGTGTGGAAGAGGTGGCTTCAACTGGGCCTGGTATCCGCTTCTTCCAGCTTTACGTAAGTCCACCAAAGCCTTCTAGGGGATAAACTTCAATTCAATCACTTTATTTTTCAATTTATAACTTTCTGGTACTGAATTTGTAGGTCTACAAGGATAGGAATGTTGTTGCTCAGCTGGTGAGGAGAGCTGAAAGGGCTGGCTTCAAGGCCATTGCTCTTACCGTTGACACCCCAAGGCTGGGCCGCAGGGAAGCTGATATCAAGAACAGGTCTTTAAATGTTATTCGGTCGTTCTTTCGACTTCTTTAGTTTGCTCTATCAGGTCCCTAGAATTGAAATTATGTTGCTTATATTTTGGCTTGGGTTCTCTGGTTGATCAGGTTCACACTGCCACCTTTCTTGACACTCAAGAACTTTGAAGGCCTGGACCTTGGCAAGATGGACGAGGTAATTAGCAACTGATCTCATTAATCTTGATCTTTCACCTAAACGCATCTAGCTAGTAAGTCATTATTAATCATGTTAATTCGGTCTTTGCAGGCCAATGACTCTGGACTTGCTTCCTATGTTGCTGGTCAGATTGATCGCTCCCTCAGCTGGAAGGTTACTTGCTGTGATTTTAGAATAAACCTATATAATCAGTTCATATGAGATATGATCGATGATTGTGTTTTGCTGATTGTGATAAGTGTAATGTGTATGACTACATGGTGAAATGATCAAGCATATTCTTACATTGTAACCAGGATGTGCAATGGCTTCAAACAATCACCTCACTGCCAATTCTGGTCAAGGGTGTCCTCACAGCTGAGGATGGTAAGATACTTGTTTGTTCTTTTTTTAATTATAGTTAATGTTGAGTAGCTCCAAGTTAAGTTTCCATATTAACGAAGTCTCCAAGCTTCCATATTAACGAAGTCTCCACCAATCTTCTGATTGGTGATGTCTGTATGTAACAGCCAGGATAGCAGTTCAAGTTGGAGCAGCAGGAATCATTGTGTCCAACCATGGTGCTCGTCAACTTGATTATGTCCCTGCTACCATTAGGGCACTTGAGGAGGTATGTGCTTGTACATTTAACCAAGTAATTTCGTACTTCACTTGGCATAAACATAACAATACTATGCATCTGTGAGCTCTCACATACACTTATGATGGGTGATGTAACATTCTAGCCAAATAATGTGAAGCAATTCCAATGACTGCAATTGATGAACACATACTGTACAACCAATGCGCATTCAGGTGGTGAAGGGTGCACAAGGGCGAGTCCCGGTGTTCTTGGATGGTGGTGTGAGACGCGGGACAGATGTGTTCAAGGCATTGGCACTTGGAGCCTCTGGCATATTTGTGAGTTCCATTCAATCTTGTGTTCATAATTAAGCTAGCTAGTTGGCTTTGCTAGCTTGAACAATGCAGTTGAACTCTCACTGTCTTAATTAACGTATATATATATAGATTGGACGACCGGTGGTGTTCTCATTGGCTGCCGAGGGAGAGGCTGGAGTGAGGAACGTCCTTCAAATGTTACGCGACGAGTTTGAGCTGACAATGGCGCTCAGCGGCTGCCGTAATCTGGGCGAAATCACAAGAGCCCACATCTTCACTGATTGGGATGCTTCTCCCAGCCACCCTACGGCCAAGCTTTAAAGGCACCCAAGATGCTCTAAGCCAACCACTGGTTTCTTAATTTTCCTTTCCCATTTTCATGGATCCATGAACAGAGACTCGTTTCCTTGCACTTTGGGTTTACTTACAGACATGTGTATCCTTAATTCCTTTGGAGACTTTGATATATCGACCTCCTCCTCCCCATGTGTTCCTTGGTTATAAACGGTTCAAACTCTATATATGCCTGGTTCTAATCATTAATCAATGCCTACCCTGGCTTCCACTTTGTATATCTCATGTGCCGAAGTGTATGTATTCTGTTCTTTCTAACTCACTAGTTCCCACTCCGTCCTTCATCGTCCCGCCGTCGCTGGGAGGGGGAAACAGAGCCTATGTATTTGCTTTCAAGCAAAACGGTAGTGTTTGATATTATTGTTTGTACTTTTGACTTCTTGAACAACGAAACTAAAATGCTCCACACCTATTTAAACAATATTCAAATGAGAGTGTTTGATATTTTTATAATTTTTTGCGGAATAAGCTACGTTTATTACTTCTACTTCTATGGAGCTTCACCGAGGGTTCTCAAAACTAAAGGCTACAACTAATATAATTTGTAGAGAAATTATAAATTTCTAGTCAAATGTTTGGTTGTGACAACCTTTTACAATCTTAATTTCTCCTATTTTATTGTTACTAGCTAGGTGTAACTGCATTGGTGCCGCCTTGGTAACTACTAGTTGGCTTGTTGCTCCAACCGCTTTAGTGACCCCTTGTCACCAAGTCCACTTGGAATTAGTCTCCATATGGCCCCCTCAGGAGCTCTACACCAAGTCATCATCAAGTTGACAACCTCTTAGCTCAGCATCCTGGCCGACCAGCCCCAACCCCTAAAATTTCATACTTAGTCTTGAGGCTATGAGGGTGGTCCATGGCGCATTGGTACCTAGTCGCTTGTTACCTCCTCATAGGCTTGGCAACCTGCAAGTTTGATATCTATATTTAGCTTTTGGGAGGTTTCATAACTTGATATAAAAAATGTCTTGCCAACTTGATATCCTGTTGTCTGGTTACCAAGTCTGTCTTGCCGCCTTGGTATCTCTTTGCTTGGTCACCAAGTCTGTCTTGTTTTCAGACCTAGTTTTTTTAGAGCCGTATTTCATACCAAGGAGAAGAATGCATCGACTAGGCTATGGAGGCAACCGACCACTAGGTCAGAGATAGGGAGTTTGATTATTTAGGTCCAAAAATCCAACCTAATAATACCCACCTAGCTCATTTAATTACTAAATGTTGAGCTTGTCTTCTTAATTTATTTAATTTTTTAATAATTAATCGATGTAGTATAAGTTTGATTTTTTTATGGGTAAATAGTATTCAATGTTGGTTGGGTACAGAGATGCCATGCCGGAAATTGTTTTCCGATCTCTGTAACTTCTCTACTCGTCTATCCCCCTTGAAATTCCTCTTAATTTGGCTTTGTTCAGTCGGCAGCAGTTGATTAATTTTTATTTCCCCCTCTTCTTCACGAGCAGGGGTCATGTTGGGCTCAGAGTCCATATATCGCAAGAAAGTGAGCTTGGGCGGGGTTCGTCCAGCCCATAAAAGTCCAGATCCAGGTCTGTAGGCAGGTGACCAGTCATCAATGTCCAGCCCATTCATTTTGTTGTTTGCGCACAAAATTCCCTACAGGCCAAGAAGCTTTCTTTTCCTCATCGTCAGTTCACCCGCGAATCGGCGATTGCAAAAGCACGGGGGCTGAAATAACAAATTCAAATCCCGGGCGATGGACGGGACTGGAATGGCCGTCGGACAGCGCAAGTACAAGTGCGGCACCGCCGCAGAGACCCTAGAATTTATCAAGTCGATTGTGGAATTCATTCGACCTTACAACTAACTTCTTGATCACGGCGCAAGTCGTCAATTTCTTCACGGAAAGACTGTGGGAGGAATGGATGGATTGCTGCGGAACGAACCAGTTCAGCATCTCCTTCTCATTCCTTCCGGTGTAGTTGAGGTAAGGGCCGCCTGCTTTCTCCAGTACAGTAGTTCAATGTAGTTGTTTGGTTATGGTTTTTGTGTGTAATTGCTTTCCCTGGGAGCACTGTCGGCTTCTCTCAAGCAATTCATTCTCACTTTGAGGTCCCTCATGTTGCCAAGGGAGCAAGTGGACCTGCAAAAGGTACATTTACTTTGAGATAAAGTGTTATTGCATCGTTCTTTCTTTTTTGGCTCCATTTTGATGGAGCTTTGGTGAAAGAAAAAAAAACCCACTAGTAGGTTTGTGTCTTGTTCTTGCCAAAATGATTTTATTTCTCTTGGTAGGTTCATCTATTCATCTAATTTTCCCTTCTAATATGCTGCAGTTTTTTCCCAAGCTGAACATGACATCGCTTAGTAGTTTCCTTTCCCAGGCATGAACAAGAAGAAACGACACGAGGTATGCTATTCATGTCTGAAATGGTTATCGATTTTGCTAGTGGCCTGACTTGGAGTACTGCTCGTTGTCTTTAAGAGAACAATGGATCAACCTATTGCTAATTTGATGTAATGGGAGGAAACTATATAGTACGCATTGGTTTTCTCATTTGTTACTCTATCTTTGAATTTTGTATGGTCACATTTCTTTTGCATTGATGTGCAGAAGTGATTTTTGATGTTGGTGCTGGTGCTGGTGCTGGTCAGGTTTGAACTCCTTTTTCCCTTCTTCTAACAGACTGACATGTATGTTTGAAAACCCACGAGTACTAGCATGATAGAAGAGACTTTGCTTTCCCAACAGCTATTTGCAGAACTTACCGAATTCCTTTGAGAGGGACTTGCAGTTTACTTGCTTTCTTCACTACGGGCATATATGTTTGCTTTGTCATAGCTTTATCAATAATAACATTAGCATTAATCATCATTGTTATCAATTCCTGATTGAAAGGCGCCCCCAAGCTTGTGGATCTTGTCCATTGTAGCATTAGTGAGGATATGAACGATATGAGTGATTTCTAGAAAATTGCTGATTACTACTGAAGCAGTATTAAAATTTTGTTGAATTTGTTTAGTTGTCTGAGATGTTCTGTACGTGTTACATTTAACTCAGGGATACCTGGCACAAGTTCTTTCCTTTCAGTACAATCATCCTGTGGTTGCAATTGATTCTTGTTCTCGTCATGGGAAAGTCACAGAGACAAGGGCTCAACAAATAAGAAAGCATTGTGCTGCTCAAATTCGTAAATTGGGGTATGCAGTGCTCCTGTCTGTTGTAGTTTTGTGGTGTCATAAATTTTCTTTTCAGCATTAACACATTTTACATTATTGGGTTCTTTGCATTATTAAGAAGTATTTAGTTTGCATTTACTGACAACCCTTTCCACATCCCCATGTTAGTTCAGGAATTGGGACATCAGTATACCCAGGACGATAACATGCCGTGTATTGTCGACTGACATGCTAAAAGCCCTGGCTGCCATAGTACCACCAGCTGATGATGTCAAGGAGCCACAGTTCATCAACGAAGATACAGATGGGAAACCTTCATTGGTACTTGCTGGATTACATGCTTGTGGTGATCTTTCAGTGACAATGCTGAAGTGAGTTATCTTTTTATTCGTGCCATTTATCATTTTCTTTGGTTTGCTAGAAGTTGCAGTCAATTTTGAATGTCGCTTAGTCTTCTCTCTCACATAAAATTCCTCTTGGTTATTTCCCTTTTTCGGTCTAAGTTAGCAGCAATGCTTTGTTCTTGTAAATATTTTTCAAATCTAGCTCACTGATAATGCTATATCAAGGACGTGAATTGTATGGTTTTACTGTTCCCTTCAAGTGTCTTTTTCTGCAAATTTATATTTTTAGTTTCTCGGTACATCTTGATACATGTTCTTACAATTGGACCATGACCTTTTCTGAATGCAAAGATGCTAAAGCTATTATTAGCATTGGTTGCTGTTACAACTTTTTATCCGAAGAATGTTTCATCTCTGCTGGTTCTCAGACCGGATTTCCTGTGAGCAATGGTGTTAGGGCCACCGTCCTTTCTCTGGGGAAAAGTTCCCGTGATCTTGCTTGTCAGTGCACTTATAGTTTTTCTTTCCAATTAGATGTACATGCAAGATGTAGGCTAACTATACCCACAGGAGCGTTTAACTGTATAAGAGGAAAGGGTTAAGCTGTTGGGTTGTTTAAGCTTGTCTACCTATATCGAGAGCCACATATTTGTAGTATCACGAGTATCTTGTCCACATTTAGTTTTAGTCTGATGATCTCTAATTCAATATTATCATTGTTCAGAGTGCAGACTGCAGAGAGATGGAGTTGTCTTGACAAAGATGCTGGTCTTCAGAATTTTGATTTGCATGCCTTCAGTGTTGTTTTCCGGATGGTATGAGCCTGGCTGAGTTGGTTTGCACCAACTCTCTTTATGTTATGTGCAGCTTATGTTCTTCAGAGCTGACTTGCTCATAACATTTCATTCCCTGTCAAGGTTCTTCTTAAATACAATCCCGGAATCATAACTTCAAGCCCCTCGGTTGGTCGTCAAGGGAAGCCTTGCGCCGCAAGCAGCAGAGGGAGGTCCCCTATTCCTTTGAAAATGCTGAAGGTAATAAACATTTGCTCTTGGAAACTTCAAAAGGGACAAGCATTGTGTAACACAATGCAGCCTCTAGATTGTAGAATTGGCAAACTCAGTACTCCGGATCTCACTTAAATCTATTCGGCATTTCCTGATAATAAAAAAGAAGTATCTCTTGCAGAACACCGTTCTAACTCAGAACCAAACATAAATTTAGCTTTCGATTTGGTTAATAAAGGACTCAGCTCCAGATAAGTGCACACTATTTGAGAAATTCAGTGTGTCTGGACTCTCTCGCCTTGGTATCGAACCCTTGAGATTGATTCTCATGAAATCTGGAGTAAAGCTCAGCCTTCTGCAGTATGTTGCTATCACCCTGTTTTGGATCTCATCAGTTTCTTTATGCTGCATGTTGTCCTTTATCACCCTTTAACTTATGAGTAAAAATCTGTTTCTCGCCTCACCTCACTTTACTCTCCCTCCTCGTGTTCAATTTTGTATTAAACCCAAGTAAAGATGTCGTTCCAAGTATATGTTTCAATGCTGCATAACAACACAACTGATTACCACTTTGCAATAATCTGCTGGGGCTTATTGGGCCATATTGGTGTCTTCGAGCTGCTATGGGACCTGTTTTGGAAACTTTGCTTTTGCTTGATAGATTATTATTTCTCCAGGAGCAAGATGGTCTGCTGGATGCAGCTATGTTACCCATTTTCGATCCTGCGTTATCTCCAAGGAATGTGGCCATAATTGCCAGAAGAACTTGACACTAAGGTGTAAATGAAGCATTACAAAGACGACAGTGGAAGAAAGGTCAGATGATCTTGATGCCTGCCTCCTAGTTGAGCATTTTCTGTTCTACTGGTTGATGCAAGTTCTGGAGAATTCCAAGGGAAAACTGTTCGCAAAATGATTGATCGAATTGTCTTCTAATCTTGTGAAACCTTATAAAAACTTGATCTGATATCCAAAAAAACAGGCTATATCTTCTTTTCACTTCACCTGCATGTTCAATTCAGATGGCAGAAGTACCTGTCTCCTTTCGTAGGTATAATTGTGAACTGTTTATGTTGCCCATGAATGTGAAGCTGCAAAAACTGGTTGAGATGATGAACTGACGTTTAATGATGCTATTTCCTATTTTTTCTTTTTTTGAAATCCATTGGTGAAAACTTTGCTTCTACTACTAATACCTCAAGCAAGTTTGTCAATTCCTGAATGCTTTGTCTCTTGATGCCCTAGGCCAAGATTGGAGTGTGACAGACCAAGTTAAAAGTCCTAAGAGTTCATTTCCCAGGGTCCACATGAGGCTGCTTACTATTGTTCTGATGCATACTTGTGTAGGACCTTGTTTCTGTTTACCCGTTGATGTCAAGAAGTATAGGCTTTGTGATGATTATTGTAATTTGCCTACCCTACATGCTTCAATACTGTTCTATTAAACTAGGAGAATCATTGTAACGATCAATCGTCATCCATTGGAGAAGCTTGGATATTCGTGTTTGAAAGGACTTTGATAACTGTAGCTTTCTTTTTCATAGCAGTGTGAATGAAGGTCACTGTTAGCAAGTTGGAAAATAATTTGATTGATTATATTTCGATAGGGAGAAGCGTTTGTCCGCACTCAGTTTGTCAGGTACCTATTTCCGACCCACTCTAGGAATTCCCATCATACACGAACTGTGAAGAGAAACAATGCCAAAAAATGATGTAAGTGCATTTTTTGTTAATTACTTATGTCCTTGTTGGAGATATCAAGTTGGATTTTTCTTATGACTGGGGAATAATTGCTGTGTATTGACGAAAATCTAGCCGGTCGGTCTTTTGCAGTTTCTGACCAGCGGTTCAGCTGTAGAAGTCCTGGCAGGTAAATTACACCCTTCTCTTATCTTTTCTAGGGGCCAATGCCATCTTTAGTCCCCTGTATTATATTGTTTTGACAAAATACATCTTGGTATTATGAATGTCATCAAATAAGTGTCTGTGCTGTAAATCTTACTAATGAGGTCGACCCATTGCTAAGTGAGTGCTTTCTTGATGAGACTTGTCCCTTATGTTGGAAATTTGTATTTCACCCCTCAATTTGGCACCATTTAGTAACCCCGACCTCATTGAGTTCTATATGAGGGATGCATCGTATAAGAATGAGACGAATATATGATTGAAGAGAGGAAAGAATATTGGAAGGGTTGGCATTTCATTATTGTTTGTAATAGAAACTGGTGGGAGTAGGTTCTTGAGATGAATTGGATTGGTTGAGATAAGACCTTGAAGGGTATATGATTTTGGAAGCTCACAAGACAAATCAGCATCAGTTGAAGTAAGCAGACGAAGAAAGAAGAAGCATTCAGGAGGGTGGGATTTCATTATTTGTTCTCTCTGTTCCAACTGGCAATGCCTAGCATTGGACCACGTGTTGAGGAATATTGTGGTTTACTTAAACACTTGATTTTTTTTTTTCCAAGTAGGGTCTATCTTTCAGTAGCTGCCGACTTTCTCACGAATTTCTCCAGGCAAAATATCTGATTTAGTTGGAGGTTAACCCGAATCGGATCAGATTCGAGTATAATTCGATTCTGTTTCGATTTCAAATTGAAGACTTGTTCTTTTTTCTCAAATTAACACAAGACGGATCAAACGAAGAATGGACAGATTTGAATCTGATTGAATGTGGTTCTGATCCGATTCTGGTCATCTTTTTTTCATTGGTTTCAATCCGGTTCTGTACCAAGTTTGACTCTGGATCGGGTTGATTCATGCTCACCCCCCTCGCTGACATTCCTCTTCTTTTGTCTGTCTTCACTCTTCAGGAACATATCTACCCATGAGCAGAAATAAGCGGAAAGTGAAAGATCATGGTATTTCAAAGACGTCTAAGTGCAGTCTCTTCTGAGAGGTTCAGTCCAGATACGCTCTCCTTAACTCCTGCTTTCACTATTGCCTTAGACTGGTCAAAGAACTTGCAGTCATGCTTTTGTCTTAAAATACCACCACTGCTCAGTGCTCAACGTTCTTTAAGCAGACTTCTTCTGTGGTTCATATCAACTTACTTTTTATCATAGACAGCAACAGTACTGTTAGTTAGTCCTCTCATCTTAATTGACCGCTATCTAACCCCAAAATGCATGTGTGGATAGTTTCTGTGGTCGTGTGCAGTGTCACCCAAGTTAAGATAAACGTCATTAAGATAAACGTCAATGCTGTTAAGTGTTGAACATTAGTTTAGAAATTGTAATTCCACTAACAAGAGCGCACCCAGATTGTCATTGTCCTGCCAATGTGGTCGCTGGGGTCGGTACCAAACTCGCTCATCTGCTAGCATTTCCTCTTCCCCGTCAGTTTTTGCTGTTATGTCGATCATGTTACTCGCTTTGATTGTGGCGTTGCCACATCAGCAAAATAACGATAAAAACTGACGGAGGAAACAAAAAAGCTGCAGTACGAGTGAGTGCTTTACTTGTCTTGTTATCGTGTTCAGCACCCTATGTGATACTATATTACTTCTTAAGTTGTCCTACAGTAGGACAAATATTTTCAGTTATAGAATTATCCTAAACTAGGATCGTGAAGATTGAACCTAAGAGGCTTTGGTTTTTCTATTTTCACTGGGAGGATTTGCATAAGATGAGAAACGATAAGATAATGAATGGGAACTTCATCATGTTGCTGTAGTTTTCAGATGAGCCAAACTATTGACTAGGGTATTTGGTTTAGAAGGTCGTGGGAGAGGGAGAAAGAGTGCTTGAGTAGTGAATTTTGTGGGAAAGCTGACCAAGTCCAGTATGGGAATGTGAGCTTCTGTTCTGTGTTAGGAAAGACGGGGGCCAACCTAACCTTCATCAATCTGGCAATTTTTTATATATATGAAAGAATGACATCATTTGCTCACAATAAAGTATTAAATGGGACGTTTAGGATGATCATAATCTTTGTATTAGTCATATCCATTTTCCCTTGCCTTGTTTAAGCAAATTTGTCAAGTCATCTCATTATTAGCTAACTATCATTTTCCACTCATGGGAGTTGTTTGAAAGAAGGGAAGAACTAGCATCCCTTGTACTTTGGATGGATGGAGGAGTCGCTATGGTCGTTAATTAGGACGTACTTATTAGGTGTGGATCGATCTAATAAGCAATGAATTCAGTCCGAATGATTGGCGGGGACGAATTACTGCCATAGTATGGGGACTTGTTTGTGGAGATGGTTATAGTATAGTATAGGGACTGCAAATTTCATCAGCCTTTGTTGTGGGGGATGATGTTTGAAGTTTGATGAGAAGTTGCACACTTGCAGGCAGTAAAGTCTTTGTCAGCTGTTCCCAGGGAGGGATAGAATAGAATAATAAGGTAGTAACGAGGATTGGAATTCCGGTCATCATAGGGACATCCCACCCGTCCACAAAACATATTATAATCTCGTGTCCATATTCTTTCTTTCTCACGGGTTTCCTTTTCTTTTTCTCTTCAAATTACAAGTGGGCATTTTCATGTATTATACGGCATACGTATGTATATTACCTAATGTAAGTTAGGAATTGGGTGGGTGGGTCTATGTTTGTTTCGAGAGAAAGCGTCATTTTTTTGGTGAAATTCGAAACTCTTGAACAAGAAGTCTTCAATGGCCAGGGAGTTTGAGATGTTAGAAGCAATGCGATCAAAAAGCGATTCTATGTAAAAAGTATTTTGATGATTTAGAAGCGTAAAGTATAAGTTTTAAAGCGTGATTTTGACTCCATTGGTTAGAAGGAGTACAATTGGAGGAATTTATCTTGATTTTGTATTCTCATCAGAATGGTTGTACATACATATATATGGATTATAGTTACAAGAATGATATTGATGAGCGCAAGTAAATTACAGCTATGGGGAAGAAGATGCATTGGATCATGGATGAAAGAGAAACTCCTAGTACCGCCTCCACAAGGTGGAATGAAGGAGTTGCTGATACTATAAGTGAGTACGTAACGAGCATTGGGCTAGGAGTTGTTAGTAATGATGTTGAATAATGAGCGGGACATGTCGATGTTGATAAGTGATGAAATTAAAGTCGATGGTAATGTAGTGTATACATCTTTCATTAATTTCCTAAGGGGTTGACAAGTGTATACATTTTTCACACACAAGGGGGATGTCCAATACCAATAATATCCTAAGGGAGACTTTCACTATTGACATTCACTTGGCAAAAAGATGTCTCTCTCCATGTCTTTGTTTGCACCGGTGATAATAGTCGACGAAAATGAAAATATATAATATTTCAGTGTGAAATTGTTTAGATGGAAGAAATTTAAGGATGAGATTTGGCCAAATATCTTGCTCCAATGATGATGAAGGCAATATGTCAATTAGTTATCAATGTGCCAAACGCAGTCGTCATGGGGGGGTTTTGGCAGGTAGAGACAAAATTTCATTTCATACAAAATAATAAGGAGCGTCTCTCATCAAACACCACAAAATTCCATAGTGGTTGGAAAATTTTACAAATAAAAAAAAACCCGCCCTCCTCCCCCCAACAAACTATTAGAAATGAGTACGAAAATGTGACGAAAATGAAAATTTTATCCCTAGGCTAGAACCCACCGGCAATTTGGCAGCGATTGGTTTGTCCACGTCATCATTTCCCCACAAGGGGCTAAACAATACAAATCAGAGAGCTCCTAAGAACCCACCTAGCTTTCCTAACTCTTCAATTTGTTTGTTTTGTTCTCAGTGCAAAATATATATATATATAATATATATGTTGAGAATTTCTATATAATAAGTGGTTTATATTGTATATGCAATAAATTGATCTAAAAATGTGTACATTCATTGTTTCAAATCATTCTTTTATGGTTTGAGTAGGCCTATTATGCTTATCATTTTCTTTATAAAAAAGTGTGAAATGGCATCATAATATATTAGATCATCTTCATATAATTTGATCTCCTGCTAAAGTTACATAAAATTTAGTATGTCGTAAACTCTTAAGTTCAAGCGAGAATTGAATATAGAAAAAAACAATGATAACTGTTGGACCCGTAAATATGACACAGCCCAACTCGAACAGCAACGGTAATCCACAAGTGCGTATAGGCCCAAGCCCACAAAACACCACAAAGACCCAATGGAAGCCCAATGAGGGGTTACAAGGCTTGACCTATAAATATACTCTTAGGTCTTCCAAGTAAGGGGTCTCTCCTTTTCCTCTACTCATTTTCACATATCACTTATCTCTCTACAATATCTCTCTCTACCTAAGTTCTTCTTATTTCTCCATTATCATACTAATGTTGATCGTCGGAGTGTAGATGCAGGGGGCCATCCCCGCCCTTTCACAGATCCGATGTCCTACTTGTTTCATGGCTGAAACAATTGGCGCGCCAGGTAGGGGAAAAGAACAATCGTTCTGTCTAAACTCGAAAGGGATGCTTGTCCGCATAGAGGAAAAATGGATCTTCAAGCTCTGATTTTTGTGGGCGGTTTTGGGAGGAAAATAGTGAGGAAAGTCCATATTCGGCTCAATCCGCCATGATTTGCTGTTTCCAAACCCATAATCCGCCATTGTTTCTCCTTTCCAAACCCAGATCTAAAAACCCATATCCACTTTTTTATTTTGGTTTATTGGGGTTTATTTTGATTTATTTGGATTGGTCGAACTAAGGGATTTCTTTTTTTATTAATCCTCATCATTCATCTCATCTACCACCTCCAGCTCGTCCTTGCCGAAAAGGTTTGGTGAAAGCCGATACATTTTTGCCCCGCTTGCTTCTTCAGAGTCTTATGGTCATATTTGCAGAAGAAACTCGAAGAGAGAGAAGGGTCGAGTTCCGTTCATCCCATGCCGAGATTGGGGTTTTCTCCGTTCCCGACGGATTCTTTCAGAATGAGAGGTAAAAAAAAAAAAAAAATCTCAGATTCAGGCGACTGTCACTAATCAGAAATGGGTTGCGGCGCCGGAACTCCGATGAGAACGAGATAAAACCCTACAATGGCCAACCATCAAAAGGGTTGTGAGAATGCGCCTTCCATTAGCTACTTCCCTGGGTGTTAGTAAAAGAAGAAAGGTCTGGGTGTGCGGGTGAATGACGGACGCTGGCCGGGTTCCACGTGTACGGAGGCATCATTGTTGGAGAATGTGTGCTCGAATTTCTTCAAAGAAGGCGCTTGTCCGTCTGGCGGAAAAGAGACGTCATTATGTGGTTCATGCGCCCAGAAATTACAGGCCCAAGCACTTAGACTGAATCAAGCCCACCATTTATGACACGAAACGAAATGGTGACTCTCTCGGAAGGGATGGTCGTTTTTGGTCAGAAAAAGGAGAAAAGATGCTAGGAAGAAGAAGAGGCGCACAAAGCAAAGGAAGAAAAAGAATAATTAAAAGGGAAAAGAAAGGGAAGCGCATGAGAGTTTGGAGTGCATGGGAAGGGTTGGATGCGGCAGTAAATCAAGTTCCGAGGACCATACGCATAAAAAAGGGAGGAAGGAAATTGGGTTGTGATTTGTGAAATTGGATTCGACGTCAACGTTAATTTTCCAGATTAACACCACAAGGCGCCCAATCTCATCACCAGCTCACAAGGCTGGAAATTGTGTTCAACATCGAGGCCTGCGCTTCCGTGTCCGGTATGTATGAAACTCATGATGTTCACTTACGTTGAAACCTAGGGTGCGGTCAATAAAGGACGCACACACAGTAAGAGAAAGCCTTTGATTCACTCATCGGGCGTTTCAGTTTTAGTTAGTGAGTTGGGAGGAAATTGCGTCCAAGTTTAGTGTCTTTGGTTCAAAATACTAGTTGCGCCTCGCGCCCTTGGGAGAAAATTGTCTATGCGCCCAAATATAGCGTCCTTGTTTGGAAATACTCTCCGCGCCCAAATTAAGCGCCCTTGGGAGAAAATTATCTACGCGCCCAAATATAGCGCCCTTGGTTGGAAATACACTCCGCGCCCAAATTAAGCGCCCTTGGGAGAAAATTATCTACGCGCCCAAACATAGCGCCCTTGGTTGGAAATACTCTATGCGCCCCAAACTTAGCGCCCATGGTCTAAAATTATCTACGCGCCCAAATGTAGCGCCCTTCGTTGGAAATACTCCCCGCGCCCAAACTTAGCGCCCATGGTCTAAAATTATCTACGCGCCCAAATATAGCGCCCTTGGTTGGAAATACTCTCCGCGTCCAAACTTAGGGCCTTGATTTAAAAAATTCCTCACGCCCAAACCTAGCGCCCAGTATTTGAAATACTATTCGCGCCCAAAATTAGCTCCTTGGTTTGAAATACTCTATGGGCCCAATCCTAGCTCCCTTGGTTCCAAATAAGCTCCGCGCCCAAACTTAGCGCATTGGTTAAAAAAAAAAAAAGTGATGCTTTGGGATTAAAGAGTGTGGCTATTTCACATGATGGAGAGCTAGCGCTTCATTCTTGTGCGTCAAAATGAATACAGGCGCACGGTAGGAATAAAACCAACCATAGAAATTGTTGTGCAGGTGCTCAATGTTGTGAAATTAGGCTCGGGAGCGGCAACGAAAAGGGAGAAAGAAACTAGGCGCATAATTCTCGACACCTGAAACTGATTTTAGAGATAAAGGCACCATGCGCCTCTTACTTCAATCGAACATCTTAGCGAACATGTGAGTAAGACTGCAAGCGGCGGGAAGGAAAGAAAACAAGGAGACATCCGAGCAAGAATTTTTCGTCGACTGTTGCAATCCGTCGAGGAAATAAGAAGCTAGGGTAAAATAGTCAAGGCTCATATGTAAGAAGTGGAAGTCATGCGCTTATGGTTGCTCTGTAGTGGCGTGTGCCGCAACCTCAGTTTCAATTGGGTGCAACTAAAAGTGATTTGAGAAAAAGACGATGCGCCTCCAAAAGGAAAAGCAAGACCCCATGTAGTTGGGTTACAACATATTCAACACAAATTAAGCGCCAAGCGTTAGAATCAAACTTAAGTTCAGCAATAGAAATAAAGTAGCTTTCCTAGCAAACATGTCCAACTTATGGGCATCGGTGGGCGCCCTACAACAAAGGAAGCTTCGAATTCGTGAGCGCAAAGATATGAGTTTAACTTGTACAAGACTCTTAACTTGTACAACACTCGATACGGGCGCCTCACTACTACAAGTTCAACACCCAATGCCAACAGGCTACCTTACGAGAACATGGGGGGACTCCATAATGGAAGTCTAACATCTTTCTCTCTAAGATGACGTTGATGATTTATAGCAAGCGCCCCTTGGATGGTTGAGGGCATCAAAGCATACTTTTACACTCAAAACACAGTTAGCACCTGTGACTCGGGATTTCCTCCATACCCAAAGGGAAGCGCAACGCTATAACACCACAATCATTCAAAAAGTGATTTGAGAGTCACTATTACAGTCAAGTTGAAGAGCAAGTTGGCGATCCATGAAGGATGGCGCCTCTATTTAATTTCCAGGTCGGCTTGAGCTCCAACTCCATCCTGGTCCATTTACTTGATATACGTTTACAAGGAACCACATCAAGTATTAAGCTAAGTTTTTCTTATCACTACATAAATTATCTTTATAACTTATGCATACTTCAAATTCTACGGGTTTACTGTCTTTGTGATATTTTTCCAATATTATACTAGTTTTCTTTATCATTTGAATACTCCTAGTTAAGTATCAATTGTATCACCGAACACCTAGGGGCGATGGGGAGAGACAACATATATATTTGAAAATGATCAACATCCATAGAATCTCTAATTGGTGCTTGAAAGTTCATGGTGTGAGTAACATTATATTACATTGTCTATTGCGTTTATTTATTTATTTTCCTGTAAATGTTGGGAAATGAGCAAACTAACTGGGGAACAAGATGGCATGTAAATGTCAAGCGCCCAAAACTAAGTTTACAGGAAAGTTTGCAAGATGGAGACTTATAGTTAGACATCCAGTTCCAACTGCATCCTTAATTGGGGACAATTGTTGATGCACTCCAACTCTAATGAGACATGTAAACAAAAAAGCTAAGTCTTTTCTATCCCTACTCCAATTATATTTCAGTTATTGTATGAATCAAATTAAGTTGCATCGCTTATTATATGTGTGATCCTTTCTTTGTGTAATTAATATGATAATGGGGGACATGAACTGGGGGATAAAACACAAAAGGATCTTACTTGAAACTTGACAACTGTTGGGTTTTTAGTTAGCCATCCAGTGCAGCACTGGGTGCCTAACTGGGGGGACAATTGGGGATAACATGCACATGCACGTTCAAGATTTTTCCAAGGCAAACAAATCTTCAATTATGCGTCGAAAATGTCATAGTCTTTAGTTTTTTTGTCATTGCTTGAGTTATACTGTTAACCATGTTATGAGTCACATTATGTTACATTGTTCTTTCTCTACATGGTTCTTTCTCCGAGTTCTTAAGCTATTATCATCATGGGGGACATGGATAAGCTAGCCGGGGGACAAGGGGCACATACACGTTATACGCCAGAAGCAAAATACAAAAGATGTGACAACATAATGGATTTTAGTTAGGCATCCAGCATAGTACTGGATACCTAACTGGGGGACAATTGTTGGACCCGTAAATATGACACAGCCCAACTCGAACAGCAACGGTAATCCACAAGTGCGTATAGGCCCAAGCCCACAAAACACCACAAAGACCCAATGGAAGCCCAATGAGGGGTTACAAGGCTTGACCTATAAATATACTCTTAGGTCTTCCAAGTAAGGGGTCTCTCCTTTTCCTCTACTCATTTTCACATATCACTTATCTCTCTACAATATCTCTCTCTACCTAAGTTCTTCTTATTTCTCCATTATCATACTAATGTTGATCGTCGGAGTGTAGATGCAGGGGGCCATCCCCGCCCTTTCACAGATCCGATGTCCTACTTGTTTCATGGCTGAAACAATAACCTACGGATGATTGAAACAATAAATTTGTTAAGAAATCTTTTTGGGTCGAGATTATAGTTTTTTTTTTTGTCAAAAGATTATAGTACTCTTAATTTGATGTTTTCCTAGCTTAAAATTTGCTGTTCCCCCTTTCCCTTCAATTAATTATAAAAAATAGAAACATGTAAGCACTAATTATTCTATCTTGTACCAAATAATAATAATACAAAAGGTAGAAGAAAGAAGAAGAAAATGCTCCTCTCGCCCTCCCTCCCCCATTTTATTTCTCTCGTATCGTATGGGGAATATGACTTACCTATTACTTATAATAAATTAACCATGCTCTTCTTCCTCCTCCTTGTTTATATAGGGAACTGAACTTGTTATATATGTATTCCCCCTAATTAAGCTCATGTAGCCTGTCTTTGTTTCGGGTTCTCTCACCCAACACACAGCTAGACTAAGCAGTATAGCTCCTAGCTAATCTCTCCTCGATCGATCTTCTTCAGTTTGCTCTGCTCTGCTTAATTCGCTTCATCTCTCTCTCTAGAGCTTGAGAAAAGATCAAGCCCAGAAACTAATTAATTAAGGTAGGTGGGTAGATAGAACGGAATAGGATGATGAGCAACATAAGCATGGTGGAGGGCAAGCTGCCTCCTGGGTTTCGGTTTCATCCAAGAGACGAGGAGCTGGTCTGTGATTACTTGATGAAGAAGATATCCAGCTCCGACTCCGACTCCTTCTTCTTCATCGAGGTCGATCTCAACAAATGCGAGCCTTGGGATCTTCCTGGTACGTACGTAATTGTTTCTTACTTTTACTACCTGGTAATTAATTCTTACTTTTCCTACACTACCAAACTTTGTTATGGAAATTTGCTCTTATTTATTTGCAGTACATTTACTGTGTCCTTTTAATAAACGAGCCTTAATACTGTCACTTTTTAACGAGTACGTTAATTAATTTTTAGTCATTTGTTTAAATCCTATTATTGGCGAGGTCGCTTCATGATTAATACCGTCGCTTCTTTAATTTCCAAGAGGTAAACGGTAGTCTTAAACCCTCATATCTTCACGCACAACTCCTTTATTATATATATAGAGCTTATAATGAGCTCAAATCGTAGGCAAATATATGATACGTGAATCATCAAGGATAGATTTGTTGTGGACATTCGACTCTAGTAGAATTTTGTTACAGATACTTATTGAAAGGATTAGTAACAGAAAAGTGACTAATTAATAGGGAGTAAAACTAATTAGTCATTAAGCCAATGATTACCGACAGATAACTAGAGAGGATCTGATTTGTTATTCAAATAGTGTGGCTGATGCTGATATATAAGACGAGAGCATTATAGCAGCATCTCGGTAAGATCCAAACAGATGCAATTAATTAAAACAGGGTGATGAAATTGACAATTCTAGACTAATTTGTGGTCTGCCATTATTACATGCATCCTTACTTTGATTCTGTTTCTGTAAACTCAGTTTCTCTCTTTCTTTTTTGCCTCTTTAGTTTGATTTTGTGACATGTAAGTCCTTAACTTAACCATCCAAACAAATTCAACCGAGCACAATTAATTTAATACAAGCAACATGGATGAGAATAATGGTTGAATGTATAACAACCACAATCATATATCAACAAAATTGTTTTAGAATTTTTTTATATAGTATAATAAAATTCATGTTAACTTGATTACAACTGCATGATAGTCGACATTCAAACGTTATATATAATATAATATCACAAAAGATACGGATTTTTTGAATAAAAAAATTTATATTGCACAAACAATAAAAGTTTATATATATATGCTCAAACAAACTGATAGAAGACAAAATAAGACGACTATGCTTAGTGGTAATAATTAGATTGTGGTAGTGATTTGTTGTACTTTCAACCCCCTTGATATCTAACTGCTGCATAAAGAAGAACATTAATTAATCTTATTAATCAATATCATTACTTATATTACCTACTCTCTCCTAATCACTGCACATATTCATAATTATAATTAGTTAATATTAACTCAAAAGCAAATATCATGTCAAAAGTCTTTTGAAGGAATTGACAGTAGCAAAGGTAGGGGGAAAGAGACGGGTAGTGCATAGACCCAACCAAAAACGTCATACTTACCTGAAAAATGAGATTTTGTTTGTACTTATTCTCTGTAGTTTAGTACCTTAATTATTTTCCCATCTTTATAATAATAATAAAAGTATATTTTTTCCTGTCACATGTGTGAGGTATGCACGTGCCACCTTCGACTTGGGTATCTAACAATTAATCTTGGGTTCTCACTTACTTCAACCATTACCTTAATCCAATAACTCATTTTGTTTAAGTCTCCAAAGTACATTCACCAAACACGAAAAAGTCTGTGTGAAATTCCAAGTAGATCAAAAGTTAGAGTACTCTGATAGATAATGTGAGGATAATTACATCTAGCACACATTCAGTAAAACTGTGAGAAGAATAATATTTGTATGATCATTCATATGATTGCTACTTGATCATTTTGGTAACTATATATGCCAATCGAGAGTTTAGTGATTGAACTTGGGAGATTTGTCGATGTAAAGTATGGTGGTATTTTGGTGAAGTGAGAGTGCAATCTTTGATTATTTTGTGATATATGTTATTCTTTAAAACGAGATGCAAGTAGTGATCATTATGCAAGGTAAGTACTTTGTTATGATTTTAATTAATTGTACAGTGATAACAATGAAATAGATATAGGCCAAATAACTTTTAGTATGAGATGCCCACATATATGCCGTAAGCAAATGGGAACCCACCACAACCCATGGCATAGAACCAAAATTATATTAGAATTTTAAATTAATAAATTTATGTCACCGTTATAAAAGAAAACAAAAAAGAATAAATTATTAGAATTTTATATGAATTACTATTAGTTGAAAATAAAATAGAATTGTAAGTTGTCAAGTGGTAATTTAACTCGTCTAGATTTTGCTCCAACAATTCTCCACATATCCCTCCATTAGACATTGACCTCTCAACCACATAAACTTAATAATAATGAAAAAGCCATATAAACACTACATATATCATATATGTATATGAAGAAGTAATAATTAATCAGCGATTTATTTTAGCCTTACTTCCATCTATCACTTTCTGTATGATATCCGCCACTTGTCACCTCCCAATTATAGAGTTTTGGTAGTGACAGACGACAGGCACCTCTCTAGCTCCTCAATAAATTAAACCACTCCTTGTGTATACTATAATGGGGCCTACTCCTTAATTAATTATAACGATGTTTTCCACGTGTCACCTTCCAATTAGCCTTTCTACATTAATAAGGTGGTTAACCATCTTCACACTGCTACACACAAAACTTTTCCAACCATTCGAGTTATTTGGAACGATTGATTTACGAGAAACGCGTAAACTCCAATTATATACATCTTACTTTCTCCCTCTGCATGCAAATGCAGATGCAATTAGGGATGGCAATGGGGCGGGTTTGGGGCGGGTTTGCTTAAATCATCCCCATCCCCGCTTTCAAATATCTATACCCATACCCGCCTCGTACCCATGCGGGGAAGGTTTTCCAAACCCATCCCCATACCCATGGGTTTCGGGTACCCATGAGTAATACCCGCCCCGTACATCCAAAGTTATAATACGGAATATTTTACAAGTAGACTTTCAATTATAACATTAAATGCACCTACTATATCATGAAGTCGACAAAGAGACAATCATTTTTAATACGATTCAAAGCATATTATCCTAAAGCATCCATTAATCCATATCAGAGTAGAGTACAATGTCATTCAAATCATTATTCTCTACTGTGATACATCTAATAAGTAATAATCAACTAACATAATCTTGTTAACAAGGGGAAAAAGTGAAAGAGTGAAGGGAAAATTAAAAGAAATAAATTAGATTTTGATTTGGGTGGCCACTCAATTTCATTTCTATTATATATTTTTATTGAGTTATACTCACTATTATTGATAGGTTACAAATTGATTCACATATTTTTCATATGTGAAGAAATATTTTTGGTGGGGCGGGTATGGGTATGGGGCAGGGGAGACTAAAACCATACCCGCCCCATACCCATCAAACTTTTTGCGGGTTTTACCCATACCCGCCCCATACCCGGTCAATGCGGGGATTCCCCGCGTTGACTGGGTCGGAGCGGTCGGATATCCGTGGGCATGGGTTTAATTGCCATCCCTATATGCAATGCAAAGCAAAGCATGATGATCTAATTAATTTCAAATGAAAGGAATTAATGTGTTGCGTTGGTGGTGTAGGAAGCGCGTGCGTGGGAGGGAAGGAGTGGTACTTGTACAGCCAGAGGGACCGCAAGTACGCGACGGGGCTTCGAACCAACAGAGCCACCGCGTCGGGTTACTGGAAGGCGACGGGGAAGGACATGCCAATTGTGAGGACCAAAGCTGCAGCTGCAGTCGGCGGCGGCCAGCAGCAGCAGCTGGTTGGGATGCGGAAGACGCTGGTTTTCTACCAGGGCCGAGCCCCTAAGGGCACCAAGACGGACTGGGTCATGCACGAGTTCCGTGTCCAACCCACCCTTTCTCCCCCTAGAAGAAGTGCCGCCTCGCACAAGGTTCGTTCTCAATATTAATTATCATGTTATTTCGACCTATACAAATTTTAAATTGATCATATGAGTTGCATTTATTTGAGGAACATGTTAATTGAATTGCTCCAACTGCTCGAATTATTCATGAATTAACAGCTTATTGACATATTGTTTCTATTTCAAAATATTAATTAGTTTGAAAGGGAAAGATGGGTCATTTTCGAATATCTCCGTCCTAATGGCAAGAAAGAATCATGGAGGGCATATACATGAATGAACCTTGGCAAATGGATTTGAAATCCAATTAAACTAAGCCACAACTTGTAAGTGTCACTATAAGGAGCTTACCTAAGATCATTCTCTTTGGCCAATTTAGCTGTTGATGTATAGTACAATTTGTTGTCCTCTAATGCAAGTCACTAATTGTTAATTAGTTTCCATCATTCTCGATCTTCTGCTCAAACCCCACATCTTCATGAGATTTGGTACCTGTTGGTGATCTTCCCTCTAAACCAAATAATTGCATCCAATAATTAAGTTAGGGTTTCTTTTATTCTAAATAAATAAAAAAATCTTAACTGAATATAGTATTAGTACCAAATGTAAGATATTCTTAATTAATCTCTGTGGATGGCAATGGCATATATGTATGTGCAGGAGGATTGGGTGTTATGCCGAGTGTTCTACAAGAACAGAGATCAAGCAACAAACATTGGTCCCAAAGGAATGGCTACTAGGAACAACATGATCAGCTACGACGACGATGATGACGATGATTATCTCGACACTGATAATAACAACTCATCCTCTCTTCCGCCATTAATGGACTCTTCTTACAACATCAACTTTGACCAACAGCAACAAACTGCTCATGAAGAGCAAGTGCCCTGCTTCTCCATGTTCTCCTCCCATAATAACGCACCACCACCGCCTTCTAACTCCTTGTTCCCTCAGTTCTTCTATAATCCTCTGGGATCCACTGCAGATCATCAACAGCAAGTATTGTCTGTTGTCCCTCCTCCTCCGATTTCGTTGGAGGAGGAAACATTCAGTACTTGCGACCAGAAGGTCATCAAGGCGGTGCTGAGTCACCTCACCAAGGTGGAAAATGCCAATGATATTATTACTAGTTACCCTTATGTTGTTAAGGACTCATCGTGCTTGAGTTTGGGCCAAGGGAGCTCAGTGGAGAGCTACCTCTCTGATGTGGGTATCCCTAACCTTTGGAATCCATATTAATTAATTGACTTACCCTTATATATGTATGTATATGGGCGCCCATGCCCTTGATTTGATGAAGACAATCCTTAAAAAGAACTCGAGGAAGAGATGTAATGGTTTGTATAAATTTAGCCTTGTGGAGTGGAGGGTATAATTTATGACATTTCACTTGCGGTGGTCAATTGTGTAATGTCTAATATTATAAAATCTCAATTCAATATTTCTCTTAATAATAGATAATATAGTAGCCATATTAGAGCCTAGAATAAGGTCCTCTGAGACAGATAAACTAGCTGAGAAGAGGTTCCCAGACTGGAAGAAGAGGATACAGCACAACTCAAATGGGTTGGGGAAAATTTGGTTACTTTGGAAACAGGACATCCAGCTTACTGTTCTACACTCATCAGATCAATACATACAGTTTATGGTTAGTGGGACTCAGGTTTTCTTTGGGACAGTTGTTTATGCTTCTAATGAGGAAGCCAGTAGAAGGGAGTTATATCATGAGCTGAGTAGTATCAAAGTGACTCAAGCTCCTTGGATTGTTATGGGTGATTTCAACGATATTAGAGCATCTTCAGAAGCTTCTAACTCTCCTACAATGGATTCACGTATGCTGAGTTTTAATGATTGGATCAATGGTCTGGAGTTAGAGGAACATCAGGCAACTGGGCCTTGGTTCACATGGTTGAACAAGCAAGCCGCGAATCCAATTGCAAAGCGGTTAGACAGGGTTCTGATTAACTTTTCTTGGTTAGAGTTGGTAAATGACAGTAAGGTGCACATTCAAGCCCCTGGAGTTTCAGACCACTGTCCACTCTATATTGATACTTGCTCCTCTTTGAAGTCAATTCCAAAGCCGTTTAAGTTTTTTAAATTCTGGCTGAGGCATCCAACGTTTGATATATTACTAGCAGAAGCTTGGAACAGCAGTGTGATAGGGCATCCGCTTATCCGAGTGTGTAAGAAGCTGAAAATTCTGAAAAACTTGCTAAGAAAGTTAAACAGGGAGGAGTATTCTGACCTGCGAGAAAGGGTAAAAGCTAAAGAAGTCGAGGTTCAACTGGTGCAGCAGCAAGCTCTGTCTAATCCATCTACTGCAACATTTGATACTATGATCAGGCTGGAGCAAGAGTTAAAAGCAATAAGCCATGATGAGGAAGTTTTTCTTCAGCAGAAGTCTAGGGAAACCTGGTTGAGAACTGGGGATTCAAACTCATCCTACTTCCACAGATCACTCAGAACTAGGCAGAAGCGAAGTACAATCAGGGTCCTAAGAAATGAGCAAGGAGAGAAAGTTCAGGATGTGGATGAAATGTCTCAAGTTGCTGTTCGGTTCTATGAGAGGTTACTTGGTGTGGCTGACTCTGCAGTGGAGCCTCAAACTGATGAATATGTTTCTGGCTTGTTGAAAAGGAAGCTTAATGAGGATCAAATTGAAGGGATTTGTGACTCTTTCACTGAGCAACAGATCAAGGATGTTATATTCAAAATGGATGGGGATAAGAGCCCAGGACCAGATGGTTTCTCTGCGGCTTTCTTTCAATATGCCTGGCCAGTCATTGGATGTGAGGTAACTGCTGCTATACAATACTGTTTTGAACAGGATAAAATCCCTAATCAAGTGAATGCAACCATTCTCACTTTGATCCCTAAAATCCCTAATCCAGATGACATGAAAAATTTTAGACCGATCTCTTGCTGCAATATCTTGTACAAATGCATTTCTAAGCTTATTGCAAATAGGTTTAGTCCTCTTCTCCCTGCCCTGATCAGCAAAAATCAAACTGCATTTGTTAAGGGCAGACTAATAGGTGAGAATATAATGATGGCTCATGAGTTGGTTAGCAAGTACTCCCATAATAAAATATCCCCTAGATGTGCTTTAAAGATAGACCTGATGAAATCTTTTGATTCAGTTGATTGGTCTTTCATATTCCAAGCTTTGAAGTGTATGGGGCTCCCTGATAGATTCATTACCTGGATTAAAATGTGTGTTAGTACCCCAAGGTTAAGTGTGTGCTTCAATGGGGGTCTGGTTGGGTACTTCCCTGCAAGAAAAGGCTTTAGGCAAGGGGACCCTCTGTCCCCTTACCTATTTGCAATAGCTATGGAGATTTTTACCTGCTTGATAGATAAGTCTGCTACTGCAGGGAGGTTCCCCTATCATCCAATGTGTAAAGGGATTAATCTTACCCACCTTTGCTTTGCTGATGACCTGCTGGTCTTCACTGATGCTTCAAATTATGGGATACAGGAGTTGCAGAGGATTTTGGTTCAATTCAGGAAAGTATCTGGTTTACAGTCTAACCCTAGTAAGTGTGAGTTATTTTTTGGAGGGTTACCTCAGGATGAGAGGGCAGTCAGAGCTGCTAGGTATGGGTATAAGCTTGGGGAATTCCCTGTTAGATACTTGGGGATTCCCTTGATTGCTGGTAAGCTGAGTATCAATGCTTGTAAACCGCTCATTGAGAAGATAACTGCTAGAATTACTGCCTGGAAAGCCAAGTCACTGTCGTATGCAGGGAGGATTGAACTTGTTGGCACTGTTCTTTACAGTTTGTCTCAATTCTGGATGTCAGTTTTTATTTTGCCTCAAGCTGTGATTAAGGAAGTGGAGAAGTTGTGCAGCAACTTTATATGGGGTGTGGAGAGAGGAGTGAAACTCAGAGCCAATGTTGCTTGGCAGAAGATAACGTACCCAAAAAGAGAAGGAGGTCTGGGCTTTAGAGATATGAAAAGCTGGAACCAGGCGTGTGCCTCAAGGCACATATGGCAGATCCTGCTCAAAGAGGGATCTTTATGGGTGGCTTGGATTACTAAGTATAAGCTCAAAGGGAGATGTTTTTGGACTTACAACAGCAAGGCAGGATATTGGAATTGGTGCAGAATCCTGAAACTTAGAGGTAAAATTTCTCTATTCATATCCAGCAGAGATGGTGTGTTTCTACTTGATGGGATGCCAATGCCTCGTTTCTCAATTAAACGAGTTTGGCAGCTTATTAGGCCTGCTCAGCAGAAGGTTGACTGGTGGAGGTTGGTTTGGCAAGGGGTGGCTATTCCAAGTAACCGATTACTGACTTGGTTGATTATTAGAGGTAGCATTCACACGAAAGAGAGTATGCAGAGATGGGGTGTTCAAGGTTCGATGGATTGTGTTCTGTGTGGAGAAGGAGTAGAGAACATACAACACCTCTTTGTATTCTGCCCCTTTTCTAGGCAGGCTTTGAATGCTTTGTTTGTAGGTCCTATGCAGGTCCCGCAGCATCAAACATGGGAGGACATGGTATTATGGATGATTGAGAAATATAACAAGAAGGAGGAAGTGGCTGAAACAGGGAGGATGATATGGCAAACATGGCTCAGCCACCTCTGGAGAGAGAGATGTCGTCGAATGTATGGTGCTAAGGTGAGGGGATTAAATGATCTGATCTTGAGCATGAAAGCTGAGGTGGTCCATGTCTTGGGGAGTGAACGAGTGCAACAATTCTGGGAAAGCTAGTTTTTCTGTTTCAGAGGTAGGGTCAGATTAGTAGGTTGATTTGATGTTAGGTTACCAAACGTTATTACTCCCTAGCTAGCAAGGGTGTTGCTAGCAACTCTCTTTTTTGATGAATATACAACCCGCTGATTCATAAAAATAAAAAAAAAATTCGAATTATTTGATACATTAATTATCAACGTAATATGATCAAAGCATAACCTTAACAAATTTCAATTCGAATATTTAATTTAAATACAAGATATACAATTAATTCTTAGCACATTATTTTTGACATTGGATGTCATTTATCGCGTTTCTAAGCCATTGACTAGATCCAAATGGCTAAAAATAAGAAGCTCATAAAAGAGGAGAAGTAAGACTATACAAAAATGGGCCTTGATGTGAAGAATAATAGCCCCAAAAGATAAGATCAGAAGTCCAATAAATCTGATTCTAGCCCATTCATCTTCACCCGCCAATTTTTGCGGGAAGGATCGGTTGAGCAAAATCATCAAGTTCAGGATCTGCTTCCGAAAATTACAAAGTTTAAGTGCTCGTTCGAGAAGCATGCACAGTTTAGGGACCAAAATGACGATTAATCGTCCAAAACTTCTATCGTTGACTTATTTATTTGTACTATCCTCCAAAACTTGCTTCCACTTGCTTCGATCCTTCTCTCATGGCGGATGGCGATGTGCTTCCTCGAAAACTTCATCTTCCTTCCTTTCTGGATATTCCCAAGCAAAGCAATAATAATAAAGAAAGACGACGAGACGACCCGGCATTTCTAGAAAGACTCCTCTCTTTTCATTTCATATATGGACAACTGAGAAAAAGGTTTGGGCCTTTTTGGGGGTCTTCGTATTTTAAGGGATTTCTCAGTTCCACCGGCAATTTTCCCCGATTAATCGCCTGCGGTGACCATGTGGATTTACGGTCTCCTCGCTGTGCAACTGTTCATCTTCCTCTGGCAACTCACCCGCAAACTTAAACCGCCAGTCAACTCTCTCGCGGCAGAGTCAACTCCATCTTCTTCCGCAATCTGTGACAATAATGGAGCAGCGCCGGTCCCGATTGTGTACAAGTACGACGTGTTCCTGAGCTTCAGAGGGGCTGACACCCGCTTCAATATCACCAGCCATCTCTACGCTGCTCTGAGAGGCCGCAGCATCATGAGCTACATCGACGATGTTAATCTCCAGCGAGGGGTGGACATCGTCGATTCCCTGTGGGGAGCGATCGAGCAGTCGCGGATGGCCGTCATTGTGTTTTCCGACAACTACGCCGATTCCGGATGGTGTTTGGACGAGCTCGTCAAGATTGCCCAATGCCGAAAAACCCTAAATCAGGTGGTCTTGCCGGTCTTTTGCGGCATGCCTCCCGAGGATGTTCGAGATCAGACCGGGAGTTACGGTGTTGCTTTTGCCAAGCACCGTCAGTCGACGGCCTCGCCGGAGAAAGTGAAGATGTGGAGGGCTGCGTTGCAAGAGGTCGCCGGTATTCCTGGCTGCGAGTCTCTCAAAATCAGGTAACAAAATATCGATTTGGTCACTGAATTAGCGTACACGAATCATATTGGTCACTGAACTCTCTACTCCATCTATTGTATGGTTAAACAGCACAGGGGCTGAGCTCGTCAAAACAGTGGTTGAAACTGTCCTAGCAACATTGGATCAGATTTCCCCAGTTTCACAGTTCCCTGGTTTGGTTGGAATCCACACCCGAATTGACGATATCGAATCCTTGTTGCACCTGGCTTCTGATTCAGAAACCAGGATCGTCGGAATGTGGGGGATGGGTGGCGTCGGCAAAACCACACTGGCCAGAGCTATATACGATCAGTTCTCGTCCAAATTTGAAGCCTGTCATTTCCTTGGTGACTTCAGGCAAGAATTGGAGAGGCGCTCTGAGCTCGACCTGCAACACGAGCTCTTCTCGACCCTACTGGGGGACGATTACAACCATCACACCGCTGAAAGAAGCACAAATTTGGCACTAACTTATGCCAAAATGCGTCTCACTCGTACCAGGGTTCTTGTAGTTATCGACGATGTTGAGAACCCAGTAGCACTGCATAACTTGTTGGATAAGCAACCCCGTACTCTGTTTGGTCCTGGGAGTAGGATCTTGGTGACGAGTAGAGACCACCAGGTTCTTCAGAATGTATGTGATGAAGTCTACGAGGCGAAGGGGCTGAATGACTACGAATCGCTTCAGCTCTTTGCTTCGAATGTGTTCAAGAATGCTATCTCTGACGAATTCGTGGAGCTGTCATGGCGAGCCATAAAGTACCCATCAGGCAATCCACTGGCTCTCATAGTCCTTGCAAAGGCTCTGTTTGGGAGAAGCAAGGAGTACTGGGAAAGCATATTGCTGAGGCTTCACAGAGGGGAGCCGAACCAAAAAGTTCAGAACGTGTTAAGGATAAGTTATGATGGTTTGGATCGTGATGAGAAGAATGCCTTCCTAGACGTAGCATGCTTTTACAAAGGAGAGAGTCGAAGGCATGTGAAGTCCATGTTAGATGGTGCTTATGGTGATGGATCTTCTGAGAATATTGTCACGTCGCTTACGGATAGAGCTCTCATTGGGATTGCACATGATGGGTTGACGGTTATGATGCATGATTTGTTGCAGGAGATGGGTCGTGGGATTGTGAAACATGAGTCTGATGATCCGGGGCAACGGAGCAGGCTTTGGGATCAGAATGATGTCTACTCTGTGCTTACCAGAAAAGGGGTAATTGAATTTGAATGCTAATTGCATGTTAATGGTCAGAATCGAGTATTATTTTTTGCCATCGAAACTTGCTTATATGTACATACACATTAAGTATTGAATTCAGTTTTTAATCGTCTTAGCTCCGTCAGTTCTTGCTATTATGTTGTTGATGAGGCCGCCTTGAGGGTACAAGAGGCTGCCATATCAGAGCAACGTACCAACCGGAGCTGACGTAAGAAATGAAAATGCTAACAGTGATTTATTAATATGAGTTCAATATGTCGATGTCCAATATGATACATAGGCGAGTTCGGGGAACCAAATTGAAATTGGTATTTAGCCCTTCGGTAATCACTTATCTAACAACTTGGCAAGGTGTTCATCTCTTAACTGTTTATGTATCATGATCTTCAGGGTACCAAAAGAATCAAAGGTATATCTATGGAGTTAGGGAAAGGCCAGATGCAACTGGACTCGGATGCATTTGCAGGGATGAGTCGTCTAAGGGTCATTAGGTTCTATGTGCCACGCCATGGTTACGGCGATTACACTGAGGTGCAGTTACCTGCAGAGGGGCTTCAGTTTCTTTCCAATCGGTTGACGAGCTTCCAGTGGCCCCATTTCTCTTCAAATTCTCTTCCACCAACATTCCGAGCAGAGAATCTCATTGATCTTCGTATTCCCTATAGCAACGTCAAGCATCTTTGGACTGGCGTCCAGGTAACGTGCTTATCCCATATCTGCGTATACAAATTGCTCCGTTCCATTTTTCGGTCGAAAACTCTCTTCTTCGGAGTTGTCTACTTAACATCAAAATCACCACAATGGTATTGAAGGTTGTTGGTAACAGGGTAGAATGTCAAAATGATCAGATATCTATAATAAAATAGTCATTTCATCCAATCTGCAGTCAGTTAGGTTGAGTTGAATAGGCTCATTTCACCGGAATCGCCCACTAGCTAGGCACCCACCAAATTCTATCATTTCCAACTTGAGAATGAATAGGATCTCCGCTTCTACTCGTGGATCAGGAGGTGACCTGGGTCTGAATAGGAAAGGCTTAACATTGTATCACGGTTTTCTGTCTGAGTGACCATTTTGGTAGCAACTTCATATTTCAGTAACCACCCATGAGTCCATGACCCCTGTGGCTACGTTTCGTACATACATTTCATGCATGCATGCCTGCCTCTCTACGTAAACATCTGAAACCAATTGTCCTTTATTATCACTCAACAGAATCTTGGGAACTTGAAGTACATCGAACTCAGCTACTGCAAAAACTTGGTGGAGCTGCCGGACTTATCACTGGCCAAAAGAATCGAGGACATTCATCTCATTGGATGCGAAAGCTTGGTGGAGATCCCATCCCACGTCCAACAATTACCGAATCTATCGAACTTCAACGTCTGGAACACCAAGAGCCTCCCTGACCTCCCAACTCAGTTCACATCCAAATCAATCAATTCCCTCTCCATCTCCGCTGAGAACTTGCCTGCAGCCGCAAACTACGACCAACTATACCTCGGCATCCATCCAGCAGAAGAACAAGAAGAACAGCTTGATATTAATGCACCCATACCAAGCAGAGTTCTCGACATTAGAAACAGCTTGCACATAACGGACCTCCGTTTGAACGGAACGATGATCCAAAGGCTCCCGGCATCAATCGAGCTGCTCACCGACCTCGTTCTCCTCGACATTTCTAACTCGAAGCATTTACATTTCGTTTCGACCAACATCTGCAAGCTGAAGAAGTTGGAGAACCTCGATCTTTCGGGCTGCATACGGCTGGAAACTTTTCCGGAGATTTTAGAGCCCATGGAAAAGCTGGGCCACTTGTTCCTGGGAGGGACGTCGATTACAGAGTTGCCATCTTCGGCGGTTTATAATCTGGTGAACAGTACAGCGGTGAATCTCAAAAACTGTAGAAAGCTTGTTAGGATTCCTGAAGATATTCAGTTCTTTGATAACTTGACGCTGATTGACATAAGGGATTGCGAGAGGCTTGTATGTTTGCCGAGGCTGCCGCTGCGAGTGAAGACGTTGAATGCGGATGACTGTGTTGCTCTGAGCGAGTTTCCGGAATGTTGGGATCTGCGGGACCTTGTGTCTTTGAGACTCGGGAACTGCTTCTTACTTGACCAGGATGCGATCGTTGGATGGATGGTGAATGCCTTTGCTGATGTTCAGGTTTGTACCCGAATCTCTGTAAGATTGGATTGATATTGCTGCAGCTTATAATGAATGATTTTACGTAGATATCAGTTCACAATCAGTTCATACCAATAATTTGATATTAGGATCTTTGACGAAAAGAAACACATAAATTTGAAGCTTGTACTGACTTGTTCGTGCTCAAGTCCGTTGCTAAGATTGGGGTTGCTAGAATTAGACCACAAGACCCATTTTGTCATTGAAGCTTTGATACTATGTCAAAAAAACAGTTCTTCCCAATAGCTCTCGGCTTGCCGTTGCCAGAATATATCTTATTGGCCGCATGCTTAGTGATGAATGTGTTTCTCTTTACAGAGAATAGCGGCAGAGATGTACTTCCCGGGAAGTGAAATCCCACATTGCTTCCAGTACAGAAGCAATGGGTCCGAGGTCACCATCCAGCTGCCGTGGAACATGGACGATTTCCTTTATGGGATCAAAGGAATCGCTTACTGTTTAGTCGTGGAGGATGATGGCAGCTGCCCTGTCTCAGATGACACTGAGGACATGCGTATTGGCAAATATAGCACCACCATACCCTCCCTCGAGTGCCATTGGAGAACATCTTCGCCACTGCCATCGTCATCCCAGTTTCGTAACTCAAGGGGGACATGGTGTCACAATGCCTTCACCAGGGGTTTTACGCAGTTCAAGTCCAATCATCTGTTTGTTACTTACAGGAGCAGAGATCACGACCGCGAGATATTTGATGCGCGAAATTTGGGGCGTGATGTGACGTTTAGTTTTCAGTTTTGTGATGCTTGGAAGGTGAAGAAAGTCGGGGTGATGCTGGTGGAGTTTGATTATGGTTATGGTAGTTATGATGATGGTGATGTTCGCTTCGATGGTAAGTTGATGGATTGGACTGCAGGTGGTGATGATCAGCCATTGGATTTAGGTAATGATTATGATGGTAAGCCATTCTATTTAGGTGACGATTTTAATGAGCCATTGTATTTAGGTGATGATTATGATGACAGGCCAATGTATTTAAGTGATGATTATGATGAAGAGCCTGTGTATTTAAGTGATCGCTATGATGATGAGCCATTGTAATTTAGATTAGTGCTTGTTTGGTTGGTTGGTTGTATACTTGTATTTGAGGGATACAAAAATTCAGTTAATTTTCAGTCGTTGTTAATTGTATGCATTCCTAACTTTACTCTTGCTCGATTTCATTGTGTCACCAATTTGCTCTCTCTTTCTTTTTTCTTTCATTGATCTGGGTTGAACTTCATCATTGATTTGCCGCATCAATTTGCCCTCTTTTTCCTTTTTCTTTCTAGGAATCAAAAATACATTTAGTTCAATTTGATCCTTCCATTTTCAAAAAATACGTAAAGTTGAAATGTAGGAAAAAGTTCAAAATAGGGTTATCAAATCTGAATCATAGTAAACTTCAATTTGCCCTTTTATATGAACAAACGCAAATTAGCTCAATTCAATTAAAAATAGCTATAACTGATAGACGGGATCATTGTTCACGTGATATGACAATATCTATTAGTTAGCATCTTCGATCATAAGAGGAGAGACATTATTCGACAAAAAACACCTACTTCTTCCTCCAACTTGCACACCACCATCATCATCGTCATCAGATTCCTCATTGACAATCCCACGCCCCATTTCCTGCACCAAATCATGCATCTCAACTCTCTCCCCATTGTCGCCGGAAAATCTCACCAGAGACTTGTCTACAAGTGAAGCCATGATGTACTCTGACGAACCATAGCCATAACTCCCATCCAATTTCAACTTCACATACTCCTTGCTCTCTCCGTTGAACAAACAAGCAATGTCAAGAAACCCATTCTTCTGATCTGAATCTAAACCTTCAAAACTTTTCTTCAATAGCCTCTGAATTCTCTCGTTGGGTATTCTCTGAAGTCTAAACAGTGTGCTTTCCCAATATTCCTTGCTCCTGTCTTTCAGAGCTTTACCAAAAACTACTAGAGCCATTGGATTGCCAGCCGCATATGATACGACCTTCCTCGACATCAAAATGAACTCTTCCGGCGGATCATCGGTATGTGCAAAGGCAATAGAACAAAATAGTTGAAGTGATTCGTCTTCATTCAGCCCCTCGACTTTGTAGATATCATCGCATTCATTCATCAGTACTTGGTGATCTCTGCTCGTAACTATAATCTTGCTTCCCCGACCAAACATAGTATGTGGTTGCTTGTCCAACAAGTTATACAACATTGTTGAATCTTCGACGTCATCGAGCACGACGAGGACTTTCATTTGCCGAAGGTGATTTCTTGAAAGCGTGGTCAAAGTAGTGAAGGTATGATCGTTTAGTATGCTCGAGAAGAGTTGTTGCTGGAGTCGAAGTTCGGTTGTCACTTCCAATTTTTGTCTGACCTCTGCTAGAAAGTGGCAACTGTCGAACTGGGTTACCAGTTGATCGAAAATTGCTCGGGCGAGAGTGGTTTTGCCCATGCCGCCCATCTCCCATACTCCGATGATTCGTGTGAGATCCAATGACGATGAATCTAATCTTAGCAAGGATTTGATCTTCTCAACTCGACATTCAACTCCGACTAAGCCGGTGAATTGAGGGATTGGGGACATTTGATTCAGTGTTCTTAGTACATTTGCCGCAACTATCTTCACTAATTCAGCCTCTGCCCTGATCGAAGTACAAAAATTTGTACGTCATTAATTTAGGCAATGTCCATGAACACAAAGCAAAAATCAACTACCTATTTGCAATTTTTCCACTCATCAAATTAATATCGATTGCATTCATGGTTAACCTTAGGGTAAATACCAAACCTTTCAACAATTGTAAATTATAAGCCAAATCTTTCGAAATATAAAATATTAGCCTAGTCTTTGTAACACATCAAAATATTAGTCATTTGTATGTTATTATCAGCAATTATAACTCTTTTTTAGTCAAAATACTAAATTTTGGAATGTCAACAGCTACTTGTCTCCTAAAAATTAATATAATGTTTTCAAATCATATTACTAACAAAACTACTACAAAAATTAACATTTGACTAATATTTTATAATTGAAAAACTTTGGCTGAAAAGTTTGAAAGCTAATAAATTGTACTTTATCCTTAAATAAATTAACCACTAAACTTTCATATTCAACGAATGAACTACTTACTTAATGACGAGTGAATCCCAGCCGGAGATATTAGTCGCCGCCTCCAACTTTTCCCTCCATGTCTCCACTTTCCCTCTGGTCAACGCCGACGATGACTTGCGATGCTTCTTCATCGCTGCCGCGTAGCTCCCTTTTTGTTCCCCAACATCGTCGGGATTCACCCGGAAGAACAGCGGGTAAACCACCTGATTGTGCCGCTTCCGGCACCGGAGGATCTCCACCAATTCGTCCAGGCACCACTCCGAATTCGCGTACTTCTCCGAGAACACCACCACCGCCATCCTCGATTCTTGAATCGCCTTAAGCCGCGACTCCGAGATGTCCTCCCCTCGCCGGAGGCTCTCGTCGTCGATGTAGGTCAGGATCCTCCGCCCCCGCAGCGCCTCGTAAAGATAGCTCGTGAAATTGTCCCCCGTGTCCCCTACCATGTAGCTCAGGAACACGTCGTACTTGTACACCACGGGGACTACGGCGGCAGCGACGACTTCACTTGAATTGGATTCCGCCGCCGCCTGCGGACGGTCGCGAGTGAAATGGAGGATGATCTGGATGAGGAGAACGGAGAGATGGATCAGTGCAAGGACGACGTAGATCCACATAATTGATATCAGAAATTGTTGCAGAGAATGTGGAATGGAGAACAGCCGGCCGATTAAATGCTTGTAGAAATTTTTCTAAAAAAAAGGGCTGTGGGAGTGGGAGGACGACGACTTGGCTGTACTGGTTTGGTTTGTAAATTAATACAAATCCTTGGATCTCTATTTCCTGGCAAAGACTGAATGATCCCTCAGGAATTAAATAATGGCAAACATATACAACGCGGGAAAATTGCATTTACGCGGCGTGGTCTTGAAAAGTCAAACCGGGCAACAGGTATTCGGTCCTTTCTTGATCTTTCTTGAGTACACTGAAGAACCAACCAGAAAAAGGAGCTAACTTGTCTCAGCTCCATCGTTCTTATTATAATTAAACCTTAAGCTCTTTCCAGTACGGAATCCGACGTCTAGGAGATTGAAAAATAAAAGGAACTCAGGATCAAAATTGGATCAAATCCGTTTATCAATATGATCACTCTTATATTTTTAGAACACCAAACCGCATCATGCCTAATCAGGTCTGAATTGGTCCACTGTGTAATGAACTATTACCTGCCCTGAAAACAGGACCCCTGGATTCCATCCTTGAAATTTTACCAAGTTGGCCTGCAAGTCTGCTACACCTGCTCCAAACTCCCTCGACCATCAAACGAACGAGAATAGGATCTAGAACATGAAAGCATGAAGCAAAGATTAGCATTACTGGCCTAGCTGCATGATTCAATATTACAAAACAAGAACCGAATTCAAGTCTACAAAATATTACATATCCGGGAGGCATGTCACAAGTCACAACAATTCAGCAGAGTCAAAAGCCAGTGCCCTGGCTTCACCAAACTGACGGAAGTTTTGCAATACACAGAAAGATTGGTTTGGCGGGAAAGTATGAATCGACATTCTTTCCCAGTCATTCCTACAAAAAGCCTCCAGTTTCAGCTTCAATAGAGCTTAAGTCATAGTTCAGGACACTTTCAAGAGCACAACACGACTACCCTCTCAGACTAGTACTATTTACTCCAGATAATTCCATATGCACCTAAGATTCAGCAAGCGCCTTGTCAATCTCTTCTGCATGATCCCTGAGCATCTTCCACTACAAGAAATGAAAAGAGATTTTTACTGAGACCAGGTAAACCAACACACAAAAAAAAATATAGAGATTGCAGTTAAGTTGAGATCCTACCTGATCCACACTCAATGATATGCCTGCAAAAGGAGGGAATACGTCAGATGAAGAACCAAAACAAAGAACAGACATCTGTGGCATCAAAAGCAAGGTACTCTTCCATTTCTCAAGAACAGGAAGTCAAGTAAAAGAGCAATAAAATCAAAATAATACCAACTGTTGACCATTACAGGAGTTTGGGTCAGATCCAGGAAGTCAGGCTCTTTGCCATGTATTTATACGCTGACACCAGTTACTTAAGAACAGAACCATAAAATACTCATAAAGAGGAATCCAAGCGAACAGTGAATTTTATACCCAGAAAACTACAGCAAATCAAAAGAGAACATAGGAGTTTCCATGTCATACATTGCACGGTTCCTTTATAGTTCCCTGATCTTTCCAATTTAAATGACCAAATGGTACCCAGCGGGCATAGGGAAGTTAAAATTTGCACAAGGGACAGTGGCACTATCTATTTGCAGCAACTTGAAATTAGAATCACGCAGCAAATATGAAGTTGCTCTCCAATTTCATGCCAAAAAGCACATCAACCTAATATCAATCTCAAAGACAAGGGCTTTATCAACCTCCTAATACAAAGACAGTCAAAATGGAATACCCTATTCACAAAATGAGCACCCAAGAGCAAGTGAAGTAGTGAACAAACTAACAACATACCGAGACAAACGAAGAGCAGAGGCAGATAGAAATGATAAAGATACCTTTCTTGCCAGGAAGTTGTTTTCCATCCTTCACATAGAACTCGCGAATGTCAACCCAGACTTTTCCTTGCCAATTCCTAACTTTCACTCTTCTATTGTGAGATATCTGCAGCAAAACCACCCCATGAAAGTCAAAAACATTTCGCAAACAATAGAATTACCAACATCTACTCAATAAAAAGGATCAATCGCTAAATAGGAAGTTAAGTCATAAGACCCAAAATCCATATTCCATTCGACCTACATCGCAGACAACGATCTCGTCAGAATCACCGGAGGAATCAGTCCTCGGAGCTTTCTTAGGAGGAGCGCCATGGCCGTCCTCAGACGGACTCTCGTCCTCCTCCTTCCGCTTAAATCTCCGAGACATTGCTTCGAACTTCGAAGAGCCTGCACAAAAAGAAAGTCCTCCGGTTAAAAGGCTTGGACAAGCACAGAACAAGAGCGCGCAGGGTTCAATATACAGATGTGGACGATAGGAAACAGAGAAGCGACTCGGTTGAAGACCTGCAACGCTGTTGTTCGCCGGACGCAGTAGCCGCCTGTGCTGTTCGCTAGACTTAAAAGGAGGAAGTGGAAGAGACAGAGTGGAGGTCGAGGGGTTTCGCCGGTTAGGGTTTATATAAGAGCTTTTGCCGGGCGGGCGGGAAATTAACTCCTCGGTTTCCCCTTTATTATGCGTATAAAACATTTATCCACGAACATGTTTGTACTTTTTTTTTTGGCAAAATACACTTGTATAGCCATGACTTTCACGTTTGTGACAAATATAGCCATAACTATTCGAAAACCAAAAATAACCAATTCCGTCCATTTTATTAACGGCGTCAGTTGACGGTATGACTGTACAAACGGAAGATGCTGATCTGGCGATTTACTGTCCCCACCAACTGACGTGGATTAAAAAAAAATTTAAAAAAAATCATAAAGCAACGTGGCAACTGGGTCGAAAAATTAAAATAAAAAATCATAAAGCAATCTGGGCAACTCGTATCTTCTTCTCCTCCCACTCTCTATCAACATCCTCGTCGTCATCCAAGAACCGACCACCACCTCCGGCTGGGCCACCAGCTCGTCACCTCTTCCCCAGCGGAAGCCGTAGAAATCTTAAGAACCCACGACCACCTCCTCTCCGCCAGATACGTCCCCAAAATTAAATCCCACTTCTTAATCGTCGTTCCCAATCGAAAGCCCACGGCGGCGACGGCGGCGGCTGCAACTACTCCACAGGCCTTCTTCTTCCCCTACCAACAATGGGACTGCAAATCAAGACTTGAAGTAGGATTTCGATCCCATCTTCTGAAGGCTACACATGTTGCGATTCAGACGAGATCCAGCGCCGTTGTTGCCGCAAAAGATTGGGACTGCTGTTTCTCGTTGTGATCCTGTATTCTCTTTCGAGGAACGCGTTCGCGAGATCAAAGAGGTCAGCGGCAGGGAAGGATCGGACCTCATCGCTGTAGCCTTCAGATACGCCGACTGGGTAGCAGGAAAGGAAATGACTAAAACGGCAGGAAAGAAGACCAAACCCCAATTCTTGATTCCGATCATATTGACGCTGCCGGCGAGAGATTCTCCTCTCTGGATCAACGACTCCACCACTACTCTGTTGGCGAACATAATAAATTGGTGGATTTGGATGAGGAAGGGGATTTGAGCTTATTATAAGGGTTCTGGTTAAAAGAATAGGGGTAATTTTTTTGGGGTTTTCTGGTGAACAATGGGTTTGGGTAGCAGGCGGCGGGAAGTGTCTGGGGTTGATGCTAGTTGAATCGGTAGGGAAGGGGAAAAATTTGTGAATTTTTTTTATTTCAAAATTAATTATTTTAATATTTCAAAATTAATTATTTAAATAATTTAAAATGACGTGGCAATGATACGCTGACTGGTCGCTGACGTGTGCGATGATTTGGGATCCTAGTCAACCTAACGTTAACCTAACTAATGGAGTTTCTAACACCGTTAAAGTTTCTAACGGAAATGGCTAGATTTGTCACACGACCATCCATTTTCTTGGCTATTTCGTGTTTTCGAATAGATATGGCTATATTTGTCAAAAACGTGAAAGTTATGGCTATACAAGTGTATTTTGCCTTTTTTTTTTATCGAATGTTTGCAATTAATTTTTTAATTGCATTAAAATGCTTATTAAGTATATGCTTGTCACTATTCATGGATTAATGCAATGTATTTGCAATTGCATTTTCAGTATTTAGTTCCATTCCCTGCCTTTGTCTAAGAAATTATGTCAGAATGTGGAAAATTAAGTGTCTTCTTATTTTATTAAAAAAATGAAATTCCAAATACTTTCTACCTCCAAAAAAAAAAAAAAAAGATTCATTTCTTCAATTGCTGAAGGTGTTACAAATATCTGCTTTTCCTTGCTCCAAAGGGAAGTCCTATTCATTGCTAATCTCGAAGTGAGCACCGATAGGAAGGTGATCGCTCGGGTGATAATCGTTTGGTAGACCACCAACAACATGAGCAGCATCTGCTTCAGGAAGTTCAAGGAAGCTGACTGGTTTGATCTGATCGCCAGGTGAAAAGAATATGTAGTCGAGTGTGTTAGTGAAGCTTGGAGTGCAGTTTGTGAATGGAGGTTCTCCGCCCCTGGTTTCAGAGTAGACACTGCGCAAGGGAACAGGTAGCTCATCCAGACATTCCACTGTAGGTGAGTTCAAAGCATCGCCAGAGACGAGGTACCGGTAAACCTAGCGAAAGGCAGGTAGGAAATGCCAAAGAAAGAGTGAATGGTTACTAAACTTTGGGTCGAAAAACCTGGTGGAGAGACTGCTGCGTTTGTTGTTTCATATAATTTCAGTTATCAGTTAAAATCAAAGTTCAGTTCACAAACCTTGTCACCGGGGGTTGAGTTGAAGTCGCCAGCCAGGATGACTTCAGGTGCATAATCGAACTTCTCAGAAACCAGCATCTTGAACTTTGCCAGCCGCGAGAGAAGATACTTTGCTTGTGCGAGCTTAACATCAGCCAATTTTGGATCCCTTAGCAACGAAAGATCACAATCATTTTTAGCTCAATCTATGTAGTCAATGTAACTGTGACCATTATCTCCCAACCAAAAACATTGAGGTGATTTTTGCATATACCAGTAAAGATGTGTATTTGCAACTATAACAACATGATGGAAGGGACCCTTGAGTTTGAAAGCAGCCATTATCCCAACACAGTCTCGCTTCAATCTCACAAGAGGGTCGTTAGGATCTCCTCGGTCTTCGCGAGTGTTCTTTGATGGTGGAACTGGAAACATATATTTGAACCAGTGGAAGTAAAACAATCAGCTTTGCACGAAACACCCAATCAACAGACCAATCTATGGAAGCCTTGTCAGATGTATCGAATGGTCACAAAACGAGAATTCTGACTCACCATTACTACCGGAGTTAGTACGTCGACAGTTCTGTTTATCGCCATGTGCATTTGCTTCACCTGGAACTGAGTTTACAAGATCGTTGTACTCCACCCTTTCCTCTAAGAGCAACTCGGCACTGAAATTGGTGGCAAAGAAAGAGTCTTATATTCAGTTTAGTCTCATAGAAGCATTTATCAGAAGACAAGATACAGCTTGCTGAACATATAAGGAATATAGTTTTATTTCTATTTGTACAAATTTGTTGTATACCTGTCGAGTTTATAGAAGATTCCACAACCATCACGCTTAATGCCAGTCCGTTGAATATAAATACTAGCATAACCATGGTTCACCATGTTCATGTTGAAAAAGCTATCATATTCATCCAATTCCTGAGTACAGTCCACCAAAGAGAAGAAGAAAAAAAGCACAGAACTAAGTTCATACTATTGCATGACAATGAACTAACAAGTTTGTTTAGGAAAGACAATTGGAAAGACCTGCAAGCAGAGGAAGTCTGCTCCTAAGCTTTTCAAAACAGTTAGGATTGCCTGGCTACGAGCCTTCCACCTGAATTCAATGAAGTCGATGTTATGAGAAATGGAACAATCAACAATTTGCTTACAGTAACTCAGTAACATTTTAAAAATAGCTATCTTCCCACCAGAAGTGGATTTGTAATGCACAAAAAAGGCTAACGCAAGCAACTCGAAAAAATCAAATACAGAATAGATTGGCAAAGGAATTCATGCATATGCAGAACAAGGGGACATGCTTAATAGCATGATCCTGCATCTATCTCCCCAAGCTTATTTGGTAGCAATAAGAAAAGTTAGTGAAATATAGATAGAATACTCACTTCAAGCAAGCAGATGGAGAGTGTGGAAAAAGAGAACTCTTCACGTACGCCTACATGACATGGAAATGCAAAATGTAAGACTTCCCATTCAATGGAGACAGTTAATTGAGAGCATTATTAAAGGCTTTCAAAGGAACAATTTCCATGGCAATTTTCCTGCATCTGACCAAGTTTGTTAATTACTCTTGTGGGAAGGGGAATACTAAAGGAAAAAACTGCTGCTGAAAGCTTGAGCATACCTGAGCCAAGATGTTGTAAGAGACAACACTGAATCTTAAGCCTGCAATATCACATTTCAGATATCAGATCAGCTTATTAATGGGATATTATTTCACATGTAACTTTTTTTCAAAGAAATTCACATCAAGAAAGTAGTGGCAAGAACAACTCTCAACAACTATCCAAAATTGCAAATCAATCAATTTACACACCATTAGCCTTGCTTCTAGAACAAACTTCACCCCCTTCAACAGGAATAAATTTAGGACACGTCGGCATTGGTGTTGAGCTCATTTTAGCCAAGCGGATTCTCCTGCACCCAAAGAATTCAAGCATTACTCACGCATAAGATTCCTGTTTTGAACATTCTTTAACCAGCAGATCAAGCAAAGTTCAAAACTTGTTCTCTAAATCCCTACGCCTGCACCCATTTACTGTAATGGAGTAGTAGCTGGCGGAAGAAAAGACAATAGGAAGTTGGTGAACCAAAGAGATAGACCTCAGCAAATGCAGTCTGCATTATAAAGAATCTCAATTGATTTTTTTCAACTAAGGAACGAACTAATACGCAGACAATCCCTAATCCAAAGATTCAGCTTTTTTTACCGTGACGAAATAATTAACATTTAACGCAAGTAAGATTTCAGTAGTTACCTTCTTCTCTTTGTCAGCAAACAGAGTTCGACCGACTAGTTACCGGTGAAGAGTAAGTTGCGAAAGACATCCCTCACAACGTCCTGTGGTGTTCTTGATCGTGCTCAGACTCTGCTGGTCAAAAGCCGCTGGGAAATTGTCATTCTGGGTTTATCAATTTATCAGGGGAACTTGAAATTCAGACTTCGCGGCGGCGGTAGATTGGATTGGGGGAAGGGAAGACGAAAAGCTTGGTTAATAAAGTAACATTTTGGTGCTTGAAACTATAGAGTTTATCTCAATTGGTCCCCTAAGACTTTGAATAGTTTATTATGTAAAAATTTTATGAACGTTTATATTCAATCCCATAAGCGGTTTTGTTTCGTTTACAATGGGTATAAGTCAAGATCATCATTGGCGCAAGAACTTAGGACTTATGTGACACATCACACATATATTATTTTAGAAGTCATTATTTAACATTATTATGCATCAAAATGTTGCATGGCTTCAAACATCGATATTGCAAGATGTATATGCTACAAAACTATTAAATAAATCAATTATTAATATGATGCTAAATATGTTCTAACGAATTGTCTTTATGGAAATTATCACATGAGTAGAGTAGTAATAGTATGACAGAAAAAAATTATTTATATTTCAAATTTTTCAGTTATCTATTTTATACTGAATTCACATACAAACAATTTTTTGTAGTGCAACCTTCTCTTTTCTCGAAAAATCTTTAATTTTTCTTCCTTTAAAATCTGCATCGAGAGAGAGAGAGTAGAGAGAGAGTGCGATCGATCGGTGATTGAGGGTTTTGCGACTGTCTCAGCGCCGGCTCCGGCACCTGAGCCGGAGCAACTCCTTTCCCCCTCTTATTCTGTTCTCTTATGTGCGATTCGAGTGCTGCGATTCCCGCTTCGGCTTCGGAGGTGCTGAATGGTGATTCTCAGGGAGTTCCGTCAAAACCCTGGGCGTCGCTATTTGGGATCTCTGAGGCCAATCGCCTTACTTACATTCCACCTGAGGTAATCAATGGAGGTCTGCGGATGCCAAAAGCTGTTCGTGAGGCAGGAGCAGCTCGTTGGAGACACTGCTTGGTTGGGCAGTTTTTGCAGGATCCGCCATCACTCTATGTGTTACGAAGATGGGCTAATAAGTTGTGGGGGCGCGATGGACTGGTAAAGGTCTCGATGCTCTATGATAAGATGCTCCTTATTCAGTTGCCGAATCAGCAGGTCTGTGAGTGGATTCTTGAAAATGGTCCGTGGTTCTGGTTTAATAATCTCCTGTATCTTAGGCCTTGGGTACCTGGTATCAGCTCCGAGGATTTGGGAAGGAAAGCTCTGCCTATCTGGGTGAATTTGATGAATGTTCCGCTTGAGTATAATGATTTTCAGGGACTGAGCAGGATAGCGAGTTGGATTGGGGTGCCGCTGGGTATGGATCATACAACTCGAATGGGGACTAGACATGGCTTTGCAAAGGTTCTGGTTGAGCTCACAGTGGACAGCGAATGCCCTGACCATGTTCTCCTATGGCCTGATGATGATTCCTCCATCCGTATTGATATCACCTACTGCAATTTGCCCCCTATCTGTCAGGTATGTCATCTTTTTGGCATCACTGGTCCATGTGCTGATCATCAGGGAAAGCAGTGGGTAGCAAAACCAATGCTGATTGAGGGGAATGCTATTCGGGATCAGGTTCATTCTGAGTCGAAAGTGAGTGTAGAGGAAGATTTGGGTGAGGGTGTGCTTATAGACCAACAAAAGGTAATGGAAAAGGGTAAGGCAGTGGTTCTCTCTGAAACGGATCCTCAGTTGATGGCTATTTTTGCTACCCCAGGTCTGGAGGGAAGCAGTAAGGTTGTTCCTCAGAATTTGGAAAAATCTTTTCAGGAAGTGGCTACATCTGCATCACCAAAGCTGCCATCAGAAGCAGAGTTTCAACGGGTGGTCAATGGGGCAAAGCCTCGGGTCTGGCTCTCACAGGATAGTTCAAAGGGTATTCAGATTTCAAACTCATCGTTTGGTGTCTTGGGGAAACTGAGTGATCAAGAGGTTGAGAAGGGGGATAGTAAGATTCCAGAAGCTCCAAAGAAGAAAGAAGTGAAAAAAGATTTGAAGAGAGGTGGGGGGAAACCCCCTACTTCGAAATGATTCTGCTGTTCTGGAATGTACGGGGGTTTAATAAAACCTCCAAGCAGAGGGACTTGATGCGAGTCCTTCGAAGTAGGAAAGTGGATGTAGTAGCAGTTCTCGAGACTAGAGTTCAAGCAACTAAAGCAGAGGAAGCTGTGGAAGAAGTTTTTGTTGGGTGGGAGAGATGCCTCAACTGTTATGATTCAAAGTTGGGGAGGGTATGGTTGTTTTGGGATCCAGCTGTGAGGGTACAAGTTTTGAAACCGAGGAAAAACTTTATACACTGTTTGATAGAAGATGTAAATAAAGAGTCCTTTTTCTTTACAGCAGTTTATGCCTCAAATGATGAGGCAGAAAGGGTACAGACTTACAAGGAGATAGCTCAATTGAAAGTAGTTGGTTATTCCTGGATCATTGGAGGAGATTTTAACACTGTTAGATCGCCTCAAGAGACATCAAATCAGAGGTCTTTTACTTCAAGTATGGAAGAGTTCAATAAGTGGATTGGTGAGATGGAACTGGTAGACTATAGAACAACTGGCCCCCAGTACACTTGGACTAATAGGCAAGCTCAGCAGCCTATTGCACGACGTTTGGACAGAGGAATGGTTAATATTGAGTGGATGGAGCAGTTCACCAATTGCACTATGGAAGCTATCCCTGCCCCTTTTTCTGATCACTGTGGAATTATAGTTTCTACAGAGGCACCTATCAAAACTTTGCCTAAACCTTTCAAGTTCTTTGAGTTTTGGGCAGAGCACCCTCTCTTCCTGCCAATTGTTGAAGAAGCGTGGAGAGGAGAGGTCTCTGGGTCTCCTATTCAGGTTGTCCAAGCAAAAATGGGAAGGGTTAAGCAGGCTTTAAAGCGATTTAACAAAGAAGTATATGATAATCTACAGGATCAGGTAAGGGAGGCTGAAGGAGTTTTAATGCGAGCTCAAGCAGTAGCATATCAGGATCCTACCCCTGGCAATTTTGAGTCTGTGTCGATTCAAAAGGATCACTATGATCACATATGTTCAGCTTATGGCAGTTTCTGTTGGCAAAAATCAAGGGTTTCCTGGCTGAAGGTGGGGGATCAGAGTTCCAATTTCTTTCATCAGGCTATCAAGATTCATAACTCTAAGCGGGCTATCAGAAAGCTCGTTACTGACTCTGGCGTGGAACTGTATCAGGTGGAGCAGATTGTAGAGGAGGTTCTTGGATATTATAAAAAGCTCCTGGGGGAAGTTAATATAGAGATCCAGCCGAGCAAGGAGGAGGTTGAGAAGTTGGTTAAACACAGGTTACCTGATCAGGAATGTGTCAATCTCACTAAAGATGTTACAGCAGAGGAAATAAGGAGTGTAGTGTTCAGTTTGAATTCTCAGAAAGCCCCGGGGCCAGATGGATTTTCAGCAGGTTTTTATAAGAGGACATGGTCAATTATTGGAGAGGATGTCATTAAGGGAGTTCTCTACTTTTTTACCACAGGTAAGCTCCCTAGTGGAGTGAATGCTACTGCTGTGTCTCTTATTCCTAAGGTTTCAAATGCTGATACATTAAAAAACTATAGGCCTATCTCCTGTGTGAATCTGTTTTATAAGATCATTGCCAAGATACTTGCAAGACGTATTAGTGAGGTTATGCCACTGGTTATAGGGAATACTCAATCAGCTTTTGTTCAGGGTAGGAGTATTATGGACAACATTTTACTGGCCCAGGAACTTGTGAGTGGATACAATAGGAGTCATTTGTCATCTAGATGTGCAATTAAAATTGACATCATGAAGGCTTTTGATTCAGTAAGCTGGCATTATCTTTTTCTTATGATGCAAGCAATAGGGTTCCCTGAACAGTTTATGAAATGGATCAAGGCCTGCCTTCAAACTGCCCATTACAGTTTTAATATAAATGGTAGCCTGTGTGGTTTTTTTCGAGCTAGGAAAGGTGTCAGGCAAGGTGATCCATTATCACCTTACCTGTTCACCATTGCTATGGAGGGTTTATCAAACATGTTACAAGCAGCCAGTCAAAATGGTAGAATCCCCTATCACCCTCAATGCAAAAAGATTTCATTGAATCACCTTTGTTTTGCGGATGATATTCTGGTTTTTACTACGGGTTCTGCTCAAGCAATACTCCAGGTTAAAGAGGTCTTGAACAGTTTTTACAAGCTCTCAGGGCTCAAATGCAACCCTGCAAAGTGTGAAATATATTTTGGGGGTGAGGCAAAAAGATTTAAAAGTAATGCTTTGCAGCTTTCTGGGTTCAAGGAGGGTGCATTACCTGTCAGATATCTGGGGCTCCCTCTGTTGGCTGGTAAGCTTTCTTCTACTGAGGTTGACATACTGGTGGACAAGATAACAAAACGTATTAAATCATGGCGAGCCAAGAAGCTCACTTATGCTGGTAGGCTGCAGCTTATCAATTCAGTATTGCTTGGGATTGTTCAGTATTGGATGCAGCTTTTTGTTCTTCCCAAGACAGCTTTAACGAAGATTCAGCAGGTTTGCTCTCAATTTCTATGGCATGGGGATACTATGGGTAGGGCAAAGGTAGCATGGGACTCTGTGGCTCTGCCTAAGAGGGAAGGAGGACTTGGTTTGAGAGATTTGGTTGCCTGGAACCAAGCCTGTGCGGCTAGACTGCTTTGGTTGTTTCTTATGAAGGCTGGGGCTCTGTGGGTGGCATGGCTGGTTGCATATAAGTGTAAAACTGGGAATATTTGGGCAATGAAAGTGCAGTATAGTAGTTCCTGGGTGTGGAGAAGGCTACTGAAATTGCGTGCGGTTATTGCGCCATGGATGCAGCAACAGAATGGGAAGGTTTTTTGGGGAGCACAGGAAATGCAGAGCTACTCAGTTAGGAGAGTTTGGGAGACTTTGCGCAGGAAGGGGCCTAAAGTCTGCTGGTACAAACTCGTGTGGAACAAATATTGTCCTCCGAGATTTAGTTTGATTGCTTGGCTTATAATGCGCAATGCTATCACAACTAGAGCAAAGTTGATGAGCTGGGGGAAAATCCAGGATGCCTCTTGTCCGTTGTGTAGTACTGGAATAGAAGATCGAGATCATCTTTTCCTCTGCTGCAAATTTTCGCACAGCCTTTATGAGATGATCCAGTTTCTCATTGGAGTTGTTAATAGAGGTTCTCAGGGTCAGTGGCATGCTTTGCTGTGGTGTATTGCAGTATCATATATCTGGAAAGAGCGGTGTCGAGTGGTACATGGAGAAATATGTCGGTCTCCAGCTGTGGTTGCTGATCTTATTCGAGCTGATCTACTGTTTATATCTCATGGGGATAGAGGAGTGCGGGATAATCTTGTTCAACTTGGTTATTTATAGGTTTACTTGACTTGTAAGTAATAGTTTGAGTGCAGGAGAGTTTCTGTAGTTTGTTTAGTTGAGTGATCCTATCCGGGAATCTTTTCCCCTTCGTTGTATTGGTTACTTTTTATGAGGAATAAAGCAACTGATTCAACGAAAAAAAAAACAATTTTTTGTTCCCGCACAAAGTCTAACCAAACTAGACTTTGTTTAGTGAGTTAATTAAAGTTTTTGAGATAGATAAATTGGTTAATTTTTTATAAGCCAATGAATGATGACATCATTGTTCAAATAGGATATCTGAACGAGTCACTCCACACTCAATGAATCAATTAAGTAACTAAAGATTTTCAATACCTCGCTTAACAAGAAAAATGAACAGTATTTGATGGAATATTTGAAAATAACTAATTGGAGTCATTAAATATTGAAGGGAGTCTTTCTCAAGAAGAAAGTCTAGGGTTGAGCTCACATAAACAAGAAAGTTCAAGGACTGGTTTGATTTTTTCAGGATTTAATGATGGCATTGTACATTTATACTCCGACGTCGTTTGACGGAATATTTATTAGTAAAATTACAGCAAACGGGTGGACTGTGGAGGTGGTGTGAGCGAGGGAAGAAATCTATAGGAACTTGGAAACAGCGTCGGAGCTCGCAGTCGCAGCAAGCAGCTAAAGAAGCCTAATTTCTTCATCATCTTCTCTCCGATGGGCTCTCTTTTCTACCTGAAACCCAATACCATCATTCATGTCACTCCCGGTTCCAACGCTTCTTCCCTCTTCCACCCTTCCTATTTCCCGCCTCGGCCTCGGCGTCAGACTTTTCGCCTTCGACCCACTTCGCATTCTGCTGCTGTCAATAAGCGAAGCAAATCATCTTCCAACTCTACTACTACTACTACTACCCTTCGTTGCGAGCTCGATGGCAAGGTCAATGGCTCCTCCCTATCCCCTGAATTCGACCCTCGATTCCTTGACCGGGTAAAAAAGTTCCTAACCCACTTCCCGTAAAATTTTCATACTTATGAATGGGTTCGATGACCAATACGTTGAACTATGCTGCTAGCTGCAAAAAGTGCCTAACTTGTTGTGCTTGTCTTGATTGGGTGACTATAGTTTGATGAAATTGGAGCTTTCCGCAAATCTAAATGCTAGATCTTCTTGCGTGCTTCCTTTTAGTTTAAAATACGATTGCCTTTTGTCTCTGGTGGAAACCTTAGGAGGGAGAGCTTTTAAAGTTCCAAACCCTTTACTCTGTTTCTTTTCCGATTTTTTTTTAGGTGTGCTAACTGTTGATTTTGGTTCCAGCAAAAGGCACTTGAAGCAGCAATGAATGACATAAATGGCTCATTTGGGAAAGGAAGTGTTACACGTTTGGGTAGTGCCGGTGGAGCATTGGTGTAAGTTCACTTCTTCACTTGCTGACAGGCCCGTCCTTGATCCTTCCCAAAATTGTCCGGAGGGCAGTGGCCTATGTGTGGAAGCTGGACGAATTGAATGGGACGTCCGACTTTGGTACCCTTAGTCGTCGAAGCATTAAATAATATCTTCATGTTTGTATGCAGTGAGACATTTCCCAGTGGCTGTTTGACTTTGGACTTTGCTTTAGGTGGTGGGCTTCCAAGAGGGAGAATTGTAGAGGTAAACATTCTCTCCAAATTCATCCTTGTTCGTAAGTTTTATGTTATTATGCTGGGGACAGATAATATACTTCTGACTCTTTGTTGTTTGCAGATATACGGCCCAGAAAGTAGTGGAAAGACCACCCTTGCGCTGCACGCAATTGCAGAAATCCAGGTGTGTTCCTTAATTATGCTTCTCAGTTTCTTAAGGGTGAATAGCTCTTGTAGGTTTCCGTTCTCTTGTAGGTTTCCGTTTGTGCTAAAAAGGTTTTTTCTTGTCCCCGCTAAAACTGCAGAAGCTAGGTGGCAATGCAATGCTTGTGGATGCCGAACATGCTTTTGATCCTGCATATTCAAAAGCGCTAGGGGTAGATGTAGAAAATTTGATTGTTTGCCAACCTGATCATGGGGAGATGGCACTCGAAAGTAATGCAACCTTCTAGTCCATTACTTTTTTCTTCAAAATATGCATTATGGCTACTTAGTGGAGTTCATCAGGAAAATTGAATGCTTTTTGGATATGAAGATAAATCGCGATTGTTGCAATGTTTCAGTTGCAGATCGTATGTGCAGATCTGGAGCTGTGGATCTTATCTGTGTTGATTCTGTGTCGGCTCTTACCCCACGAGCAGAGATTGAAGTGTGAAATCCGTGTTCAAATTCTTTTGTAGATTTCTCTATTTTGACTGAGTTTATGAAATATTTTCATTCTTTTTTCTTCGTGAATGGATAGGGTGAGATTGGGATGCAGCAAATGGGTCTGCAGGCACGGCTTATGAGTCAAGCATTGCGTAAAATGTCAGGAAATGCTTCAAAAGCTGGGTGTACCCTTATATTCCTTAACCAAATTAGATACAAGGTATCTTATGGCTTTAGTTTTTTTTTTTCTTTATTCAAGTTTCACCTGTCGCATGCCATGCTCCATGCCACTGTTTCTTACCTTTCATGGCCAAACATTGTTAGATCGGTGTATATTATGGGAATCCAGAAGTCACTAGTGGAGGAATTGCCTTGAAATTCTTCGCATCAGTTCGTCTTGAGATACGCTCTATTGGGAAGATAAAGTCTGTAAGTGTTTGTTCCTCTTTCCTTTTATTCCAAACTTCATTTTGTTACTTGGTAAAGAAATGATGATGCATAATGTGTTCCAACACAGCTTTGGGTTTATAACTGATGAATGAGAGTTTCTATTGTTTATAGGCTAAAGGAGATGAAGAGGTAGGGCTCCGTGTTCGTGTAAGAGTACAGAAGAGTAAGGTACGCAAATTGGAGGTTTTTTGTTTCTCTTGTAGAAAAGCTTAAGCATTTTCATGTCAGTTTTACCTGCTTTTCATTATTAACAGGATGATGATTATATTCGAATTAATATTCATCATAAAATTTCTCGTTTCCGAATGATTTCTCGGCATATGAGTCGAAATTGGGTTTATCAGTAGTGAGGCATTTCCTAAGTCAGTATCGTGATAGGTGTCAAGGCCATACAAGCAAGCTGAGTTTGAAATCATGTTTGGAGAGGGAGTCAGTCAACAGGTTAGTTTTCTGATTTTCAGAGAAAAAATATCAGTATTATTGTCTTTCCAGGCTGGTGTTCTTGTTATAACAGCTTATAATTTTTCCAGGGATGCATATTAGATTGTGCAGAGATGATGGATGTCGTTCTAAAGAAGGGCTCTTGGTATAGCTATGAGGACCAAAGGTTTGCTCTTTCACTTTCACCTGCTGCTTACTGATTCCTAACATCAGATATCTTCAAAATACTGCGCCAAGATCCTTGTAATTTGTTCCTTCAGCTCGAGAAACTTCTGTGCACCATCGGTTGTCTCGACTGTCAATAATTTATATACTCAAATTCACATATCTAATTTGTCAGCCTTTTGTTCCTATTTTGCTTCTGTCAAAGGTTGGGGCAAGGAAGAGAAAAATCGTTGCAGTACCTGAATGAAAATCCTCTTCTGCTTGAAGAAATAGAGAAGGTTCCAGTTTAGTCCTTTACATCGGTGTCCTATTTAACAAACTATATGGGAAAGATAATGACGGTGATTGATTTTCATTGGTGTTGCAGAAAGTTCGATTGATGATGACAGACTCGACTGTGCTAACTGGCCCTCTGCATGCAAGGCAAGTAGCAGCATTGTCCCAGGACGAGAACATGTTTGACGAAATCTAGTAGATGATGCGATCACGGAGTTAACTTTAAGTACCCTTTGCTAGCAAATCGCTTCTTGGGCAAGGTATGGTATAGCTGAAGAGTCACAGAAGCATCGGAAGTAAGATTGGCCAAGGTACTCTTCTCATATTTTTCCATGCAACTGTGATCTGTTATCACGAGACACTGTCGGCCTCTACCACTAGAGATTGCTGCACTAGAAGGCTGGATTTTGAGAAGAGAAAGAGGTCAAGGTTGGTAAAGTTTTGGTAAATGGAAGGTTGAGAAAGAAAAGTTGGTTGCTAAATGCTAACTTCTTTCTGCGTCAGGAAAAGAAAAGCAAGGAAACGATTCAAGGTGGTATAAATACTGCAAGAGTTCATAGGGGTATCTTGTAGCTCCATGCTTGTGTATTGCCAACACCACTATGTGATGCTTAGTAAATGGTGCCCATTATTTCAATTTATTCGGCAAGCATGTAGGTTTGATCATTTAGACTTCAAATAGTTTACTTGGGTGAATGATTCATTCCTCAATGCCCTGCTAAGCAGGAAGTTCAAAGTAGTTCTTCATCTTGAGCAGGTTTTGCCTGTAACATATTTGCACCTGTAAGCTAGTGACGTCGATTCATTTGAGTGAGTAGCTTTAGTTGCTTCAAAAACAAGTTTACTGCCAAGTTTGACCAAAGCACAAAATTATTGAACACAAAGTAGTATCAATGTATTTTCATGAGAAGACCGCAATCACAATTAATACACAAACATACAACTGGTCTTTTTGTTCTCGTGCATCTACGTAGTTGGCGACGAAGCTAATGCTTACGCTAGAAAGAGCGATGATAATCATTACACTGACAGTGTGTCTCTTCACTTTTCTGATCCCTTTAACGGAACTGTTTAATTACTGAGACAAAGCACTGGTGCTGTAGACAAGGAGAGCTCCTCCTGCTAGAATCCCAACCAATGTCACTGCCCAGATCGCCAATCCAGTCACTCCTGCAACAACCACAGAAAACAAGCATTAGTATTCCTTATTGGATTAGGATTCGCAATAACAGCAATGAAACTGCAGATGGGTAACTCACCTCCGGCGTAGACATCACCAGTGGGTGCCCACTCATCTTTGTTGTAGATGGGGCTGCAACACAACACAATTGGCATCACATTAGCAAACAGCAGAGCTTTGATTATAAGCTAATTAAGTAACCAGCCAGGGTGCAAGTTTACCTGTAGCCATCGACGTTGGCACCGTACTTGTCGACGAATTGGTACACTCCCTTTCCCTGCATGAAAAGATTCCAGAGGGAAGATGTTATGACTTGTGAATAATTGAGAGTGAGAGAGGAAGGGAAAGCACGATTAATACCGTGGGCTTCCTGCCAGAGGCATCAACACCACCCCTGAGGTCCATGCCACCACCGGTTCCTACACAAGCAAACATTCATATCCAATGCCAATGATCAAAGAACTCGGTGTTTCTGGAAGAGTTGCATCGTTTACATAGACCAACCAAATTCACATCTTAGTTAACAAATGAAGTCATAGTCTCTCTCATACATGCATGGTTTAATTTGTGTTGGGGAGAAAGAGAGGGAGTGAATTGGGTCAGTACCATAGGGCGTGTCAGTCTTGATCTTCTTGATACCGCTGGCAACAATCTTGAAGGACTTTCTGGTGAGGCTGGGAAGGCCACTCACTGAAGCTGATGCCTTCTCAATGAAAGGGGACGAAGGTTTCAAGGTCAATGATGAAGCCACCATTGAAGCTGAGGCTGCCATTTCTGTGTTTTTTTCTCTCTCTCTCTCTCACACACACAAACACAAACACAGAACAATGAACAATCTGTTTACTTCCTTTTAGTTTCTACTACTTTAACTATTTCCCTGCCACCGGGAGGAGATTGAAATTATCTGTTTCCAGTCAAGTTTTAGTGATTCTACTGCCCCCACGTGTCAGTGGGTGTGTGGCAAAGGTCTGGATAGAAATTTCTCATCCTTACTCTAATCCACTTCTCAGCATCGCGTGTGGCCCGCCACGTTTGTTAGTTTATCGTTTCTGGGCGGGCCCTGATGCCCCTTCTAAAAGGAAAAACAAAAACAAAAAGTGAGGCCAAACTGACTGAGAAGCTGGCCCGTCGTAGAGGTGGGTTCGAGGCCCAAGAACCCGGCGACCAGGAAAAATCTGGGGCGAAAGGGATGAGTTACCGAGGGATGTGAGATTCACATCCAAGGGCAATTTGGGCATTGAAAAAAAACAGAATTTATTATTTATTTATTTTTGTATTAATTACAGATTGGGAATTAAAAACCCAAATTAAATACTTTTTTAATTTAAATCCTACAATTAATACGCTTATATCTCTCTCTCTTTCTTTTTCAGCAACCTCTTCACTCCGACCGCCAAAGTTTCTCTGGCCGACGAATTTTTCCGGTGAAATCCTCCAATCAGACTCTCGCTCCAGCCAACTGCAAAAAACCACTCCGTCAGTGTGCTAGTGGTACTAATTTTCATCTAGTGGTACGCTATCAATAGTAGTGGTACGTACTAGTGGTAGTGGTACGCTACAAATACCACTCGTACCGCTACTAGTGAGTAGTGGTACGCTGCCACTACCACTGGTACCGCTACTAGTGAATAGTGGTATGATACCACTACCACTGATAGCGTACCACTAGACAGAAATCAGTACCACTAGAGAATAACATAAAAAAACAAGATCTGGAATCTGAAAAATCCCAGATCTGTAAAAAAAATTAAGGAATGAGGAAAGGAGAAGGAAGGGGAGAGGTCGTTACTTCGTGGCGGCGGCAGAGGAGGACGGCGGGAGAGAGATGGCGGTGACAGGAGTTGGAGGGAGGAGAGAGGGCTGCGATGGTGGGAGGCGGAGGACGCGACGGCTGCAGCGGGAGGGAGAGATGGCGACGGTGGCGACGGGAGGGGGCAGCGGCGGCAACGACAACGGGAGGGAGAGACAGAGCAGTTAGGGTTCTCGGGAGAGGGAAGAGAGGGGAGAGAGGAAGAATTTTTTTTTTTTTTGAAAATCAGATTATATAGAAAATGAGAAAGGATCCTGTGTGGTAAGTTTTTCTCTTCCAAAAATACCCTTCATTTAATCAAAACCGTTAATTTAAAAAACCAAGAGAGAGGGTGGATCTAATGGCTGCGAAGGAGGAAGTGAAAATCACAACCATAGATGAAAATCATAAGCGATGATCACAAGGGGATGCCCGCTAGAAATCCAGCCATAGATGAAAAATGGCTTACTTACTCTGCCTCTCCCCTTCTCTTCCGCACGCTCCTTTCCTTTTCCCCTTCACTGATTCCCCTCCCTTGTTCCGGAAACCGACTGAAAACCCACCGCTTCTCTTCCTTTTCAGGCGAACTCCTCTGGCGTGGCCGCAGGAAACCTCGAATTGGCAGAGGAAATCTTGGGTTTCCCCCTTCCCACGTGGGACCCGCGTCTCTTCATTCTCCTCTCTCAACCGTCCGCCGGCTCTTCCGGTCCATACTCATCTACCCCCGATTCCTTTCTCCACCGCAATCTCAAAACCGAGCCGCACCGGGTCCCCATCAATATCGTCACCAAATTTTGCAGGAAAAATCTACCTCCTAGTCCTCCCAGTCCCTGTTCCCGGTGGCGCTCGTGACCAACGCGACGGTGCACGTGGTCATGTACTGGTACTACTTCTGCACCGCCTTGGGGTCCCGCCCCCGGTGGAAGAGGGTGGTGACGGATTTCCAGATCGTGCAGTTCGTATTCAGCTTCTGTATCTCCGGGCTGATGCTGTACTACCATTTCGCCGGCGGCGGGTGCTCCGGTATGTGGGGGTGGTGCTTCAATGCAATGCCGTTTTCAATGCTTCGCTTCTGGCGCTTTTTGTTGATTTCCATGGGAAGAGCTACGCTGCTGCCGCGAAGAAGAGGAAGGCCTCCGCGGCGGAGAAGATTGGTTCCGGAGGCGGCGGTGGCGATAAAGCTGGAAATCTGGCCTCCGGCGACTTTGTTGGTCCGGCGGTCCCTGCAATCAATTTTCTTCAGGCGAGAAATAAAGAACCAATTAATGGCCCGATTGGTCAGTTTCGCCCTATTTAGTTTTAATACATCAGTTATGTTATTTGATGTTATTGGGTCTTTAATGATCCGTTACAAGTGATTAATGAGTCACTAAAGCGATCCTTTTATGGCGCTCTACGACCTTTATGGTTGGTTTATATCTCAAATTATGGGATAGAAATAATTAATTTATGACTTTCAGAATTAATTTATGGCTTTCAAAGTATCAGTGGCGCAAACTTCTTCCTCATTGGAAAAGCTTCATCCGTTGAAATTTTATGAGCATTTACTCATCGGATTGAAAGACGCCCATTATTTCGGGTTGTGGTTAAAAACGTCATTAATTAATAATTAATTCCGATTCCTTTTTTGTTTACAATTAACTTAATGAGCTATTAGCTCAATTTATTAAAATTGATGCTATGCCAAAAAAAAATTTATTAGAATTGATGACATTTCCTTCAATTCATTTTAATTTGAGGCCCATCGGCAGTAGAATTTGAATTCTAAAACTCAATTTTTGGTTTCTTGCCAAATGGTATGACCAAATTTTTTGTTAGAAAATTAATTAGGGTTAATAAATCATGTCAAAGTTGAAGAGTGGGTGATTAGCGGATATGGATTTCCACTAAGAATGGTTTGTATTATTTTAAATTGTATTTGTATTATGTTAAACGACATTGCAAACTATGGTGGCTCTTCAATTTCATGAAGTAAATTGCTTTCTCAAATATCTAGATTGTTGGGAATATCAAGAGATTATTGAACATTTGTTCTTTCATTGCCCTCTTGTCATCATGCTATGGACTTTTAGTGGGATTAAGTGATTTGCTTGCTTCCGCCCAAACTTCGAACTTTAGTATATGGTGGCGACAATGTTATGTTTTCAGTAAACTTCCAAACCCACATTCTCCCATGCGTTTGCCTTTTTTGGAGAATCTGGAAATCTCTTAACAAAGTGGTTTTTGAATATACTCAGCCACACGCCAGTTCTCTTGCCCGTCAATTCCATTTCCAAGTCATTGAATTTTCCTTAGCCTTTCAGCCCCCAGGACCTCTCTCTCAGTCTTGTGCCCTCTCCTCCTTCCGTTCTGCATCGCCCGCCTCCAGGCTTTGTGAAGATCATCTTTGATGCTGCTGTTTGTCGTTCCGGTTGCTCGTCTGGCCTCGTCATACATGGGACAGACGGGCAAGTTCTACTGGCCTGGGATCTCAGCACCAAGGAGTTTTCGATCCCTATCTAGCAAAGCACCTTGCCGCTAGGTGATCCTGAAGTGGTGATTCGGCATCTGGACCGTAGAACAGTGGAAGATTTGATAGGCGGCTCACTTCTCCAAGAGTGTCATCGGCTCCTAGTTTCATACTCTCTTTGTATAGTTTTTAGTGTGGTTCTGCGGACTGCCAACTGAGCTGCCCATAGAGTGGCACCTAAAGCTCTGTTGCTGTCCTCTTTAGAGATAGCGTCCTTTGATTTTGTAGGGTGGCTTCACTAAGTGTTGCTTTGGGTGGGGTTTTGGGTAGAGGTTTCTAACTATTTTTTCTCTTGTCATTACTTGGGGGGGAAAAAAACCCCTATCAGGGTTGTGACGCTATCTAATCCCGGGGCGAAATTAAATGCCGCGTAACTACCAACTACCAATTTGCCTTATGCGCTCATTTACCACGTAGGAGCCTAGGAGGTAGTGTGTCAAATGGTTACCATTGTAAATTATCAATTCTAATAAGTTTAAAATCTATTAACTATGAAATATAGTATCATAATTAAACCTTTCAAACTAATACAACAATCAAATTAAAATTTAATTAGTTTGGTTCATTAGTTAACCATAATATTATGATTAAGTGAGGAAATGTATCAATTTTTAATTATTCTTTTTTTCATTGAATCAATTTCCATTTTATTATAGAAAAAGGACAGAGATAAAGGCGACCTCATGCCAACTGATACAACGAGAGGAAGTTCCCAGAATAGGAACTCCCTAACACGACCCTCACCCACAACTGGTGTTCTCCACTCCTCAACTACAACTTACACTGCTACTGTAATAACCCTAAACATTGACAATCACTATTTAACATCAATGAAGAAGAAACAACAAACTTCATATCTATAATCCATAAATCTGTCACTACTTCAGCAGGCGGGGATGCTCTCCATGAATTCTTATACACCTTTCCTGTCAGATGAAGGTGATTGAAGAACACCATAAGAGCCCAATTAGTCTTCCCATAGCCGAAGGACGATGTGCCAAGACACCAGTATCCGAGAGCCTGAGGTCCCCATGTACTGTTGTTGAACAAATCTCCTACTGTTCTAACAATTGCTCTAGAGTAAGAACAATTAAAGAACAGGTGTTCCCTGTTTTCACTTTTCACACCCACTGCCACACAACACACAATCACTATCATTTACTTTACCCCACTTCACCAGTTTTTCTTTTGTAACAATTGCATCTTGTATGACAAGCCAAGTAATCAAGCTCCATTGAGGAAGAGCAGGCTTTTCCCCACAGAAGAGCAAATCAAGAAACCTGATTAAAACGAGGTTGCAAAGTATCAATTTGCAATTTATATAATGAATAGAACATAACAATCAACACATACTTATAACTAATTAGTAACATAAATACATATAAGTATATATATGTCAATGGTATGGAGTTAATGAATTGTTGTGTTTTGTAAATTGACGTATTCTCTTAACAATTGTCATACAATGAAATAAACCTTCCTTTCAAGTTTTCATCCAACATAGTGTATGAGTTTTATCTAAAATAAGAGTCCATATGTTGTGGTATACACTCTACAAATACAAATATACAATATATGAACAATATTGAATTTTACTTTTTATGATCCTAAGAGGGAGGAAGGTTTGACACTTGAGTGGTTATGCAAAGTATTAAGTCCGTGTATATAATATTTATGAGATATATGACTAATTAGTTAACTAGTTAATTTGGTTTGATTGGTTAGAAGTGTTTGAAACCAAACCAAACCATCTAAACCAAACAAGCTAAAAAATTTAACAAAAACAAACAATTATCCAAATTATCTAAATACTACCGGTTAAAATGGTTGTCACGATAACCACCGTTTGAACACCCTTAAAGTGAGCCAGCAAATCTGAATTCAGAACACAAAGGGAAAGCATAAAAGGAAATCAAGGCTTAGCTGCCGTCATGAACAGTATTGCTTCCAAGGTTGCTGTGATGGGAAGTGGAAGTCAGTAAGTATTAATTACGTCTTTTCACTTGTTTCTTTTAGGGGAAGTGCTTTTCCTGCAACGAGCATAGCGGCAGAAGCGAGATGCCTGTGGGATGGGGAAAAGAAAGTGGTGATTTGTGCTGATTTCTGTGTAAGCCCAAGGTACAATAGTCAGTGGCCTTGCTGCTGCAAAGCTTTCAGCTTCACTTCTCACTTTTTCATAGCTTAAACAAACTTAACTAAAATTTCATACTGAAGAATGTGCTACCATTGTGATATATTTTCAATTGTGCCGAGCCAATGATTATAAACCAAAAGAACCAATTTGATAACGTGGTAAATTCGGTAAGAGTAGTACAAAGTAACATTTGATTTTATTTGAGTTATGAGTAACATTTGTCAAATTTAGCATTTGTTGGGATAGTATAACACCAGTCTCATTAATGATCAAAGCATCACTTAACTTTCTTCCACATAAAAACTAATTAACTAAAACTCATTTACAAGACAAAAAGAATACCCTCTCCCAAACCTCTATCAACTCAAAACTATGTTGCTGAAGAAACAAAGAAAGGAGAAACTTGCCCTCTAATTTACACACGAGAAAAAGAATAAGAAAGCGAACTCCTTTCCGACTTCTCTCATATCTCCTTATATACCCAAGTCCCAAATATGACCACATAGCAAGAAAGCTAATTGAAACTGATCAACTACGTTGAGATATGTTCTCCATCAATACGAAGTGGTAAAGGTAGTAGTTGCATTTGTTGAAGTGGCAAATGTGGTAGTTGACGTTCTGGAGGAGGAATGGTCATCGTGGTTTTCAGAGTCGTAAGAAGAAATGTTGTAGGGAGATGATGACGGTGATGTCTTTGTTTCAGAAGGCTTCCCTGTTGCAATTGATTGGTGTTGCCTCGTCTTAGGAGGAGGTTGAGCTCGTACCTTGAGGTCCATGAAGTCGGATATGAGGCCGGGCTTTGATATCATACCGTCATCTAGGGATGGCAATTTCGACCCGCCCCATGGGTAGTCTCATCGACCCGACCTGCCCTGACCCGCCCCATTCTCGACCTGTTCTTGTCTAAATTACATGTAATCTTAGTCAAATTACTTGGGATTTTCCTTTTATTGCATCATATTTTTAGCTATAAGAAAGTTGTAAATTAGTGAAAACCTCAATTTCTCCAATAATTTAACTACAATTGTCATAATATTGTTTGTTTTCTTAGTCTTATAATAAAAATAACGAATATTGCTAATGTTTTTACTATAAATTGCATACCCATTGGGTCGACCTGCCCCGACCCGCAACCCGTGATCAATTACCCGACCTGGACCCGACCTGCCACGGGGGCGGGTCTGGGTACCAAGAAACCCGCCCCGGACCTGTCCCATTGCCATTCCTATCGTCATCGACCTCCTTCTCCCCAGTCATCATTTTTACTACTGTCGACATGGAAGGTCGAAGCTTGGGAGCATCTTGAGTGCAAAGTAGGCCAATCTTCATATACTTACTAGCCTCCTCAGCATCAAAATCACTATCAAGGGCTGTGTCTACCAACGCTATGAGCTCCTTGCGTTCGTACAGTTGTCATGTCTGCATGATTAGGAAGAGAGTCAGGCCTCAAACATAGCACCTCTTAATCATCAGAACTCCTATACCACGTTGAAACCAGCTCATCCTAATTTATCGAATTACTAGGGAAGGAAAAAACCTTACCAATCAAAACCCAAAGATAAGCACTCTTCCTTATCTTGCCTCCTCCCTCCCTTTCCCTAACTTACAAACCATTCCCAATTTCCCTTGCCTGTAAGCACTTCAAAATATCCCATCTTCTCTCTCTCTCTCTCTATGCTGTTCTCAAACTATGCATTATGTGATGTCACGAATTTCTTGTAATCCAAGGAAGAGGACCACAAAAACAGGGAGGACAAAAGAAGGATGGATTATATGCATTTCATTTTCTTTAATCCACAAGAGCCAAAGTTTCCTGAGTATTGTTCTTATAAGAGGTAAAGTTTTCATACCCGTTCTAGGAGGTATTGCTCTTCAATTGGCAATCGTGTGTTTGTGTTGCACCTCCAACTGACTATTTCCACAAGCAGGACACCAAAACTGTATATGTCTGCTCTCCGAGTCAACTGTCCCCGTATTGCGTACTCTGGTGCTAGATACCCTCTGCAACCGAAGATGGAAACACAGCAGCTCAGAATTAGACATCAACAGAGGAAAATTTGATATCCAATGTAGGTTGGTTAAAGGACTTTCCATTTAATTCTGACCTTGTGCCGACAAAGTATAAACTGTAAGACGTGGGGAATAAGTTCAAATGCATCAGAGAAAAGGAACTTACATTGTCCCAGCGACGCGAGTGCTAACATGGGTCATGTGCGATGGGATCAACTTGGCCAGACCGAAATCTGCAATTTTGGGTGTTAGATCTTTGTCCAGGAGAATGTTGCTCGCTTTGATGTCGCGATGCACTATATATGGTCGTACTTCCTCGTGAAGGAAGGCTAATCCCCTTGCTACTCCAATGCAGATTGTAGTCCATGTTCTCCAATCAAACTGAATATTACTGTAAGATCCACCTGTAACAGTAAAACAAAATGGCATTTGAGCACTCAAAATCAAAGCTTTTAAGGCCAAACTGCAATTTAGTAATGAAATTGTCTAGAGTAGAAAGAAACTAATGCAGGCTTACCAAGAAGTGTTTGAGCCAAGCTATTATTCTCGAGATAGTTGTAGACCAAAATTCTGTGGTTTCCTTCAACGCAGCAGCCATAGAGCTTAACCAGATTCTCATGCTCCACCACTGAGATGGCTTTTATCTCTGCCAAGAACTCGCCTACCCCTTGCCTTGAATCAGCCGAGAGAAGCTTTACTGCCACAAAATTTCCATCTTTAAGACGTCCCTGAACATTGAGCAGCATTTGGTGTAAGATTGTAGATAGCAGGAAAAGAGACAAACAAGGAATCAGATGTAAACCGAGTTTTTACCTTGTACACAGAACCAAAACCACCCTCCCCGATTTTATTTGCAGGGCTGAAATCCTCAGTCGCCTGTCTCAATTCCTTGTAGGAGTAGGTTTTGACATTGTGAACTCCAGCAAGTTCTGCTTTTCAGAATGGAAACATAGCAAGAAATACTCGTTCATACACATAGCAGTCATACATCAAACACACTTCATTTGCAGCCTTACCATTCTCTTCTTCAGCATCATGTCGTTGTGAAGAATCGAGCCTTCGACTTCGTCGAAACAAGAAGGAAAAGCAAGTCAAAACTGTTGAGACACCAAGGAAACCACCTAGGTTGGTAAACGAACAACAACCGTGCCAAATCAATGACTTCGATTACCCAGCCTGGATAATGAAAGAAACATAATGCGATCTTAGTACTTGTTGCAGCAGCATCAAAGCAATCAAACAGGTAATAGATTTAGGGATAAAAGAGCTCTGAATGGTGCCAATTATGCCAATAGGCCATCCTAGGAAAACCTCATTTCCTTTAACTAATAATGCTAAGAGCAAGATGTTGATGTGCTTCTGAATTCTGATCCTATCGTTTCAGAAGTTCAAAGCAAGCATTGGAGATTACATCACCAACTGACTCTAACCCAACAATCCACTCACAGTTTTCTTCTCCTAGAAATAAATAATGTTCATTTCTCAGTTGCCAAAGAACCCAGGAGGTTCTGGAATGCTCCAATTAAGTTTACCAGCACAAGAACATAAATTGAATTCGTTAAGTTGACTACTTTGGACATACAACAAGGTCTCAGGAACACTGGAGAGATATGACATAGACATACCCAAAATCTGGGAATCCCCAAACTATACAGAAAGGCGAAAATCACTTCAACCCAGAAAAGAAGGGCAGACATATTTAAGCAGCAGACGGAAAACAGAGGGAAATGAAGCAATACCCAGAAGCCAAAACTAGCCAGAGAGAGAGAGAGAGGAAGAGATAGAGAGAACGAGAAGGATATCAGAATGTAAATGAAGTGGATGGATAGAAGAACCAACCCCTATTGTATATCAGTCAATTGTTTTGAAATTTCAGAAGCATGTGTTTGAAAGACAGCAGACTTCAGATTTGAATATTAGAAAGAAAGGGGAAGCGATGCCGGAAAAGAACAGAGCCGCGGCTGAGGAGGGGAGGAACGCGGCGGCGAAAGGAAGAGGGTGTTTAATAAGATTATTATTATGTTGTTTGGTGGTGATTTGCCGAGGAGAGAAGATTGGAGGAAGACTTTCTTTAACACCACCACCAGCAGCAGCAGAATTGTCAACCGACACTGCACCTTGAAATAGAAAAATATGAGCTACTTGACTACAACAGGGAGGGAGCTGTTTTTGCTTACGTGCTGTGCCTGTGTTGCTGCTGCTGAAATTCCCACCGCTTTCCAAGTTGTTGCTGCTGCCAGCGTCGTTTGTTTGACCGTTTCCTTTCGTTTCAGGTTCGGGAGAAAGAAATTCTCCAAGGTGAACGAAGACAACTCTATTTACAGTTGCAAATCTCCATGGAAGAGTAACTAACTTAATATAAATATTAGTGGGTCAACGATCTTGATAATTGTATAATGGGGTTTGATGACGGTGGTTTAACCAATGAGGTCACTTGTATTCTAAATTTTAACAAACAAGTCCAAGTGGCGAATACGATACTCGCGTCGCGACTCTAATTGACTTCAAACTATATTATGGGTTGAATGCTCTGATGCTCACACAAACACGTTGAACTAAATTCTCATTTCATTTTTCACAAATCAAAGAACCATTTAACTCGGTTATAGTTTTAAACTTAAGTGACGGTTTTGTAACAAATCTCATAATTGGCTGATCCAATTATCCATGGTACCCACCACTAAACTGACCCTCTTCCATAGTCTCCTGTCTTAGATTGGTTTCCCACCTCTCCAGAATTTCGAATCCTTATTCTCTCTAAACCCCGGTTGCTTTCTTTGCTCGCGCGCGACGGAGAGAGCAAGTATGAGAACTGTGAAGCGGGAACGCAATACTAGCAGCGCGGCCCTCGAAATGGGAAGGGTCAGCAGTGGCAGTGGAGGAGGAGGAGGTGGAAGAAGGGACCGAGTTCTCAAGGAAATAAAGCGGGAGCAAATACGAGTTAACTCGGAGACGGCGACGGCTGCCGAGGAGGAGCCGCGTGTCGAACAGCAACAAGGCGTCGAAGAACGGAGAATCCGTATCGAGCCCTGCGCCATAGAATTGACGGTACGCTACTTGATCATCGATTTCCAGATTTCGTTTCCCTTCTTTTCAGCTCTTTGTCTTTAATTTATTGACCTCGTTTTGCAGAGGAGAAGGAAGATTTGACGAATGTGGATTCGAAGATGTTCAATTCGTTCATCAAGGAGTTTGACACTCTGCATAAACACGGTACTTACTTATTCTTGAGTGCGTTTGATTATCGAGAAAATGGATTGAAATTGAATACCCGTTTGTTTGAAAACTCATAGTTCGGAAGCCCAGGGAGCAGGTTGCTGATGCTGAGGCATTGCTGGGATTAACTACTACATTGGTTACCTCTGTGAAGTCGCGTTCGAGTGAAGGTATTACAGTTGGAGGGTTTGTGGCTCAATTGATAAAACTCTTTTGGGCAATCCACACCGACATTGGGCGATGAAGAGAACTCCCCAGTTTCAATCAGGTGGAAGGAGATTGGGCTATTTGTTTCTCCTGCGTTTAAGAGTTGCAGTGGGTTCAGCACCATGTGAGCCAAGATTTTATTGTCTTAAACCATTTCCACTTTCCATTGCTATTTGATAGTTTTGGTTCTCGTCCTGTTGTTGTATGGAACATTTAATCCTTTCTATTTTTTGTTTTCAAAAGGTTTGGGCCAATGGACACTGAGATGAAACAAAGGAAGCATAATGTAACTCATAGGCCTCGAACGAGGCTGGGGCAAAGTACACGTCCTAAAGAAGTAATTTTACATATTGCTTCCTATCCTCTTTAATTTTGGTCAAGTTTAAGGAATGTAAGTAGTTGCCATCTCAAGTGTCACAGGCAGATGGAGAATGGGCTTAAATCTTATTTATCTCGAGCATCTGTTTTGTCTGCATGTATGTATGTGCTTTCTGTTTACTCGTCATCTATTCAAATGCCCAAGAAAGGGAATTGGGGGCAGCCATGCTCTAAATGAATTGGGATCACTAGATTGAGTAGATTCTTATACGGAACTGGTCTTTAGTATTTGCATATCCTTTGAGTGATAAGTCTTTTCTAACGCCATTTTTGGTTTGCTAGGTTGATGATACTGGGGTAGAAGAGAGAACAGATACTGATAAAAATATGGCTGCTATGTTTTGGATCTTTAAGATCAAGAAACGTGCAAGGCTTGATTGTTTGATCCTAAATAGGAAATCGTTTGCCCAGACTGTGGAGAACCTGTTTGCACTTTCTTTCTTGGTGAAAGATGGCAGAGTTGAGATTGTTGTGGATGAAGATAGCAATCATTTTGTCTGTAAGTTATACACAAATCTTCACTCTTCTGCATAATTGTTCATACATTTCTGGTTTCTTCTTCAATACCCAATTTTCTATTAACTTTGCATCTGTTGTTCAGTACCAAGAAATGCACCAGCTTCTGAGTCTGTAATGTCGAAGGAGGTAGCATACAGGCATTTTGTCTTCAGATTTGGCTTCAGAGATTGGCAGGTAAGATTGAATTTTTATGCCTACTTGTTTCTTTCATGTTACTAACATGCTTCTCTACTAATTTTTCAGATGATGATGGCTGGGGTACCTGATGGTGAAGAACTCATGCCCAATAGAGATACTGACTCCTCTGCTGCTGACATGAGCCAAGATACTGCTGCTGACAATATGGGCCCAGGTACTACTGGCCACACTGAAGGAGCACAACCTCGAACACCAATACGTAAACTGACCAGAAACCGTGGGCTTGTTGTCCAGAATGACACAGTGGAGGAGACTCCACAACCACAAGAAGAAGAGGAAGATGAAACTGGTGCTCGAAATGGCCTCCATCAATGTAAGCGTAGACTTGTATAAGGGAGACAACATGGGTTTTATGTGTATTACATATTTATATGAGATCTTACGCAGTTGAATGTATGGTTGTGTTTGGTTACAACATTCAATTTGGATCTGTCTTGATCTGGTGTCTAACCTAAATAGCCTGATGAAACGTACACTAATTAGTTCTTGCTAGAATGGACTTGGGTTTTGAGCCATAGGAAGTCGTAGGATCCATCGTTTGATTGTAAAAAAGATGGCAGAGTTCTGTGAATGATTGTTTGTAATATGCAATTTAGTCAATTGGTTACGATCTGGGGGAGGGTTTTGGCTGCAACCAGTTGGCGAATTGCAGAAGCTATATTCTTTTGTTATTGCAATGTACTAGAATTGGCTGTGATTCGAATCTCTCTCTGATGAACTAGTTTTATGATTATGTAAATCCAGTGTGTTGCTTCATTGATATATGTTGGTCCAAAGACAACTATTAACAACATTATTACTACTACTAGTACTGCATTTGTGTGCTTCATGATAAGCTAATCCTACTATGTACTAACCAGAGTTGATCCTACTAACCATCAAATAATAAGCTGACAAAATTTTCAAGCTCTTCCAACCACCACACGCTCTTGATCATCATCATCAGCTACGACTATTGTATCATCATCTTCCCTATCTTTCTGGCAATAGTTCAGTGAGATTGGTCTGTATGTAATGGCAAAAAACAAATAAATCCCGAAGTCCACAACCGTCACCGCGGCAACGGAGAGGAACCATAAATCCATGTGACCCGCATTTAGATCTTCTGCAGGTATCCACCCAGGATTCTTCCCTCTCGCTGTCAAGAGCATCACCATGTTGACCAACAAGCTGCTAACATAGTTCCCGAATGAGATGGAAGCCATGCAGAGCGAGCTTCCAAAACTCTTGATCCCGTCGGGCGCCTGTCCATTGAAAAACTCCAGTTGCCCGACGTACATGAATACCTCTGAGGCACCAACAAGAGTATACTGCGGGATCTGCCAGAACACGCTCAGTTTGCTCACCTTCTCACCAAGGTTGACGTACCTCTTCCTCCATATCTCGGTGAGTGCGGCTGCGACCATGGCTAATGTTCCGATGACAAGCCCGATGCCCATGCGCTGGAGCTCGGTTAGGCCCTTTGGGTTGCCGCTGAGTTTGGTGGCTATAGGGACGAGAACTCGGCGGTAGATTCCGGTGCAGACTAAGACGGAGCATATATCGAATGCCGACATGCTGGCCGCCGGGAGGCGGAAGTTGCCGATCTGGGTGTTCATCACGTCCCCTTGCTCGACGAAGAGGGAGGCCATTTGGGTGAAGACAACGGAGTAGGCGATGGTGCATAACCATATGGGTAGCATCTTCAGCACGCATTTGGCTTCCTCCACTTGTGTCACAGTGCATAGACGCCATGGATGTGGCTCTGATTGTTGGTCCGCATCGGTGATCGTTGCTGCCTTGTCCAGGCACCTGTGATGTGATTTTGTTTACCAACATATTTGATTAGCTAGCTATAGATAAAATAACATTTGTGGTGTATGATATATATAATTAACATTCTAACTCCTAACAAGTAACAATGAGTTATTGGAACTAGTTGGTTCTTGATATGGTATCGGAGTTGGTTTGACCAAATGGTCGTCTGTGTTTGAATCTCCACAACCCCTAATATTAACAATTCATCCAAAAGCACGGCATGCCCCGTTCCAAACTTGAAGCCCTTGTGTATTGTTTGTGGGGGGCTTAATTGTAAGAGATCGAGTAGAATATGATCCATAGTTAACATTCTCTTGAGAAATTGGACTAACAACTAGTTACTGATTGGTTCTTGATATATAGAGACCATATAAAATTATAAATCACCGAGAGAGAGATAGAGGATTGAATTACGTACAATATCTGATTGCTGTGAAGGATCTTGCGGCTGCCTTTGATAGCCGACTCAGCACCTTCAACCTCATACAAATCATCGGGATTCTCCGGCGGCACGACCTTCCGCTTTCTGAATGACGCGACAAACACCTGGGCGACACGTGGCAGGGGGTTCCCACAGGGCTTGATGTAGCGATAATACGGCGTGCCGCCAAGGTAGAGAACGAGTGCCAGGACAGCGGAGGCGAGCGACGCAATGAATCCGATCGTCCATTTTCCAGTGTCCTCATAGTAGACTAGGACGGTGTTGGAGATTAGGGATCCGGAGTTCAATGCAAAGTAGAAGTAGCAAAAAAATGCGGCCTTGGCATCTAGTTGTTTAGGAGACGTCTCGTCAAATTGGTCGGCGCCGAATGTGGCCAACGTCGGTTGGTGCCCGCCGTAGCCTAGGGCCACTAGGTAGATGGCCAAGTAGAAAATTAGGGAGCCGCCATTTGTTGCCGGGTGGCATTTCAAGAATCCGTCGCCACAATTCTTGGGTTTTATCAAGTACACTCCCGATGCCACTGAGATTAGCACCAACCCCTACGTTCAACCAAATCTTATTATTATTAGCTCAAAAACTTGAGTATCAAACCATGATTTGATAATAGTGACCTATTAAAGGCCCAATTTTGAAGTTTTATGATGGAGTTCATAAAATATTGATATCTATAGGATACAATATAAATAGTATAAATAAATTTCATACCACCACGAATACGCACTGAAAGATGCCGCAAGTGAGAAATCGGCCCCAATAAGAGTCACTGAGGAAAGCACCAACGAGCGAGAATAAGTAAACAGTTCCAGTCCAAATGCTCACATCGTTAGCTGCATCTGCATTGCTTCTACCCAACACTCGAGCTAAGAATAATACTAAATTCACACCTACTCCGAAGAATGCCAGCGTTGCCAGCCCTTGATTTGCTGTATCACATACCCAACACACTCAAGTTAAAAATTAAATGTAGATCTTAATACCATTGTGTTACCGTGTAGTATAATATAGTAAGTGAAAGGATTACGAAATTTTACCTAACAATAACATTGCTGCTGCCCAACCACCTTTGCCCTTCGCAACAATTGGAGAGATAGTCTCATTATCATTGTCAATGGTGGTTGTTGTAACAGTTGTAGTATCAACATGCCCTGTTTCTTCATGAATTCTCTCCTGATGATGAGCTCCAATACTTTCATAGTTGTTAGAGGGTTCCATTATGGAAACAACTCACAGTTGATTCTGTTAATTAATCGATTACTACAATTCAACAAATATGTATTGAGGAATATTGAAAAAGAACGAAAGTTGTGAGTTTCATTATCCACAACACACATATCAAAATGTTTTGCTTTTGCCTAGTGTTGTGATTGGAGAATATCATGGATAAAATTTCCAATAATCACAGAGCCCACATCATCATCAAGATGATATTATAGTTGGGATTTTATATGTGCTTAGCGAATAATCGGTAAGAATATTGAGATACTCATCCTCTCTCGTCTCAATGTCATATGTAATTTTATTGGAAGAAAAAATTAAATAAAATACAGTGTATCGCTATGTATCCCCTTAAAACAATGTCACCCCATGCACTAAGCATAAATTACCAACCTGATCGGTACCAACGTCGTTGTGAGGAAGATCAATTGAATAAAAATTGAAGGTGCTTATTGTGATATATGTATATTTATATACAACTACTCTGGCGATGGCGGTGATCCGGTCATTAATGAAACAAACTCTGGTGAAGGTGATGAAGATCGAGTAGTATAGATCAAGTTATAGCCAACTGTAGGTCGGAAGAGAACAAAAAATCTAACAATAATGGACAATCTCGACGATGATAATAGATTTGTTCTCATTTATAAGCCGATCCAACAAAACCGATGAAACAAGAAATGAGAACAAAAATTTTAAAGGCCTTTAATTTTGCATGTAATTAACCTTAGTGGCCAAGTGAGAATAGAGGGTAATAATCAAAGAAGTGAAAAGAAATAGTTAATTTTATGAATGTTTCCTCGAGAGAAGATTGGTTATTGTTGATAAGATGTGTTGTATGAAAGGAAGAGAGACATAGTGGGCTATGAATTTATATAAGCAAAAAATTGAGAGAGAATTGGTCAAAATTATGTTGCTCATATATCTGTTGAATTGAAGCTTCTCCTGGTTTTACTGAGTCATAACTTATATATGATTTTTACTGATCTTTCATATAACATATCAATTCTTTCATCCATGTAAATTTCAACTAGACATTCAGCTATGAAAAATTTCTCACCACAAATTAGCCTATATTAACTTAACATGTGGGTAACATGTTTCCTCGCCTTAAGTTTTTTCTTCTGTGATTAACATTTTTTACTGATGATTAAGGATTTTTATTTTTTATACTATAATCTCTATATACAATAGTTTTTCTCATCAATGTGCAAACTCGTGCCAAATACTAGCCATAAGTGAACCTACTAATTTCGATACGTTGTCACTTTAGATTGATATGACAATCGTTTATTCTCATATTCTGTGTCTTTATTAGTCATATGATCACATCCGTCACACATACATAAATTTAGGTATCCATACCCCAAATTGACATCAAGTGGCTACATAAATATAGTAGGTTTGTAAATTATTTGAAAAAAAAAACAAATAGCTAAACAATTTAGACTTTGAAACTTTAGTTAGATTGTTGCATTTATCTCGAAATGTTAAGTATCATTGTCTTGCATATGTTATAGGGCACGATGCCAAACTTAATCTCAATGGAGTCAACTAGTACCTAATTGGAATTATTAGTGTTTCATATAGCTAGATTTTTCATTATAGTTGTAGCCAACCCACTATTTTTGAATCAAATGGGAGGTTGATCAAACAAAAAAGAAGGAGTTATCCACGTTTTGTGTATGTATGCGCTAGTTGAATTGAACTGAAAAATAAACAGATAGAAATTTATGGTGTCAAATCCCTAGAATTTTATATAATAGATGATGCATACACCAAAAAACTTATTTGTTGAGGAACACTCATGATGTTTGAATTTGTTTGTGAAAACTAGTTGTCTAAATTGAAACCTATCATATGTCATAACAACATAAACTGATTTGGTAATCAATTATTGGATTTCCCACCCTACAAATATACGAGAGTTCATCATCAAATTCATCCCATGTTGTCAAGTTCTCTTGTTGTCTCTTCTCTCTCTATTTGAAGATTGCTCTCGTTTCTTTATATTAGTTCTTCATTCGTAAATACAAAGTTTCCTCAACAATATTTTTTAGCTGCTCATCCACAGCAAAAAAACATGATAGAATGTGCATCTTCTTGCTTGATGACAAGCGAGCCAAATGAGAACGTTAATTATGATGGGACATATGCTCTAAAACCCAATTGTACGTGCCTAGAGATTCAAATGGCACAATCAGAAAGAGAAGTAATTCGCAACCATGAAATTGATGCAAAGGAATTGCATGGAGATATGCATGGCAAAATGTCTTATGTTCATCTTTTCCAAAAAGAGCTTACACCTAGTGACGTTGGAAAACTCAATAGACTCGTCATTCCTAAGAAATCTGCGCTTAAGTACTTCTCTTACATTCTCGAGACCCTTGAAGGGGCGAATTTGAAGCATACGATGAACGAAGATGTGGAGCTCATTTTTTACGATAAGGCGATGAAGTGTTGGAAATTTAGGTATTGTTATTGGAGGAGCAGCCAGAGCTTTGTGTTCACAAGAGGGTGGAACAGGTTTGTGAAGGAGAAGAAGTTAAAAGAGAAGGACATTGTCACGTTTTATAGGTGTATGATGATACATGATGATAATGTACAATCATTTTTCTTCATAGATGTTACAACTCATCGCGATGACACCGATAAATGTTTCCTAGCGAAAAATGAAACCGCTAATTTGTTGTTGCCTAATGGACGAGGATTTGAGTTGAGACTAGGTATGATTCAAAAAGACGAGAAGGAACAAGAATTGAGACATGATGATAATAGTTATAGTTGGGAATCAATAAGCAACAATGTAAGCAAGGGAAAAGGATTCATGCTTTTTGGTGTTCAAATATGCTAATATAATACAATATAAGACATTATTTTTAATTATCATAATTCATAACTGTTATGTCTTATTTTCAAAGTCAGGAAAAACACATGATAAAGTGTGTATGGAATTTTAATTATTAATCTTTGTATGAGATATTGATGCCCAAAATATTTAATTAAGCGGTCGTTTGAAAGTTGGATTGCATATGTTATATTTGGATGAAGTATGAATTATGAAAATTCATAATTTTTTTGTGTTAGAATGGAAAGTAATACTTGTATTTGAGGAGAAGATAAGACCATCAAACTCATTCATTATGGATGATTGTGAAGCTCAGCTAAAAACTGAGATTGTTTTGAGGGATTAGTCATTTTTCTTTTTTATTTTTGAGGGCCCAAAATCATTCAACTTCCAAACAATATATTTTTAAAATATATACATTGAAATAATGCATCTAATTAGAATACATAAATTGATTAAATACATCAATTAGAGAATTATAACTTCCAAAATGGCATAAATTCTATCCACCTCAGTCCTTTTATAGAGTTACGCATATCACATAGTGTAACACGTAAAGTCATTTATTTGTTGTAGGATAAATAACTCTTTGTCTTTTAAACCTAAATTAACTAGTATTTATAAAGGAAAATCTAAAAAATCAATCATAAAATAAAAATACTGCGTTTTCTACATTTGTCGACGAACAAATGTACAAAAAAATTGGCTGGATTTTGGTGGACTCGCTCAACCATATTCCACCTACTTTGCTCGAGAATCCCTCAATTTTTCCAACATAAAAAGAACCCCTCGACTTTCCCTCCCCAAATAGATGCTTAATAAAGCTCTAAACCTTAATATGATGCATATGGTACGTTGGATATAATCGATGATCAAAATCATCGATAATTGTTCTTCGTGTATTTGATATTAGGGTTTGACGTGTAAAATTAAACAATTAGGGTGTAGAACTCACTCATTTGAGTTTAGGGTTCAAGATTCACTCATTTAAGAATTCTGGTTTATGCTTTATAAATTAGGGTATAGGATTACACAGTGGCCAATTATCTTCACATAAAAATTTCTAAATGTTTCAAGCCAAGTAACAATAATCATTGTTGATTTGTTGGTTGGACCAAATATCGAAATTAATGTATTGATATATATTATATAAGATAACAAAATGAGTGTCTTAGTGAAAAATATTTATATAATATCCTATACTAAAGATTGCATTCCTCAATTGACAACTTGAGTCAATTATATGATTGAAGATATTATTAGTTTATATTCGAAATGTTGGAAACTTTCAACACAAATTTATGAGAAGTTTAGGCAGTATTGATATATATTATATAAGATAACAAAATGAGCGTCTTAGTGAAAAATATTTATATAATATCCTATACTAAAGACTTACATTCCTCAATTGACAACTTGAGTCAATTATATGATTGAATATATTATTAGTTTATATTCGAAATGTTGGAAACTTTCAACACAAATTTATGAGAAGTTTAGGCAAGAGCCAATTTATTGAACTGAATGAATTTTAACTCAAAGCATGAATTGATTACATCAACAAATAAAATAATGGAAACTGTGTTTCGCGAGAGTTTAACATATAATTAATTAGATTATGTCTCATAAAACCAGCATTTAATTTGAATGCATAATAGCACAAACATTTGTAAATAGTGAATTAAAACACATTAGAAGTAAAAAAAATTGATTCACATAATAAATATCGAAACTCGATCGACCCATGGGCATAGCACAAGAGAAAAAATTGGGAGAAAAAGACCAATAGTAAAAAGGGAAAACTTATTGCATTGTGCATGTCTTTTGTTAGATAGGCTACATTTCCATAGAATTGCTTGTAAAATGATGCAAAGCACATTGTTTGTTGAGTAAACACCATTAATATGGTGAGGGATTGAGAGTGGATTTGTGCTCCTTAATTTTCGATGATGGAATTGCTATTTGGACTTTTCAAATTGAGAAGTTCAGCGTTGGATGTAACTTTTTTTTTAACCTAAATCTTCTTATTGATAAGGTTATACAATATCTAGTGCGGCCAGCAGGTTGAGGAATGAATCCGACTACCGGTTGATCGATCCCTCCAAGTGTCCAGTCCGAGTCCTCCGTCTGTGGGTCCGGCTGAGCCAAGTGTGCTTGTATGTATGTGGGATGGGGCAGTACGGAGTGGATCTCATTCGGCCGGAGGGACAGTTATCCTCAATCACGCTAGGGAGGTCCTTTGGGATATGGGGGTCCAGTTTCCTTTGGTTGATGATCCAACGGTGGCTAAGTTACTTGCCCTCCAGGAGGCAATCTCTTGGTGCTTGGGTCATGGTTTTTTGGAGATGAGATTTGAAGGAGATGCCAAAGTGGTTATTGACAATATCAATAAGGACGATGTTCGTGATAATCGGATGATGGCTATTCTTTAAGAGGTTGTGCAGTCTTTATCAATGACCTTGGGCTTCAGTGTGTGATTTGTAGGTCGGAGTAGCAATATGGTAGTTTGTTTGGTAGCTAAAAAGGCCCTGTCTTTATACCCGACTACGTGTCGCTTCTTTGATTTTCATACCTGACAGAATGCCAAGGTATAATTATTTTCTTGTTCTGATGAATATATAATTACCTTATGTAAAATCATGAAAAGATATCAACAAATTGTAAAAAGTGAAAACCATACCATCAATAACTTAGTGGATACAATTGACTCTTACAAACAACAATACTTAAGGATAATAATTTCTACAAATTCTATTTCGTACTTAGAACTATCAACCCAAAATTACTCTAGGCTCGTTCTTCAAAATCTTAGATCGTGATCATTATTTCACATTAGTAACGTGTGTTATCTAAATATAATCACAAAATATAACTTTTAACTTTACATGATTCGATTTAGAAGTTGTACCTATTTTTTAACGTGAAAGGAAAAATAACTGGAAGTGGTAAGCCCATTAGGGGTAAACAAACAAAATTGAAA